CTGATCAAATGTCACAGTCCTGCTCTCATGTACAATGCCTCAGCGCCCTCTGTTGGTGTGTTAGACTTCAACGTGAATTCAAATATATCCGTCTCGAATCATTAGGCATGGTTTCCTGTCTCTCACCTGATGGAAGGTTGAATGCACTACCCTGCTCCACTCCCTATTAGGATGAAGCAAGTATAGAAAATGGATGGGTGGACGGCAAGTGATCCTCAGAGGGCCAGCTTAGCCGCAAAGCAGCCACCACTCGACAGACCTCACATATTACTATATTAGTTTAATTTCCCCTTGCCTTTAGGAGAAGATTACTCCAAGATGCCCCAATCCTGAGTTACAATTTATCTGTGTCTAATGCTTATCTGAGATTGCTCACTAGGCACAATTACTCATCTTAATTGCAAAGTTTACGCAGTGAGAGGGCAAAGTGTGATGAGGGGAGCATGGGATGAGATCATATCCAGTGCATTTGGTATTGATTTTTAAAAAAGAGTCGTGCAATAAGTAAGAACCCTTTTTCACTTACGCATACAGTCTCACTCTATGTGACAATCAAGTTAATTAAAGAAGTTAAACAATCAGGTACTTGCAGCAAAGACGGAATTATTCACCTCCAAGCCAAGCACTTTTAATCTTAATCAGATATACTCTAATTAAACTTCTTCGCTGTAACGTGCCAAAAGATTTAAGACTTTTGCTGAGGGAAGCTTGTGTGTTAAGTTGTCAATGAGACTGACACCCAAAGAGGTCATGCTTTGATCACCATAATTCATTTTGTTTGTTTTGTTGTCTTGTTTTTGGTGTACAGCTGCAGCAGTTAAAGTCTCACTTCATCCAGAGATTCTGCAAATAGCATAGCACTATAAAAAAAGGAAGATGTTGTAAAATGTATGGTAAAGCTTCATAAGTAGGTAGAGTAAAAGGTGGCATGTATTAGGAACTGAAACAAATTAACTTATTAACTCCTGGAGTTAAATATTTTATTTGAAAAAATCAAGTATTTCCCAATGAAAATACCTTGGCTCTTTGAAAATTGCTACCTCTTTTTACATGGTTCATTTTGCAGCAAATGACCTTTTCAGGTTTTCCACCTGAACTTAACTGGGGTTTTTCATCTCAGGTTTAGTGCAAAGAAAGGATTTTCATGAATGGATGAACAGGGTCGTCTTCAAAGCTTAGGTTTTATCCAGATCTTTTAGTAAAGAGACTCCTATGAAAATAAGGGGTAAAAACACTTACATAAAGTGGTGGAAATTAGGCAAGAAAGAGACATTATGAACCACACAAAATGAGAATTGTACCACCTGAGGTCCTTTAGGAATGCCTCTCCCTGTTCTTTTCAGCTTTATAAACTTAAATAAGTTAGACTGCACCTTAGCAGCTGCTGCTCATTTTATTTTTAAAGGTTATAAGAACATATCTAAATGAATCTTTTCTTATGTTGAATCTGTAAAACTGTCTGTTTCTATAACTATGGATGTACCTGAACACAACTGTGTGCACAAGGTTTAGTGTTACAGTTCAACATGAGTCAAACATGTGAAAATTATATCCATTTACCAGCAATCATCTCTGTCTAAAACCTTTTTCCTCTCAAAAACAATGCACAAGAAAACTAAGCCATGTACATGCTTTGAATATTTGACACTCAAAAACTATAAGCAGCTACCTTGATTTTTTTTTCTCCCAAGGACAATTTGAGGTAGTTTGTGGACAATTTATGTTGCAATGTGAAACCATGGGAAAAAGTAGGGTAATGCAACAAAAAAAAGTAAATATGCCAAGGGAAATTAGGGTTTTAGCTTGTTTTTCAAAGCTTGACTAACCAGTAATGTCAAAACAAATTTCCCTCCAAGCAAAAAGCTTTGGTGCCGCTGTTTTGGCAACTTCACTGCTTTGCATGTCAGTTCCTGCCGAGCACAGCAATCCAGTCATTCTTAACCTGGGGGACTCAAAACTGGGAATGCAGGTCATGAATCATGCAGACCCAAGGCTCCAGCATAAAAATCACTAATTTGTTCCATTTTTTCCATGGACTGAAAAAGTTGGACAGTTGATGCCAGAAGCCATTGGAAGAATGGGGATTTTCTACCTTGTAATGATTTCTGCCCCTTCCTACTTCACAGAGATTCCGTGAATAAAAAAGAAGATTGGGAGCAGGACTAAGGGCATGGAAAAATGAGAATGGAAGAAACATGCAGCTTCTCATCTTGCACAGAAAGTTTCATTCAGTGTTGTGTGTGACGTTATTTCCTGGAGAGAGTAGGCCCATCCACACAGCATGTGCTTATCAGTTGCCACTCCTTCCCTTATTAGTGTTGTAAACTAGATAGTGTAAGGTTCACCACACCTGAGCAGCTGCTACATGTTCTTTCTTTTTTAAGACTGAGAGTAGGGATCCAAGATGGCTTGGACAAACTGACACACGGAACTATACAGGTAAGGTTTTTTAACTAGAAATGTGCGTCTGCTGTGGAAAGGACTATCCGCTGTACTTTATGCAGTCTTAAACCATAAAAAAGGTTAATGATTAAGGTTCTGTACACATTTCTGATCAGGCTCTACCATCGAAGTTAAATTCAAACTACATCGAAATTGAAAGTCGGTGTGTGACTGAACTACAGATGGTTTGAACTTGAAAGGCAAGTTCAGGCAAGAACAAAACCAACAAGTATGTATAACTAAGAAAGATACTGAAGTGCTAATATATACTAGAACATACAGGAACTAAGACAGTAGTGGCTGTGAGAACAGCAGGGAGATAGGCAGCTGTACCTTTACATTAGGATATTGCTTGAAAACCTATAAACCGATTATTGAAAAACTCTTTTTGCGCTTCTTTTTTCAAAATAAAGCCAATTTGAACATCTTACCCTCTGGGTAAAATCCAACGTGATTTTATATATAAAAAAAAAAAAATCCATTAGTAATAACAAAAATGTCTTTGTTGCAGTAACTAAGGAATTGTTTAAAATCCAAATTTTAACAAGTTCTCCAAAAACAACTTCAGAAATTAGATCATACGTGTTGTTTGTGGTAGGATTCAGTGATTGATCGGAAAACTTTGTGGAGGTATTTTGACAACCTAGTCATGCTCCAGAATGCAATTAGATAAACTGGGATAAAAGCCCAAGATGGTACCATCAGAGTATAAGAAGAGTGGAAGAAAGTGGAGGTTATCAAGCAAGGAGAGGAGATTTTTTAAATGAAAAAGTGCACAGTTCAAAATATCAATTTCTCAACATAATGAAAGGAAAATCATGTTTCCCAGGCTCCATTGCTTTCTCAAGGTTCTGGATGCTTTACAGACACTGAGAACGTTTGATATAGAGGTGCATGAGTAATTTCTGGTGGTGTGGCCTGATCAGAGCTGTTTCATCAAGACAGACCAGAAATGCTCATGAACTCAGTTGGAGGTAAGCTGTAGTAACCCTACTCATGTGGAAGTCGACCGAGCAGGCTCAGAAAGCATTTGACTGAGGCTTTTTTCAATGAAAGGTGCTCTTTGCTTGTTTGTCAGTTTGTGGTTTGTCAGAACTGAAAATTGTATGGGTAAAATTATAAAAATTCTGTCTTTTCAATGGGGACACCATTTCTATTGCAGCTGTATTTTATTACAACAGCAACAAACCTCACATTATCCTTGTTTAAACAGATGGTGGATTCCTTTTTTTAAGCATCCATTTGTGGGAGAGCTGAAGCCTATCCCAGCTGTCATTGGTCAAAAGGCAGGATATACCCAGACTGCTCTGTGGAGAGTGTGAAGACTGACCCAAACACAGACTGCAAGAGGCTGGAATACAAATTAATTTTATTTATTAAAGAAATAACACACAGTGTGGCCAATAAGGAAATCTAAAACTAAACTTGGGCAAAAAATGCATTAATAAAAAGAGTAACCAAACCCAAAGGCTAAAAGATAAGCTAAGTGATGAAACCTGGGAGCAAGAAAGGAGCCCAGACAACCCGGTGGAAAGATTAGGACAAACAGCATGCAAAAAGTGAGAAGTACATCTGACAAAGGAGTGAGAGAAGCAGAGAGCTGAAGCACAGAGGAGGGGGACTACTGAGTGGAGGCACCTGGAGACGAGGAGCACAGCTACAGGAAGAAGAGTTAATGATCAGAGCAGGAGGGAACTGAGCAACTATGGGTAAGAATGGTATGGACGGAAACTAGGAAGGGAAAAACATGGAAGAACATGGAAACAAAAGATCGAGCAGCTAAAAAAACATTCAGTCAAAGGCTAAAGCACAGAATAGTGCACAGAACCCAGTAAGTGTCAATTCAAAGACACCAATTAGTCTAAGAAAGGCCCCGGCCTGAGTTTAGAACCAGCCACCAAACAGAATAGTGAACATGAAAGATTTATGGTAATTCAATTTCTAAAAATCCAAACATCCCCAGACTGTGGGGACTCTACCGAGATATACACATGACTCTAGTCAAACATGTCTAGTGTTTTACAAAGAAGAATATTTAACAAAAAAGGGTTAAATATTAGTCTGTCGCCTGCATGCAAATGATCGTCAGGGATGAACATCAACCTGTGGTTAATGGATTTTGGTGCAACACATTTGAACAGATTGCAGGCAGTATAAGATTTGTGCTCTATATGATTCAAAGATGTCACGCAAAAGACAAGTTGCTTAACTCACAACCCATAACTACTAAAAAATAACTTTGGCAAATGATGTATTGACAATCGACACATCCACTGATTACATTTTATCAATCTTTCATGACTGGCATCAATCTGCACCGAGAGTTTATGTCACATCTCTCAAAAATGATAAGGTCTCCTGATTTGTCCATTCTTGCACCTTTAGGTTTGAGAGATGTGAAAGTGGGAAATGAGGAGAGACCCATAGCTAAAGTGATTACACGCAGCAGCAGCAGCTTCTCCGGTGCAAAATCCTATGCTGAGGTACCTGCTGTTTCTCATTTTTCACAGATCAAAGACGTTTTCTGTGAAAGCTGCGTGCCCCGTTGAAAAGTCGTCATGAATGAGGCAACAACAGGTGAGCTTTTCAGCAGTGCATATGTGTATGTAGTAGGGTGCTCAGAAAAGGCTCTAATTTTACTTTCAGTTTCACTTTACAGATGAAATTCTAGCAGGTTCTCTGCGTGAACACAGTTAATGTCAGATTCTGTGGTGGCAATGCAAGATGTCTTCTTATTTCATTCTGATTCTGCTCAGAGAGAGTGCTGTCATCTGGGGTAAATTACTGACCAGCAGTCTGTTTGGCGACACTGAGACGTGACAATAGGACAAAAAAAGGGAAAAACGAAACGGTTATTCAAAATGGAGAAGCAGTGTTTTGTCAAATGAAAAGGTCTGCGGCATGCTGGGAGATGCCACCATCGTTGGGAAGCCAATCCAAAATTCCTAAAAAGTACTCATACCATGCAGTGCTGGTTAGAGAACCATCCAACCGTAAGCAGAACCACGCCCATGCTTTGAGGCTTGTGTCACGCAGAAATTCATCTTGTACAGAGAAAAAAAGTTTTGAAAAATGATTGGTTCAAACATTTAATGTGTCACATTTAGGCTTTTAACAAATTGTTTAGAACACTTTTAGTTTTGTTCTGCAGAAGTTACAATACTGTTGTTAGCCCGATCTTCAGTTGGAAACCTGAGAATAAACCAGAGTAGATCAAGAGTATAAAAATGACATTTATGAGGTCACAGGCAAAGTAAATCAGCGCTGGGCTCTCACTCCCTGAGTGTCTCAGTCGGCAAAGAGCACTGAAATCGGTGTATAATGGATATTTCTTTTCCGGGCTGGGCCCAGTACTGGCCAATAGGCCAAGTGCTCTGCAGGATTTGCCTGAAGGGCTCGGACATTTGTTCTCTGAAATAAAGTCAGAATGCTGTAACCTGTACAAAAGTCCAAGAACTGAGTGTCCGTAGAGCATGAATAAATAATGTGTATGCACCAGCAGGATTTTTGTGTTTGTCCAAAGTTTGGTCAAAGTATGGGGTTCAAAATATCACAGGTATTTTGTTTGGTTGGTTGTTTTTTTGCCCGACCCCTGCATGTCTGTCAGCCTTTGGAGTGGTGTTCAACACCACACCAGCAAACTGTTTAAGGACGAGTCAAAAACTTGTGAAGGGTGTGTAAATAATTCAGTTTAGTGCAGCACCGCACTCCAACGGTTCCCTTTCTTCTAAACTGCCGTCCGCATTTGTCTAAGTTTGAGCCTTAGCGTGGGCTAAACTTTGAAAACACAGTGTATTTCATAAAATCCTTCAGCTTCAGGTTTCGGAGCAGCATGCTAGATTTTGACATGTCTTTGAATAAAAATGCATAGCCTTGCCGAAGGTGGATGTAAAACAGATATGCAGAATTATTTCTACTCATTTGTGTTTTCTTGTAATTTTCAGATGATGTCTATGCTTACGCCCTGTCTAAAACCCTGACAAAGGTTTCATCACCCGCCACAGTGGGGCTGTACTCTTCGTGTCAAGATCGGATTAACACGATCCTCAAACAAATGGAAGGTATATCAGCGGAATGCCTGACACTGCTGTTTATTTATTACTCAGCCATTTGAAGCCTATTACCATCCTCAGTCTTTGGGTGGGACTCACACGATGATGGCGACAGCCGTAAACCTCTGATGATTTACATGCTTACAGGCTTTATGGCACTCTTGCTTCACCAACAGTGTTAGCTGGCAACATGATTGGACTGTGTGGAACCATGTCCCGCTGGCGGGAGACTGCTCCTGTTTACAATGATGCTGCGTGTCAGAAAATTACAACATCTAAAGTCGGAGCGTACGCAGTCAGAAGATAGCTGAGCTCCTTCCTGGATCAGGCATTAATGGCTTCTTGACAAGTGACTGACTCAAAGTGCATATTGTGTTTCTGTTCTGCTGGCCTCGAGGAGATTTCAGACAATAATTCTCCTTAGCAGTATCAGGGAAGCAAAAATGGTTCGAATTTACACCAGCTTGAAGCGTGAACTCATCACGCACTTAATACAATTCTCTTAGGACAAGTCCATCACATAAGATGTAAATAAAAGTCACTGCAAGCGGTCATTTTTTAAATTAAACCGTTTCAGTCACTACTTATTGTGGTTCGCAAAAAGTCCCCACAACATGGACTTTGAAGGCATAAATATCAGCTAAACTTACAGCGTTGTGTTTGCTTGTACTAAAGAAGCGCCAGCAAACTTTGTGACCTTCCTTGAAAAATGAGTGAAAGACACCAGGAAAACAGCAAATCAAAATCCACAAAAGAGCCCACTTTGCACTTAAAATATGTGACGACTGGAACCTGGAGATATACGTCTGTTTATCATTGAGTGACACTGAGCAGAGAGAGCTGAGCGGGTGGGGGAGCAGGGAAGGGAAGGGCTCCCATAGAAAAGACAAGTCATTTTGAGTTACTCTGAAGGTCCCGCAATGAATGGCCAATTTCTCCCTTTTCTCTTTTTGCCTTGGCAGATATACTGCACAAGTTGGACCAGGTTTGATAATAAAAATCCTCAAAATAATGGGGCTCCAAGATGTGGCAAGACAGATGATAAACACTGTTATTCATGAACTCTACATTCATTATTTTTAATCTTCCCTTTCCTCGTGAGAATGTATTTTTCCAGAGGACCTAAGCTGATTGTTTGTGAAGCAGGTTTTGAATTTAGTGCTGTTGTGCATTTTATCTATTACTGAGAGCCCATAGAGTCAAAAACACCAACTTGTATTTATTTTCAACAGTTCTGCCTCAGAGCCAAACTCCAATCGGTTTTACATGTCAGGATGCTCCCCATGCATACACCTCAACCGTGTACATGATCCTAAGGGTAATTATTCTAATCCTTTCCATTTCCTTAGAGCACATGGACCGGGAGGCATCAAAAATTGAGCAGAAATGTGAAGAAAGACCAAGGCCCCGATCAGTTAAGCCGTCATTGATTGGCCTTCTGGCCCTCATAGGCCGGTTGATCTTCTACAGACCTGTCTGGACAAAGAAGAACCAGCGTCACCGCAACATTAGGTTTATTTATGTGCATTTCAGTGCTTGGCATTTTGCAGGCAGTGACCTGCTGTGGGCTGGAATAGCCATACGACTGTTTCAGGCCATGCAAATGAGCTTTGGAAAATTGCAGCTTGCGCTCTATCGTGTGGTTCAATACGATGAAGAGGAAGAAATCGAAGAAAGGGTTCGTGAAAATTCATTTTCTCCTTTATTAAACGTGTTTTCGTTTGAGGGAAGTGGTTACATTTATGCATTTATGTTGCTTCACTTTATTTGGTTGTTGTGTACATAAATTGGAAATTAACCACGTTTTCTGTCCAGCAGAAGACTGAAGATTCATGTCTTACTTGTATTGTAGGTCAGTTTGTCTCAGAGTGTTAAATTGGCAATAACACAAACAAAATAGATAAATACATAAAGAATAAAAGGCATTTATACACTGCTACTCAAAGTAGGTAAGGAGATAACTGATTTTTAATACAGCCAAAACTGCAGTAAAGTTGCTCTCGGACAAATTTTCTTTTTCTCGTTTTTGCCAGACAGCTTAAAGAGTAAAAAATTGTTATATAATCCTATTAAAAATGTATATTTTGCCTAAAGTATATCCAGACTGTTAGTCAGCTCCAATAAAACCAAACTGTGTAACTGCAGTGTCCTCAGGAAAAATCATCATCAAAGTATCTTAAATAGCATGTTCACATTTACAGAAACTCATACAGTCAATAGTAACCTGGTATTAAGCATGCAATGGCATGTTTGTATAGTGGGAGGGGAGATTTATTTAACTTATATTTTACATAGCACATTGCACACGCTGGGGAAAAAAAGTCACACCAGGGCAAAGACAATTAGAAAAAAGAAGATCAGAATGTTCTGAGATGTCTACTGACTTTTAATTCGTAACAGCTATAACTTTTTGTATCTAACCTTGTTTTTGCTGGATTTGTTCTTTACTAAATTCAGGTTGTGAAAGATGACACTGATGACTGGAATTCCAAGAAGATCTGTTGTTTGCCCCTTTGGGTTCTCGCCCTTGGTATCCTCATCCTCCCAATTATCGTCCTGATATTCCTGGTGATTTATGGTTTTCCAGGCGCTGAAGTGGTCCCAGACAAGAATAAACAAGATGACAGTACGGATGTCTTAATGGGCCTGTTTGCTGCTTCGTTAGGAGTCCCAGTAGTGAGCACAATGAAGTTTATCTTTCAGATGGCCAAGAACCTGATCGTCAGCCAGGATCGAAACATTACGAAGGGGATGGACAACGATCGAATCAGTAGCCAACTGGGCTTCATGAACGAAGTCAGAAAGGAAATATGGATGTTGTCCCGCTTCATCCAGTTTATGGAGGTGTTTGAGAGGAGGAGGATTCGCATCGTTCTGAAAATCACTAATTTGGACCGCTGCACCCCCAAGAAAATCACAGCAGTTCTGGAAGCCATCAATATTCTGCTTTCAGATGAGGAGGGCCCATTTATTTCCATCCTGGCAGCTAATCCAGGTGTCATTTTAGAGAAAGTGAACTTTGCAGATGGTTGCTTCAGCAAAGAGGACAGGGCTTATGCTCTCCTGAATCGTATAGTAACTTTAGCTTTCACTATCCCACCTCTCAGTGACACATCAAAGCGCTACTTATTTCATAGCATCACTAATGATTCAAAATTCCTCCGTCATTCCCAAACTTCGGAGGCCAGTTGCATAAATATGACATCCTCAACAGACACACATCTATATGAGGTTGCGTTTGAACCAAATTCTTCGATACCACTGATCCAGGGAAGTACAGCAGCACTGGACGTAGAGGAGGACGAAGTGGAGAATGTGGTGCGCGACATCCTGTGCAGCAGCGAAAGGAAGATAAACAAGTACATGTTAGATGACGCCATCTCTATGAGGAGGGTGATCAACTCCGTGCGGGTGACTGTGATAATCATGAAGGCCCTCAAGACAGAGCTTCCCAAACCAGAGAATGTTGCAGCATGGGTGGTCTTGGCAAATCAGTGGCCCTGTCGACTCAGCTGGATCATCCAGTGTGTGGAGGATGCCAAACAGAGAGCAGCTATCGACGGAAAGAACGAGTATAGGGATCAGTCAAAGAGCCTGTGGGAGGTTTTCAACGAGTCCAGAGAGGAGCTGTATGTGATGAGCTCAGAGATTGAGGACCTTCTGGAGCAGGACGGAGATCCCGAGGTGTTTGAAGAATTACTCAAGGATAGGAATTTTGATTTCACCATAAGCAGCTTGGAGAAATTTCAAAAGGGGATGGTGAATCTGGATCAGTCGATCAGGAGGGAGCTGGGTCTCATCAGGGGAGCATCCAGGCTGAAAGGTTCTGGTTGGATGAGGGATCTAGCTCCACTACCAATCACAGCAATCATCAAAATGAGCACAGCTGATGTATGCAAAGAGGTGAGTCCTTACCTGACATTAACATCTGTAAGAAGTCAGACTTGGTTGACTTAGGAACATCTCAATTTTGCGTTGGACACCCATTTAGCACAACGGGACAAGCTGAAACTAAATAATAATAAACTACATGATAAGACCACAGTATTATAACATCTTATAAACATCTAAAAAACAGGAGAAATTTCATTTTCAGACAGAAATTGAAATGTGATTTGGATCACAGAACAACACAGAGCTGAGCAGACAGATGCTCCAGATGCTGACCGCTGGTGATTCAGTTTTCACAATAGTTTAACATCCCAAACACCTGTGTGCTCCCAAAGGCCTCCTCACACACTTGATTCATTTCTCAGGTGGTTTCAGAGGAACCTTAGATAAATGTTACTGTAAGGCAGACACAGAAATATTCTCTTAAAACTCTAGTTCTCCCAACAGGTTTCTAGCCTCTAATTCTCTGAGAACTTTAAAGAGAATTTTTTATGCTTTCTGTCCACTGGCCTGTTAAATCTTCCGGTTGGAGATAGAAAATATACAGTATCAGACAATCTAAATCTGCTAGATGGTAACACTGAGTCCACAGACCCCAAGAGCAGCCCTGCTTATTTTGATGCCATAGTATGTGATTATTCAGCACCTGCACTGAGATAGAGAATATTTGTACACTATAAAGTGGTGAATTATTGCCTTGTTGGCATTAAAAAGCAAGCTTGGGTTTTGCATCTGCAGCAACGAGCAATTTCAACAGCATAATTAACTGGTTATTACTGCTTAACAAGCTCCATCATCAGGAGGTGATTACCTTGAATTTATAATACTAAAACATTTTTATGCACTCTTGGCTGCCAAATGTTTAGACTTAAGTATCAATAGTGTTGATGGAGATTGGAGAGAAAAAACTAAAACTTAAAACTACTTAGTTGTGCTTTCTGAATCAGTGACATTCCCAGCGTGGCATTCTGGTATCTCAGCATTTTTTCCATCATGTTTACAGTCTTCCATTTTCTGTCCTTTTTAGATGGAGAGGATGGAATATGATAGCAAGTACATTGATATTGTGGAGAACAACAAGCTAAATGGCTCTGCACTGGTTTTTGGTGATGCAGATGACCTTAAAGCTCTTCTGGGTATGAACTTCGGAGAGTGGGCAACTTTCCGACTTCACTTTTTGAGCTTAACCGCACATCACAGATCCCAGTACAAGAACAAACTGAAATCACATCCTGACTCAAAGGATCAGCTGTTAAACCTCCAACATGCTGCCCACAACTACTCATATAATCCCAACCTGGGCCACGGCTGCTAGTGAAAACCCTAAACTTTTATCTAACACAAAATCACGGCTTATCTATGGCAGATTTAATCCAAAAACATGAACATGGTGCAACGGGTTCATGGAGCTCATTATTTCACCCTATCCCGAAAGTCATCATGCCTTGCCCTTTTATCCCTCGTCTTTTCTACCTGTTCTGCACTGCATTTTGGTATGTTTTTTGCTTAACACTGTGAAGCCTTTTTTTTAAATGTCACAAAATGAAGACTTACTCTGCAGCTAATGACTTATGAGCATTCCTCCACATGTAGTTTTAACTGTGAAAAGTTGATATCTTACATATTTAAAACCCTGTTTCAGTGAGTGTTGCCTGCACAGTTAATAACATGCAGATTTAAACATTTAATCTGTCGTAGCTGCATTAAATAACTCACTTTTTTTTAAGCTGTTTTGTGCCAGCCCTGCTACTGGATAAGTTTAACATTCAGCCACTTATTGTGACAAGTTTCTCAGTAAGAATTTTGAGATGTCACAGCATGAGGAAACAAATGACAACAAAGTTAGCTGTGGGAAAATCCCATTTAGCAGCTTGAGTCTGGTGACCTTTACAGGGGGAAAAAAAGCATGGAGGAGAGAAGCTCTGCCTGACAGAATTCAAAATACTCAGCAGTACAATTTACATGATGGCATTTCTTGTTTTGTATGTTTTTGTATTTCAACTGTGACTTTATAGGATATTGACAGCTGGTCACACCCAATAAGGATGCCTATGAAAACTTAGTAATCAGGACTGAATGCTAATCATAGACGTGTTCAGTTTATTGATTGTTTTTTTTTAACGAATTACACTATATGAAGTACAATCATCCAATTCTCCATTTCATGCTATTCAATTATATGCAAAGTGAAATATTAAATGTAAATTTCAACATAATAAAAATGCTCACTCAAGCAAATCTAATTTTTTTGTGTGCGTGTTACACTTGTTATTATTTCAAAAAGCATTTCCAGCTTACAAACAGCCCGTGCAATGTGCTGACTCATTAGCGACATTTTTCACATCAAAGCATTCTCGTGTTAAATAACCGGCTGGAAATTCATTCCATCTGTATTCTTTTGAACTTTTCGACCCAGAGAGTTGCTAATGTTAACTTGGCTAAAAATATCAAATGACCCCCGGGCATTTACAGAACACAGAATAACATTAAATTATCATAAAGGCAAAACGTTAACTTTCTTTTTCTCCACATGGAAGGGTTATTTTTAACAGGTAAGACAAGGAATGTGAGCCTTTTTGAAGACTGCTGCAAGTCTGCCTCAATTTCTACCAAATAAAACTCTGACTGAGTGAAGTATCAATCTGTAAATGTCCATCTGTAGTTTATACACATGGCTGGTATATATTATAATCTGTAAATTCTAGCCATCCTATTGTACACATCCACATTAAGGCATTTTGAACAGTTTTAAACATGCATTTCTCACAGTTTGTTACATATTATATATGGAAGGATGGTATCACTAATGGATAACATGCCAAAGATGAAGCTTTCTCACAGTAAAATTCATTTGCATTTGCTCTCGGCACCTGGTTTTTATGCACAAAGAGGCAGTATAACAATACCCAGAAGAAAGTAGTGGTTATTCCCTCATGCTGAGGAATGATGTGTTATAAGGAAAATCTTTTTCTGCTTTCAGTAGACACTCTGTATCAAAGTTAAGAAACTTTTACCAGCATTTAAGTACTGTTCTGTGAGTCAAGGCACAGGTTTAATTAAGCTAACAAATCTTTTTCAATTAAATTTTTACACACAATAGCAAACAATTACACTCATGGCAGAGGCTTAATGAAGTGGAACATAGCACGCATCTCAATGGAAAAACAACAAATACATGACAGAGGAATGTATTTTTAAAAAAATAATAAAACTGCATATTAAAAAGACAAACAAGAATAGAAAATCAGTTTATAAAGACATAAATGGTATATACCTGTACTTTTTTTTAAGGGACCCCAGATTTACATTTTTAAATCTGATGTACTATCAGACCCACCACGGACGTACTGTTGTTTGTTCATTATGTTTTTCTTAGAAAGATTACCAAAAAAAAGTCATGCTTGGATTTGCACTTTTTTCCCCTGGATGAGGGGAAGGGCCCAGCCTATAAGTAATTCATTTTTTATGCTCATCTGCATTTAGGATTTTTTTTTTCCTTGTTCCAGCAGCAGCTTCAGGTGTTTTCTGCAGCCGTTCACACAGCTGGAGCACTTCCGCTTCATCTTCCCTGAGACAGCTCACTTACGTCCCAGTGCCTCTGCCAACTTCTTCAGCCTTTTCTTGAGCTCAAGAGGAAACTTCTCATAACACTTTTTACAAACAGGCTTCATGTCAAACTCTACAAACTTGTTCCTGCAGAAATGAAGGGGGAAAAAAAGGAATAAACAACACAGAAATCTTTGGGTGTTAAGACTGTGAATTAGGTATTTAAACACTTTGGACTAATTTTCTTTTGCCTACGAAAGCAAGAACTGATCGAGTGAAAAAAAACAGCAGCACCTCACTTAAGCTTTACTGCAGTCATGCTGAGTCATGCTCATATGTATGTTCGGAGGTCTTCTCACAGGTCCTTAAACTATGGCATTCAACCCTTTACTTAAGCAAATAATAAAGGCCTGCTCCAAAGGGAAAACAAAGAACCGCACAGAGAAGGACGGCGGCAGTCAGGGAAAGAACAGACGGAGCGGTGAGTTGTTTGGAATAACAACTACAGACAGACAGCAGACTTTTTCTTGCGTTCTTTGGTATCGCGCTCACGTCGGGCGAGGCGGCGTTTCAGCTCCTCGGGCATGCGTTCATAGCAGTGCTTGCACACTGGCCTCAGGTCAATTTCAACAAACTTATCTCTGAGTTACCATAGATGCAGCAAGTGAGGCATGTAAAAGGAAGAATTAGAGGAAGAGAGGGGAACAGAAAAGAGCCAAAGAGGGAAGGAGTGTAGGAGGAGAGTGAGAGCACACAGACAAGTGTTAATGCTGGAAGTGGAAAAGAGGGGGGTGAGAACAATGAGGTACTAGGAGCGCTCAGGGTTTAATTTTTTCATACATGTACACACAGATACTTACTTGAGAGTGAGTTTGGTGTTGCAGGTGGAGCATGAGAAACAACTGACACACCAGGCTTTGTTGAGAGCAGACACGACTGAGGGAGTTGCACAAAGACAAAGAAGGCATTATGAACAAATGACTGCTGCATCTTAAAGCAACACCCTGGGACTGCTGAGTCGTACACCATGTTAATTTAGTCCTTTATCACACTGATACTCACCATCGCCCTCAATCACACGGTTGCAGAGATAGCACACGTCACCAAAGAGCTTGACAGCAGAGAAACAAGGAGATTAAGTGTTTATCCAGCAAACACTAAGTCTCTTATTTGGACCTTTTTGCATGCACATCGTGACTCCCTACCTGGTTATAATGAGTCTCGCAGTAAGCCAAACCCTTTCTTTCATAATGGCGATGACCAAGGAATGGCTTCTCACATTTGGCACACACAAAATGCTGCAAACAAAAACAAAAGCTGCTGAGGGGCACCCCCGCTGAAGTGCAAAGACAAAAGGGACGACTGCCAACACAGATGGAGAGGTTGCTGACTTTTTCTGTATAACTGTCAAAGATAAATATGTTACAAGTCCTTTATGAGCAAATTCACCTGCAGAGAAATGTTCTCAAAGTTACTGAATGACCCAAAAGAAAAAACTCACTATGGGAACACTAGTAAAATTCCCAAAGGGCTTGTTTTTTTTGTTTTATTTATTCACATCATATTTAACCTCAAGTCTAAAGGAGAGACAACTTACCACTGAAGTGCCCCGGGTGCTTTTAACATAAAAAAAAAGCTTCCACAAGTAAATGAAGCAGCGAGTAAATGGGGAAAAAGTGGGTAGCCAGGGGTTTTGGTGCAAATTCTTACCTGCCAGTGAGTTGGATTCTAAATCTATTCAGCACAAGCTGAAAACACCTGCATTTGGTGCTTGACAGTGGTGGTAATTTAAGGAATAAAAACGCTATACTATACATCAGGCACTTTCTTTTCTCAATATGATAGGAAAAAGCCTTTAAACTGGAGTATACATACAGACAGGGACATTTCTCTGTAATCGCATTTAGTATTTCAAAACGAAGGGTTGTTGTCGTAAAAATACATGAAGCATAAAATAAGAGCCTCCAGCTGGGCTTTGGCAGACAGCCAGGTCTACTTTCTAAAGCCTGTCAGACGAATCCCTGAAGTGGTTATATGCTAAATATATGTAGCTAATTAGCCATCTTTAGCATCAAATCGTCTGCTCCAAACTGTTTATAGTATTGACTTTTGTGAAAACATTCAAACTAAGCAGCCTGCAGTACGAGCAGCTCAGTGTATGAGCTTCTGCACTTTTACCTCCAGAGACCTTTTTTTTTTTTTTTTAATGACGCCCTGGCTCACTTTTACTTATATGTAACAAAGTGTGAAGGTCAACAAGTTTTTAATAAGGTGTGTTGCATTCTTGGCTGTACACTGCTGCAGCACACTAGACCCCCCGGCCCCCTCTGAGGTCCTCTTACTGTAGCCCTCATGAAAAGTATGTTTTAACACAGGACATTTAAGCACAGGTCCATCACAAGTTTGTGCTTAATGTTCTCTCTATAATATGTAACCAAAACACAAATATGCTGATGTTGAATCCTTCCCTTCTATACAATGTAATAAGAATAAAATTAAAGTATATGTGCGTACAGAATCATAAACGCAGTATACACGTAGGCGTTTTTAGAGCGAATCTTTTAGACAAAGCAACCCCCTTTAGGAATACCGGGCTAAAATTTTAAAGCTGCCGGAGGTGTACTGATGAGAGATGATCTCTTTTCTGGATGACAAACCTCCACGTGCCACTGCTTGCCCATGGCGTTGACAACACGCCCTTCGATAGGCCTCCTGCAGGCCCCGCAGATTGGCACGCCCATCTTGTCATGGCAAGGTAAACAGTAGAGCTCTCCCTTCAGTTCTCTAGCATCTGCCGTCAACTCCTTCCTGGGGTCACAGGTAAAAGTTTTTAAATCAGATAAAACACGACCATTGTTATGCATACAACAGATGAACATCATCTATCTTGCGAGTAAGAGTAACAAGGAATGGTAGCACTGACCCACAGTTGCTGCAGTTGAAATGGTCCGGGTGATAAGGGTCATTCTTGAAGATCAGCGGCTGCTCCTCAATGATGGCGTGGCACTTCTGGCAGATGTACTTGCCCAGGCCGCGAGCTTTCTCGCGGTTATGGCACGGGCGACACAGGTGCCTGAGAGGAAGAAATACATTCATAGCACCACCCAGGAAGCTCGGGTAGTCTCAAATTATCTTTTGAGATATTCCATCGTAGCTGCTAAAATATTCTCTTATTTGTCAAAATGCAAAGTGAGTAGGCAGCTTGGTGAGTGTGGCCACCTGTTCTCCAGGCTGTCATGTTATTTTATTAAGACTTCAACAAGATTTAATGCATACCTGCCAGCATTTTTGACAAATCCCACATCTGCAAGCACAGCCTGGCAAATGTCGCAGCAGAAGCAGTCGGGGTGCCAGCTATTGTTCATGGCCTTAATGACACGACCTATGATGAACTCGCCTGTTAGAGACATAACACATAGGGCAAATCAGGCTGACTTTGACTGATATTCAGTGGGATTATGTCAGATTTGACAAAAATTCTCATTTTCTTTTTCTTTTCCAAACAAACTGTTTGTCAGTGGAAGTCTGAGACAACTTCCTGCATTACTTTCTTTAAATGACCATGACACAAGACCAAATTGAACTGTATTTCCCTTCAAAAATGTCAGTCCTCTACAGGTATGAATATAAAATCAATTTTACCAAAACCTGCTCAACTGCAATTTAGGATTTAGACTTGCTACCTTGAAACTGTACAACTATTCGGACAGACACTAACCTCCCGGAAATCTGAGCCAACTATATTAACGTCAAAGTTTTTCGCCAATACAAAGAATTTGTACATACTTCAGGCCATAGAATAACACAGGGCTTCAATTTTCAACTCCCACAAGAAAATTATATATCTGTGACTAAAACGCTCTTTTCAGGCTATCAGTCCACTGATCATTTTTCTGTAATGTCATCTTTTTATATAGAATATATCCCACTTGCCTTGAAGAGCCTGAAATCCTCTAACCAATCAGCATACTCTTTTGCAAACCTAAATAATTTACAACTCCTAAAGCAATTATTTCCATTCAACCACACACACAAAAAAACAGAAAAAGACTGAACGTGTCCCGCATATGCTTGTAGAATGATCCGATTATCCTGGCTGTCGCCCAGCCTAGTTGTGAGCAGAAAATACAAAAAATGAATCTGTTGAGACTGCGCAAAACTTACCACACTGATGACAGCAAGGCGCAAAGAGCATCTGGAAGTCATGTTCACAATATTTTCTTCCTTCAAACTATGAAGAGAAACATTCAAATTATTTGTTTACATCTCATATAGGACAGACTGATTTATCCACAGTACCGATGTGCTCTACCTCATAGAAGAGTCCATCGGGAAACTGCTGGAAACACTGGGCACACACAAAGCACTGCTCATGGTACAGCTCTCCATTACTGTTGACTATCTTCTCAGTTGGAGCGAAGCCACTCTTACATCGCTCACAGGCCGCACTGGCCAAGGCATTAGCAATGCTGTGGTAAGAGACAAGCAATACAAGTCTAAACAGACAACTCGTTCATACAAAGCATAGATTGAATTTAGCCCCAGACAAGATTAAGCTGACCCAACCCACACAACGTTGAGTGGACTCAACACCAGTTATTTTTGATCGTGGGGCTGATGAATAACTGGAATGCAAGTCTGGGCCAATGTTTAGCATTTGCCACATTACTCCTGAATCAAGTCCTGCACTTATATTAGCAGCTGTGACTTAGCAAATGGAAATTGTATGTGAACTCAAACGCTGTTACTTTGCAGCTGTCAGCCACTTTGGTTAAGAAATAAAAGGTCCTGGGGTCAGAGTGAGACTGAGTGCAGGATGACCACAGTATCAGAAATTACTTATGAATTAATAATGAATTATCATAGTGTTTTTAAAAAAAAAGAACATAACTGGGACTGAGGAATTGAGTTCAATTAAGAGGCTAACAATTTGGAACGTAAGAACATTTGTTTGCTTCAAACAAAATGTTCTACTTTTTTCTTCATAAACAGAATATTTAGTATGAAAGCAACGTAAACATTCCTGGGGATAACTTGAAGCTATTAATGGACAAACACAGGAAAACCGAAGGGCTTGTGAATGTTGATAATAATGCTTAAAAACAGTTATTGCTGTGAACAGCCCACTAACTAGCATGCTAACTGAACGATGAGGAGCTAATTAACTTCACAAAAAAGAACATACCTCAAATGACAACGAATCGCGTATGTAATGTTTATATCAATCACCACTTTTGTCATTTTAATGTATCCATTCTATCCAAACTTCTGGTCAACTTTAGCCCCGTGGTTAGCTACTTTGCACAACCCAAAAAAAGCATTAGCTTATGTTCGTTAGCTTCCAAAGCTAGCTGAGCGTTGATGAGCGAATGTGAGGATTTTGTCAGCTTACAAGTCGCAGAAGAATCATACCTGCCCGTCATTCCTGCCACCGCCAGCATCGCACTTTAACAACGCAGATTCTGTAGATCAGGTAAAAATATCTAAAAAGTACTTTAACCGAGTTCTCGAAGTTTATGGACTTGTGTGAGCTGGCACAGCCGTGTCTCCGCCCCCAGTGGGAGTGACGGCGCAAGGCTAGCAACATTAGCCTTCTACGGCTACATTGGAGGCAATACCTCACACTCCTGAGATGTACAGAGCATGTACTTCTGAGATGAGATCAGGCTGATTTACGGAAAGCCTGATGTCGTCCTAAAATGAGCTGAAAAAAATTATGTCAACATTTATGAAAGTCCAATTTTTCATAACTATATATTTCCAGTCCATGGCCCTAATGTGTGTTTTCAAGATATTCATCCTTTAATATAAAAAAACATATCAATATTATAAAAGGAGAATATACAGACTGAACATTTTTACACTGTTTTCACTGCAATAAACCATTTTACTAACCTAATACATACTTATATTACTTCTAAAGTATTAATAAATCCATCAACTGTTTAATTTCGTGTTATTTTTCAAAAGAATTGCATTATGTCTGCCTTGCTGCCTTTACATGATATTACATTTACATTAAATTCTTCATTAGGCATTTTCTCTTTAATCACCAGCTACTCAGGTTAACAGGGGTGAGAGAAAGGTCAACTCTTTACAGAATAACTTTTGGGAAAGGTTCACTACTGTGGAACACTGAAGATATTTATAATTTATTTTATTTTATTTTTTACATATGATCAGCATGGCTATGCAGTAATATCTCACTTACAAAAGTGGCAGACGACCTGGTCGCAAGTGAAAAGATCTTCTGTAAACTAAATGTGAAAAAGAAAATTAGTTGAAGAGAAGATTTAACTGACACTAAACGGCAGCACTCTTAAATTCCCAAAATTGTGAAGGTGGTACTACTGAACGACTAAATGTTTGCTGCAAATAACAAAGTGGTATATATATACAGTATATTAACACATCTTCTCAAAACTAAAACCTACCATATCTTGGCTGTTGAGAAGTAAGAGTGTTGTGTTCAAAGACATGTCTTTCATAAGGTTAGAGAGGGTAAGATTAGAAAGGGTAGGACAGACAGAAACCATCCACCATTGATAGAAATTCACAAGTGAAAGCATCAAGATTGTGCCCAAAAAAAAAATGTCAAAAGAGTGATTTTTTTCCCAAAGGTTTTATGGTCAGATAAAAACTAGAGTGACTCTTTGCGGAGCAGATGGATCACTAATGGACGCAGAGGACCACTCTGAGCCAGGAGCCAGCAGGGTGAAGGAGAGGCCCCGTATGGGCAGCTATCATTAAGAATAATGAGCTGGAGCTCTCAGGGTTGAGGATGGACTTAAAATCCAATCTCAAACCCAGCCGACAGTTTCTGGAAGCTGTTTTCTTCAGGCAAAAAATACCATCCCTGCGTTTCAGACCTCAGCCGCTGGCTTTCACACTAAAGAAAAACCTGCCAAACTCACAACTCGGCAGGCACATCAGCGGCTTTCTTGATTTTCCTTTAAAAAATCTGGACCTGTAGAATTGAGGATTGGTCCGCACAAAACAGCTGACGAGTAACACCAGTATTTTGACTCAATCAGTGGTGAGCCATGACCGGCTTCTTTCCCCTCCAAGAAATATCCCCTGCAGATCTTTTTAAACCCTGAGATCTAACATTTTTATTTGCTATGAATGGAAAGGAAGATAAAAAATTTAAAAAGTCTCATCAGATTTCGCTCAGTGTGGCTATTAAATGAGCATTTCCTCTTGCACTCATGTCTGGTTTTATGTCCTTGTTTACTGTTACTGGGGGAAGATATTTGGCTTTGAGTTATGGCTGAGCTACATGTATAAAGTTTACTCATATTTCACTCGAGGGTTTTCCTCTTCCAGACATCACACTGGGGTATTAGAGACTTAATCTTACCTTTTTAAACTGTCTTACATGGTAGAATTTAAGCATATAACCTTGGTCATGTTTTTCCCTAAAGTAATGAGTGATATTAGGAATGTCTTTTTCTCTTTAATAAAACATCATCTTTCTACGAAGCCCATAAACTGTGACTAATAGTCTCAACACTGACTTAGTGTTATTTGATCTAGCAAAGCCTTTACATCCATCCTTTTAACTGTCTTTAGAAAATTGCTTATGACAAAAAAAAAGGAAGAAAAATCTATGATAAACAAGCTCAACCGTGACGGAAGCTCAAAGAAGCATAACTAAGTTTTCCTCTCCTTTTTTCTGTTAAGGATTTTGCACTTCTTTTTAAATCTTTCAGGGGCCACTTCACCACATCAATTAGACGGCTTTTAAATTCTGCGCATGAAGCCAAATGTGAGGTGGAGGATCAATAACGGGTTTCATTTACATTATCAATGGTTCGTCTTCAGACTTTTTAAGGACAGCTTTGATCGACTGAAGATAACTGTTCGGGAATTGAGTGTTTTTTTTTTAAAATTACTTATTCGGTTTCATATGTCATCATATATCATGATCAACTGAGTGTGGCACATCTCAGCTGTTTTGAGGGCAACCGCACAGCATGTCCTGCTGCAAATGAGAGCCTTCCTGGCTCTGTGATCAATCTGTAAAACAGTCTTTCTCCCCACGTGATTCCTAGTTGATAAATAAGTGCACTTCAGAGCAGAGAGACCAAACTGTGAGAAGCAACTGTCAGTTGAGTTTTTCTTCAGATGAGATTGCCTGCTGGACGCACAAAAGTACGCACTCAGGTGTCAGCTTTGTGAAATAAATCCAGACAAAACATGCTTTCATTCTTTTTAATGCGGATATACACTGAACTGAAATAATACAGATCTTTGGGAAAAATACAAGCTACCTTCTACGAGTCTTTTCTGTACAAAGTGTCATCATTCAGCTGAAATAAAGACACCAAGCGTACTGTAATCTCTCTGAGGACTACGCTGCTGTCAGTAAGCCTGTCCTCTAAGATTATAATAATCATCTTCATGCACCGTTTAGCACTTAATACAAGTAGAAAATAATAGCACACCTGCCGATTTTTGTAAATGCAAAGTAAAATTAACCATGTGACGGTGATCGATGTCCTCTGACAGGTAAAACATCCTAATTAAGACTCGCTAGCTCTTTTATGTTGTAGCGGGATATTAATGTGACTACTGAAAAGGGAAAAACACCAACAGTGTTAACCAGATATCTGCTTTCAAAGAGAATGAGATGATTTAAAAGTTTCATTGCACAACCCCACAGCGCAAAAGCTTTCATCTTTCAACAAGCCCACCAGCAACAACATCCTTGCTAATTCCACCCCTTAATTACTGTTTCACTACACTGTAACGGATCGATACTAAGACAGATATATCTCATGCCTGTGCATTCAGGAAAACGTTCAGTTTCAGTTTCAGTTTTTTTAAGAACCCTAAATTGTATACATTTGTTCTTATAAAGGCTCAGCCCAATCACAAAATCTGTATGCCTCAATATTTTTTAGAAGCATCCCTTGGCTGGAAAAACTATTAATTTCAACAATTCAAAGGCTCAGCCCTAACACAGAATCTGTTTACATCAATATTTCTTTTAGAAAACATAAGAGTCGCACTGCACTGTCAGAAAGATTTTTTAAAAAATTAAACTATTCTACCTCTGAGTATATAAATCTAGAGCATTAAAGTTGAAAATAGTACTTATCAGGTTGATTAGCTTCCAAAAGAGTGTCAGGCCAATGCTCAAAACCATCATCTTTGGCAGGAAAAACAATTCATTTCATGTCCTAATGGCACTGAAGCTCATATTGCTTCAGCAATCTTCATTAGAGGAAAAAGTGCATCCAAAGCATCCATTACATGCATAAACAATATATTAAATGGAATATATCCTTCCCATTTCTTTTTAAATATAAACTCTGCCAAGGAAATTCAGACATAGAGCTACTGCCAATTGCAACCCAAAATATCTTCAAATATATCTGGTATATATGATGTATATGATATTTACACAGCGTTTGTAGAGTTAGATTATCAAAATAGCAAATTCTTTAGATAATATTGCCCTTATGAAATGGCTACTCTTAGGAACTGACAACAGCTTAGTTTACATCAAACCAAAGACAGAGAAGGAGACATGTTTTCTTTTCGATGTGAGCCACAGGGACTCGGACAGACATTCAAAAACATAAATAAGTGCTACACTGAGGGGCTGCAGGAGCCGCTGACACACAGAGACCAAGCTGAGATTAAACAAAGAGTCTGTGTGCCCCTGCCTGCCTCCCTGACCGAAATCTTCTGGTCGCCATTCAGACAAAAGAGGCAGTCCCTTCAAATAGTATGAAAAAAATTAGACAAAAACGTTCACGCAAGTTGAAATTTCAAACGTCGACAAACATTAGCTTATTATGGTGATCATCTCCGTCCGACACATTTCCTACATTAGCTGTAAACTAACATAAACCAGAAAAAAGTGCCATGAAGGCAGTTTTCCCATGAGTTATTTCTGTAAGGTTTTATTGTTTTTAAATCAAAAAGCGTGTAACTAAGAAAAGTTATGATAAGGCATAATGTTTACTCTATCCATATATGTACTAAATATGTTGATCTGCGCGCTCATCAAAAGCACAGAAGTGGTACATAAAAACACCAGATGATTAGTTTCATAGATGCGTCATGAATGTATTCTAGAATGAAACTCGAACAGAAATGTGGAGTTAAAACGAATACTACATGATCTAAAAAAAGGGACACAACTCAAACGCATGACGTTTCCTCCTTTTTTCAGGTGCTCTGTGGTGTGTCTGTAAAACGGGCCTGCCTCGCGCGCGCCTATGCGAGCCCGTAGGTTTCTACCAGGTGGGCATCATGTCTGGGAACCAGACGCGGCCCAAGTGCTTGGACACCTCCCAGTGGATGTCGTCCAGCTGATAGCGGTGATCTGGAACCAGCACCTCCTCCATGATGGAGAGCTGCGCCAGCCGGTCGCCGCACATCCTGACGAACTCCACGAAGGCGCTGCAGGACACCTCGCACTCGCCCAGGCCGATGGCCGACAGCTGCGTGCAGCGCTGGGCGATGCGGATCAGCTCCTCGTCCAGCGGGCGCAGGCCGTTGGCGCACACCACCAGCTCCACCAGGCGCGGGCAGGTGAGCCCCACGCGGCCCAGCACCTCCTTGCTGACGGAGCGGCCGAAGTACAGGTGCGTGACGGGGATCTCGTCGCGGAAGAAGGGGCCGAACTCCTCCTCGTAGAGGAAGAAGTACATGACCAGGTTGAATTTGGGAGAGTGGCGTACCATGGCGTCCCAGCTGCTCTTCTTGATGGTGTGGAACTGCTGGCCCGGGTTGTCGCTGACCACGTCGATGCGGAGGTGCTCGAGGTGAACGTGCTTCTCGGAGGAGAGCGCCAGGAGGAGCTCGTCGCTCAGCAAATGGTAGTTGAGTGCCAGCTCTCTCAGGCCGTGGCACTGATCAGCCACACACATGATGCCTGCAAACAGAGAGCAGAGTCACTGAGAGGCTCTCATCACAACTAAAGTAACCTGGTTTCCATCCAAAATAAAGGCAAACAGCAAGCAGAGAAGGATCCCTCTTATGTAGTGCATTAACCAGAAAATACTTTACACAAATAGCAAAAAAGAGACATTTTAAAACAGAATTTTCCTTTAAAAGGAGAGCAAATTGATTTGGTCTTTAAGAAGCACGAAGAAATCTAGGGTTTTTTGTTTTTTCTTTCAAATAAAGTTACTTTTTGTTGTCATTGTGAATTTTCATACAAAAAATGATTCGTGAAATATCAAGTTTTGACTGAAGTAACTACTATAGAGCAATAAAAAAAAAACACGCTGTTACTAAGCAGCATTTAAACCTGCTTTAGTCATCGTACATTACAGGCAGTACCTGCGGGCGAAACATGAGGGCAGCTGCTCATTTTCAGCAGTTTGAGCGTGTCGCTGTTGTTTGCCACCAGGACTTTGAGAGAAGGGTCGTCAACAGGCGTGTCATCAATTTTCAGGGAGGACAAAGATTTGGAGTTGACAAAAACCACCGTCAGGGCTGAGATGAAGTGAGACTAGTACACAAAACAATAAAGAGAGCAGCTTTCAGTGACCTCTCATTCTGGCTCTATTTGCAAAAGAATAAAGTAAGAAGTAGTCAATATGCTCCCAGTTTGATTGTTTTTTGTTTTTTTTACTTTGAATAACAGCTTTATTACAAGTATTCACAGTGGATGTTTAGCTGGCAAAAAAGGCAGCAACGTAAATGTACTGCGGCTCCGTCGTATACACGATATGCTCTGTATGATTTATACAGAGACATTTCACTCAGAGAGCTGGGAGCTTCCCACCGGCGCTCACCATCCATCATTCCAGCTGTGTTTTTTTCCTTTACATTCATCAAGGACCGGAGCACTAAACCGGAGAGTCGTCACATGCCTTCAGGCTCACCTTGGGCATCTCCATGAAGCTGGGCTTGGCTGTGGAGATGAGACCCAGAGTTTTCAAAGAACAATTCACAAGCTGAGAGAGGATGTCGCACGCTGCCTCTGCAGACTCCCTGCTGCTGTCCACCTGCACGTAATAAAGAGGACATGAACAACGGGAAGCCCTTTCACCACTAAGCCCCCGACTCGGCGGCACCGCACCTTGAAGCTGACGTATTGTAGGTGGTTGGAGTGCCTTTTTATAATCTGTTTGATTAGGTCCGGGTGCGTGGCTTTCAGGTAGGAGCTTGCCGGCTGGTTCAGCTCGAACTCAAAGCAGCGCCACAGCTCGGGCATATGGAAGACCTCGTTCCATCCCCGGCAAACCTGCAGCGACAACAGCAGGAGGTCCTTTACCCGTGAAACAAAACTAAAAAAGCCTGTTAACTATGACTAGGAGGGGAAAAAAGTCAGCAGCTAACACTGTTAACGATAATCCGACGGCACGCGAAAGGAAAACATGGCTTTCCTTTCTGAAAATGCCGCGTGGCTTTTATCTGACAGTTAATGGGTAACTCGTTTTTCAGCATTCAGCAATATCCGCACAGTCTTCACACGAGCATTGTTAATAAGTGTGCTAATGATGCAGGTGTGATGAAACTCTGACAGAGAGATAAGCCGGGAGGATTAAAAAATGCTGGTGGTTCCCACAGTGTGGACAGATGCAGAGTAAATGAGCGGGAAGGAGGAAAAAAGTCTCCCGTGTTTTGACATTTCTGCCACGCTTTAATGCAAAGTGTTTGCTCTGCCCTAATCATGATGCCATGTTCCTATGCTAGTGTTTAATAACTACAAAGTATCTCGATAAGGAGGGTGTTTTTCTTCATCTCTAGAAATGTAGCGCTTCTGTCTTCTGCAGCCTCTTGAATATATAATTGGGTTCAGATTGGGTACCCGATTGGGTTATTTCATTGCGACAATCAGTGGAATGAAAAGTGTGGGACAAAATAAGCTGAATTGAACCTCTCAGCAGAAAGTTAGATATATCCGTACTATTGCTAAGCGAATGCAAAGAGTGAAAGCCTCACCTATAACAAGTGTGAGTAAAACCCACTGGAGCCCCAGAAGAAATGTTTCACATTAAGTCAATCCCTTCCACCGAGGTGACTGATTCACAAACAGAAATTGAAAGAAAAAGAAAAGCAAAAAAAACACTGAGCAGTGCTGGGGAGCTTACAATTATCCATCCAGAATACTAAAGCACCGCTGTCTTTCTGTCTCCCAAAAGCTCTCAGGCAAGACTACTGAACAGGAAAAAGAAACAACATGCTGAATAATTTTATTTTGTCTGCTGCACTCGTCAATCTCCATCAACCAAAAAGTGTTGGCATGGCAACGCCTCTGGTTTTCTTTAAAATACAATTAAAAGCATGCTCCCTTTAAGGGTCTCATTCTGAAATTAGTCAGAGCAATTGTAATGGTTAGAATTAAGAACAAGAATATCAGAAAAAACATCCTCCAGCCCGATACCTTTCACAATTTCCAACATCAAACGAGTACCTGAGAAGCGTATGCCCTGTCCAGCAGAGGCAGGTACTGAAAAATGTGAAGCAGGATCTCCGGTGGCAGATTTTCCCATAGGGCTCCCTCGTTTTCCACCTTCCTCTGCTTGTGGGATCGTTTAAGAGTCTTCTGACAACCACGGCTTGGGCCGCCTCCATCCTCCTGCTCATTCCCTTCAAGGCCTCTTTTCATCCTGTGTGGACATAGGAGAGGTTTCACAGGCAGATGTTAATCCATGTTTTCATCCTGCTGTACATATCTGGTGGGCCATCAGATGGCTCATTTCCAAGTCTTCGTCTAAACCTTATGACCTGGCTAATTTGTCCACAGCATGTTTAATTGTTTTAAGGTGAGCAGCGGAGTATGTTTGCTTGGAATGAGAAGAGCACCACCCACAGAATGTGAAAGGTAACAACATTTTTTCCCCACACTTTCTTGCTTTAACATCTACGTAATGGTAAGCAAATACTCAGGAAGGCATTCAGAGTGAGGAATGCTTAATCCACCACCCTTAACCCTGCTACTCACAGGACACCAGCATTCACAGTTATCCACTTTGTGGGCAATGGTGGGCTGGGTGCCACATCCCCGTCCCATGACTACTGGTTCCAACCGGCCCCTGCGTCCCCTTGACCATCAGGAGTTCAGACATCCATTTAAAGTCGTAAAAAGTACATGCACAAAGGATGGGGACAGTTTTACCATCGTGATTCATTCTAGTCATTATGAAAACAAACATTCCATGTATTAGCTGTCATTTTGCTAATCCCTCTGTGGTTTAAACATTTATCCATATAAGACCTCTGGGAGAGAACCAGTCATGGATTTACATAGTGTTCATTATCTGTGCAATGATCAAGCAATGAGTTACAGGCTAGTTGTCCACGACCAGAGGTAAATAACCAAAAAAAGCCTCCTTTGGGAGCCTCCTCAGCCCCCCACAATAAGGACGTTTAACTTCGAGGACACGCCTCCCTCTGTCTCTACACACTGTTTATCGTCCAGAAGTAAAATTTGCTTGGGAAAAGTTAGTTTAGACCCTCTGAATGTCTTTTCAGCCCGCATTTACGGTCATAACTGAAGCAATGCTGGCGAGCTTTCAACAACACAAACACACAAACCAGGACTTAGCTTAACCCCATCCTTCCACGCGCTGAGCTAATTATTACCCCGCTGTAGCCAGTTAATATGCAATTACAAACAAACCAAGAAAAACACCTTTATTAGTTCGGTTAGAACAACTTTTTGAGAAGCCGTCCTGACAGAATGTTTTCCTCACCTGGCTTTCACTGCCGCCGTTTGCTGTTTGTTTTGAGGCGTTCACTCAACGTCAACCGGGACCGACACAAGAAAACTGCGTTCGAGCTGACCGACCGATCAAACACATTGGACCATACGGCGGTGCGGTGGGACGGGAGGACGGCAAACACCGCTAGGAAGCTTTCGAAGAGAAATTTCCTAAAGTGTCTGGGCTTTCCAGGCGCCTGACCTAATTTGGCTCCACAACTCTGCCTCGGTACTTTGAGGATCTGCTAAAGATGGCGTTTGTGTTGTTGTGAAGCGAATTCAGAGGCCTGTAGTAGCAGCGGTCAGTCGGCAGGTGGAGCTGTTTCACCCACAGGCCGGTGAACCTACCGCCGTTTCAGTCGCAAGAAATGGGTTTAAAGGAATATTACAACGTTTGCTTAATTGTTCAAAATTGACCAAGTATACCAATGTATGCAGGCCATGTAAATTTAGACTCCGAAAAGTTGAAAAACTATATCAAGGTTTGGTCTCAGTTGCATCGGGACTAGACTGCTAAATGATTTTAATGGCAAATTGAAAAAACTTAAATACGTCTTTCACACCAAAAAATAGAGAAGCCTTTTTTTGTTTCATAAAATGAATTCTCGATTTTAAAAAACAGTCTGATTGTTTAATGTGGTGGTGTGATTTAGTTTTCAGGTGGAAAAAATGTCTGCTGCATGTGGCCACAGGAACTCCAGGTGTTCAATATGGTGGAATATGAAAACAGGCCTGGAGATGGCTTTAGAGTCCAAGGTTCAAGAAGGTTTTTGAGCTATGCTCAGCTTGATACACATCTATGTTGTAGCCGGGAGTCCAGCATTGCCACTGACCACAGAGCAATGCTCCACTTGGTGTGGACTTGGTGTGGTTTTATGGCACAATGCACATAAGGAGGGGCACTGTTCAGATGGTTATTTTCAGTGAGGAAACGTAGAAACAAACTCAGTTATGAAAAAACGAGAGCTTTTGTCTCGCACAGGTAGTGGCGTTTGCCACCACAAACAATGTCGTCCCAGGAGTTCAGCCAGTCCTCTGTTCCGATTGCTTTCGGGGGCACGATAGCAACGCAATCCTGTCCTGCCCCATCTGTGTCCCAGCTGGCAATGGCGTTATTGGGCTCCATGTCCATCCAGTAGCTGACATCCCATTTGATTCTTTCCCCAGTGATCCAAAAGTGAAGGCCCTCCTTCACCATGTCTTGCAACCCAATCCAAGCTGAATGGAAGTATCTATCAGGATGTTTTTTAACATATTGATAAGTCATGTTGGTCAGGAATGCTTGTTCCGCCTCACTCGTCACAACAGCCAAGTCGGCATTATTATCAAGACAAGTCCTGCGTGCATCTTCCCACTTTTTTTGGTCTTCAGACAGTAAGTAGCAGCGTGAAGCGTGCTCGACCCAACCATGTGGACAGGACACACACTGCATTGTGACGTTGTTGCAGAGAGTCCAGAGGAAGGACAGTTTGTTCGCGGACAAAATGGAACTCTGCCGCTGATTTATTGTCGTCAGTTGTGTATTTATCTGCCGCTCAGTGTTTAACATGGAGTGCAGCTTTTTATTTTCTGCTGAAGCAAGGGCGATGATTGAAAGTGATTTATTCAAAACTATGTTCAGCAGTTGGTTCTCCATTTCAATGAGGGTGCAGTTTTCTAGCGTTGAATTGAGGAGCACGTCCAGCGCTTTGTTCTCCTCTTGCAGCTGCATTTTTTCTTGCAGCGTGCCATTCAAGAGTTTTCTCAGTTGGACATTTTCAGCTGCAATTATTGAGCTATTGTACAAAGTGGAATTTAGGACCTGGCTCATCTTGTCATACTCCTTTTCCATTTTGGTAAAGTTCTGTAAAGTTGAGTTCAACAGTTTCCTCAGATGCGTCACGCTGTTCCTCTCCTTCGTTATCTCCTTCGTCAGTTTATGTAATTCTGATGTCAGACTTTGTTGATTTATCACCATAATAATGACGATGATGGTCATTGTAAAAAAAAGGCCATTCAAGATAATGATCACAATAAGTTTCCAATGAGATCGCAGTCGTTTCATACAGCCAGGAGTCCCTACTTTGTCTGTCGCAACTTCAGCCACTGATTCATCAACGTTTGTGCTAAAGAAAAAAAAAACAGAAATAAATATAGATGTTAGATCAAGAGATTTTACATTGTTTTAAAAAAAATGGAACTGAAAAAAAAACATTACCAGAAATACATTTTGTCTGTGTGTGTCAGCCTTGACACACACAGACATCTAAAGCTTGCTTTAAATTGAGTCATGCTACAGGAACATTAACACAAAAAAAGCTGCAAACCTACAACAGATCTGAGTCTGGATTTAATGATGGAGGGACATTTGGAGAGATTTTCAAAAACAATAGCCTGCAGACCTCAAATAATTCACACAACCATGTAAAAAACAGTGGATCAAATTTTTCTCCAAAACAATCATGACATTTACCACAAACTGTGGCTGTAGTTAACCCTCATGTTGGTTAAACCTGCAACGATGCAGTTGATGTCATGTGTTTTAGGTCATCTGAAGTTTCCTTTACCTCATTTTAGAAAATTGAGCTCATTCTAAGAAGCAGGATTAGTTGTTTGGTGAGATAACCTCCATTTCAACTCTGTGCTCTCGCTGTCACAAAGCAGGCTCGCATTTTAGTGAAATGCATCCCCATAGCAACTCATGATAAAAATCTTTCCACCCAACACAGCCCCCCGGGGCTCAAGTGCAGATAGGGTTCAAGCAAGGGATCAGCACATGTAAGTGTGCGACCTACCAGACAGCAAAATCTTTATTAAAACGCTGAAAACATTGACATTTAGATTTCTGAGCGGAGACTAACAGGATTCTTTTTTTTTTCTGACTTTCTTCTTCTCTCTCAGAACAAACCTGTTACAATTTGAAGCATTATGAGAAACAATGATGATATCATCTTTTTTTTTTCCGATTTGTTTTACATACAACAAATGTCATCTCAATTTACTTCAAAGACACTGTGCAATCCAATCTAATTAGAGTCCAATTGACTATGGTTGGGATGTTTTGAAGAGTCTTTGCTGAGCCCCGAAAAATGGCATCAACCTGTTCAATCTACTCAACTTGAAAGGAGGTCACACTCACGATCGCACAGGTGTGTGTTACTGTAATTTGTTCAGCGGACCCTGTTTATCACATTAAACCTGTCAATTCAATCATTTCCAATTCAACATCAGCTATTTCATCCTGAGACACAAAACCAGAGAGTGTTTCTGCTTAGAAGGACTGTGGACTGTTACTGCCTGTCCTCTCCCTTACCCGGTTCCTAGTCCCTCTTCTTCTCCCTTCTCTTCATCCTTTACCCCGTCGTCGCTGTGAACCGAAAGAAGAAAACAAACAGTTCAGATATGCCTGTTCCGCTTATCCAGTGTCCTCAGATTTTAAGAACATGCAGCAGAGCACGCAGAAACGTGGCGGGTTTCCAGCAAACAGCTCTGTGAGAATCACAAGGTTGGAGAGGTAATACCTTTGAATTAGATTCAAGCATTCAGCCAGTCTATTCACGGTCCTATGTGTGGCAATAGGTTTGAATTAGATTCAAGCTTTCAGCCAGTCTATCCACGGTGCTATGTGCAGACATCTGCTTGTGGTAGATGGATTTTGACACTGCTTAGCTCTGCCTCCTTCCTCCTGGAAGTGAGGGTCGTCCTTATTCCAGCCAAAACACAATGTCCCGTCATTTCGCAGGTTTGCAAGGCATTCAGAGACATAACCTCGTGACTGACAGCGGGCCTGCTAATGGTTCATGCTTTAGACATTTGGGCTGATTCGGCTCGAACCGACTTCGGATAAGCGGTGGAAAATGGATGAATGGGTGGATGGACATTTGGGACTGAAGTTAATAGTCTGCTTATGACTCACACATACATATAAATCCATTGGAACTTGACTGATTTGGAGAAATCCTCACCGGTGTGTCAGCTGGATGTGTTCGGGGTCGGCCAGGCCACAGTTCTCTGACTGCGTTTCTGGACCCTCCATCACCTTCTGCGCGTCTTCTTTCGACGGGGATTCCATGTTTTGGGGTCTAGGCGCTATCAAGAACAACATATAATCCTCAGAAACATCGCGCCAAAAGTAAAAAAGGAAACGCGTTACTTGTTGCCCCCGTTGCCATGCCAACGCCGGTTCTCAACTGAATGTCGTGAATTTTTATCAAATCATTTAAAAGACATGATTTTTGCTAAAGCATGGATAAGTGATGAATTCTTTGAGAAATCAGTTTTACTACGTTTTTTATAGCATTTTAACAAGGCCGCGTCTAAAAACAGAAAAGAAGATGATCCTAAACACACGTATTGTTTTATAAGCCACTCAACACCTGACCTACTTTCAGGCATTAAAAATGGCGCCTAACTCAAAGGTTGACCTATAGCTGTCTATTTCTATAGAATTGCATAATGTCATAAACACGGCAAACATGAAAGCAGCAGTCTGATATCCATGTTTTTTTTTTATTAAAATGGGGGCAGATATACAGTTTGCACTCCATCCACAAAGCCATTGACTTAGAAAGCAACAAACAGGTACAAATGCAGTATATACATCAGTATACATATATTTATAAAACACATTAGCAGTATTACATGCAGATTTTCTTTTTAAATTTCCTGTTGTGAAGAAGCTTTGATCAAACTGCAGACAGACAGTGGCTGCGCACAAGCTGTGGCCTGAAGTGAAGCGAGTCAGAGCCACGGTGACCGGGTTTCCATCAAGGAGAATGTTTGCAACGTTTTACACAGAAATGTACGGCAATTTGGTAGCTTCAACGGCACGAGCACCAGAAAAACAAGCAGATTGGGCCGCTCACGTTCAGCATGACAGATGAGCGTGAAATGCCACAAAAGTGCAGAGCTCGGCGTCTCCACCGATGGGCGTGCAGCCCGGGAAAAACCATCATGTTTGTAGTTTTTGGAAAGGTTTTCTCATAATTTTTTATGCATCCTTTGCCACCTTAGGTTTCTTTTCTGCTGAGAAAAAATAGCTCATCACAGTCAGACCCTCAGGCAGATAAGTCCCCGATTCAGACTGCCCGTGCAGTTGAGCTGCATAAATGTCCGTCTGACAAGAATATTTATGAAGTCCAATACGCACTTGGCTGTTTTGTGAGACATGCACAACATTTAAAAAACATTTAAGGACGTGGCAGTGCTCTGGGATGACAAGCCGGTAAAGAATGTCAGAGCTTCTTTATGACTGAAGACAGGTGACCTCCGCTTCTTTCCATTTTTCATTGAGGAAAGTGTCATGATTAAAAGGTTAAAGCCATAACTCCAGCACCCTGGAGGAGGCCCAGGTGAGTGCTGCTCACGGACTTTCAAAGGGGTGTACAAGAACAAGTCTTGCATTCTAAAGTTGTCCAAACAGACAAAAAAAACAGAGAGGTTGTGTGCATTGTAATTACATGTAATGTTGTCATTTGTTTTATTAGAAAATTACGTTTTCACTCATATCTGCCACTTAGTGCCATTGTCATGTGCCATCACATCATGACTGATAACACTGACTGAGCCATTAACTGGTAAATATTTATATCTCTAAGTGAAATATTGTAATTCCAGAGTTCAAATAGCCATTGTAATGGACTGTGATGTTTGCTGCGACTGTCAAGTTGAATCAAATGGGTCTGATCTGCATAATAATCCCACAATTTCAGAGAAATATTCAGGATAACTAGTAATGCTGAAGCATGGTATTAGCTGATTACCACAAGACTGCAGTTCCTTTCCATTTGGTTTGAACATATTACACATGACTGCCACCTGGTGGTCTAGTTTTTCCTAAACCTCTCCACAAAAAAAGATAAAGCCAACCAGGAAGAAGGAACCGTCCAGCTGTGAATGTAAAAAAATCAGTAAACAATTATGATGGGATTGAAATACCCTCTGTGGAACCAGAAGTCTTTGAATGTCCAGCTAAAACATGAGAAGAAAAAAGCATCCACTGTCACTGTAAGTGTACTGCATCTGATCTTAAGCATATTTAGGAAAAGAAATGGAAAACCCATTAAGCTCTAAACATGAAAAGCACAGCTTTCTCTATTCTCTTAGTTTGAGTACATCCTCTTTACTGCAGATGTGTTTGTTTTAATCTCGCACTCTAAATAAAAGAAAATGCAGTCAATGGATGTTTCAGACTTTGTAGGTTTTGTTTAACCAATGAACTGCCAGTGTTCATCCATCTTTTCATCCTCATGTTCTTCATAAGCAAAGTGAAAGAATCTGAGGCATCCCTGTTCTTTACTGATTAACTGGGTCACCTGTCCAGAACAGTTTTTGCTGTGACAGCTTAGGTGTCTTCGGGCTCTTTTCTGAAACCGAGTGTGCATTTTGCCATATTTGGATATTTGTTGGATTGGGGTTTTAGTTTAAGGTCTGAATTTCTGTTGGTCTCTCAACACCACTTTGCCACTTAATAATACAGACAATTTGGAATCATTTTATTAATATTTCAAAGGGGCCTTTTTCAGTTTTGTTTGATGATAGTGTTACAATAATGAAGGACCAAAACAGACATTAAGAGCAGCAGGAGAGAACAACAGTGGGGGGGGGGGGGAACTCCCATTTTACCCAAAACACATGGTTTACAACTGAGCTCTGACACATCAACTAATAATGTAGAGATGACACATTTTGTTTTAAGTCGCTCTAATTGGTCTGGACACCCACAGTCCCACCAATCCTTCATAAGACTTCATGTTTCTGCTTCTCAGACAAATCTGGAGACGACGTCTCTCACTTTGGTAACGAAACATTCAAATTCTGTTGGGCTTTGAGCAAACAGTTTCTTTAAAAGAAGCAGTCTTGCAGACTAAAACACTTTGCTAACCTTGATGTTGACTGAGGGAAAGCAGGGACGAGGAGACAAAGACCTTTTCAGTCAGTACTCATGATTTTTTTTGTAGCATTTCAAACCTGACTGCAGTGTGACAGTTGGGACAGTATTAAAGAGCTGATTAGATAAGAACCATCAGAGTTTTAGTATTGTTGCATGCTTCAGAAATATTTTATGACCCAAAAATAGTTTGTTCTGTAATGAAGCGTTCTCAGATTCAGGCACAGACAGGACGGCCACAGAACTGAATCCAGGACAAACGTTTAGGCTGAAATCGTGGCATAATGGCGGCACATGAATAAATATGAGGAACAAAGTGTTTATTGACACATTCCCTCTATAGGCCAGCTGTTTGTAGTTTTTTCTGGACTCCACAGCAGAAGCAGCTGTAGAAAAATCTATGATCTGTGCTTCTTGTTCACCCGGCAGTCCACGGCCATCCAAAATCTCTGCGCCCTGCTGTGGGTCGGTGCCTCCGGTCACAGAGCAGACGGTGTTGTAAAAAGTCTAGTCTCACGTGTGGTTGCTGCTATTAGTCAAGTGTCTCTTTGTGGGGGAGTCTCTTACTCTCTGTGCAACACAGTGAGTGTGGACAGGCACTCCTCCCGGCAGGCACACCACGGCCGGCTCACTGAAGGTGTTGTGGCAAAGGTGGCATCCCTTCTTTTCTGACACCAAGATGGGCTTCTTGCGCTCTTTCAACTGCATGAAAGACAAAAAGAAAATGGAATGAAAAAAAAAGTTAATGCAGTCATATGAAAATAATTCAGTCATGTTTCCACTGGCCTAGTAGTGAAGAGCTGGAGAAAGTGTCATAAAATGAGAATGCAGCTGCTCAGAGTAAACAGACGTATCTTAATCCAGAAGTAATCGAAAGGCAAAAAACAGTGTCAGTTCTATGACTATAAAAGCACCAAAAACTCATATTTGAGAAGTAATTGTGTTGGTTTTTCCTCAATGGAAAAGTTTACATATTTAACTGATGATGCAAAGAGCCTAATTCTCATTTTTTTTTTATTTAGTTATACACATTGGTAAAAGCCATTTATCAACAATTTCATGACAAGTCACAACCTATTGTTCCACTATTTGCTCTCAGTGGTTTGTAAACCGCTGTCGTCTCATGCTGTAGCAGTAATTGGTGAAGAAAAATCCATCATAATTAGCACTGAGGTCACAAAGGCAGAAATGTACAGCCTCTAAAGCCTCACATACCATCACTGTGAAAACATAAACACATACAAACAAAAATGCTGTTTACATCACGACCGAAACAACCCAAGCATGATCATTAAAGTGACAGTGAAGAAGTGCAGCTTCATGTAAAACAGACACGCAGAGAAAATTAAACCCCTTTTACTTTCCCCGGTCTCAGATGTTGAACCGGGAAAAATGAACAAAATAAAAACAAATTGAAAACCTAGACGTGATCCTGTTACTGAGAAAGGACTGAGCCGTGCTCAAAGCAGAAATCGCTGGATTTCAAATTAGAAAACATGTCAGCTAACAGCCTGGCATAGAGGAGGGACACAGAGTGTGTTTGATGTTTCCTTAAACAGCCCTGAAACAGCTTAACAGGGCAGGACTCAATTCTGTGCCAGAAAACCAGAAATTAGCTTCATTAGTGAACTATTCCGCATATGGCTGCAGTTATTCACCGCCTCTAAATTAAAACAGAGTACAGTATATAGATTTAAATAAGAAACAAACCAATTTGAAGGAGCTCAGTTATGGCAATTATCTTTTTCTATCCTTATTTTATGTGAAAATTTATTGCCCGTTTATTTTTTAAGACATTTTTTCACCTCATATCATGGTTAAATTAGTTGATCCATTTTTTTTAATGAAAGAAAAATGCAGGACATATAAATGGTCTGAATGTAGGAAGTTTGCACAGTCTCAACACCCTCTAGTTTGTGTGTACACCAAGCTGTGCTCGTTCTTTTGTTTCTCACCCTGTCGTGCAGCAGCTGAAGGTTTTCAGAGTGTGCGAGCCCCAGAGCGATCTGCGACGTGCGGCAGGCGTGCATGCTGGCCCTGACGGCCCGATTCAAAAAGGGCCTCAGCAGCTGTAGTGACCAGCCTTCGGGGAGCATCCGCAGGACGCGGACAGGATCGAACACCTCGCCGTGCTGATTTAAGAGATCCACCGCTGCCATTTCCAGTTTGCCACCGCCGTCGTTTGCTGTCTGACCTTTCCCAGGACTCCCATCTAGATACACCCCCAGGAGCAGGTGAAAGAGGCGCTGCCGGTATGCAGAGTCTCTACTAGAAGAGGCCCATATGCAGAAGGCCTCGGCGGACGGGAAGTCTCTGAGCTTGTGCACCAGGATGTGCAGTGCTTTGTCATGTTCCTCCAATTTTCCATGTAGTGTTGCACGTTCTAGCAGCAGTTGTTCACAGTTCTCCATTTTACCTAAAAAAGAAACAAAAAAAACACCCGAGTGTTAACCAGCCGAAAAAGGAAGAAGGATCACTGTAAAAAAAAAAAAGCCCCTCCTTGTTTCTTTATGCATCTTACCTAAAAGAAACTGTACACGGTATAAATTTGACTCCCTGAGAAAAGCCTGGAGCCTCTCTCTGGCTCTGTTCAGCTGCTCCGCATCTGTTGGCGACTTTGACAGTAATGACAGGACCCTCTCCAGGTACAACACGGCCAGATGTGTGTGGAGCTTCTCCTTCTGCAAACACAAACACACACAATAAGAAGAGAAAAACTTCAAAGCCGCTCTCCCAAACAACCAACGTTACATTCATTGAGAGATTACCATACATGTAGGCTACTGAAAAGGGTCAAATACAAAGCGTGTCATCTTTTCCATCTATACCTTAAAGTCTGACAACTGACATTAAACTCTTATGAGCAATCGTGCAACTGTGAGTGAATCTTGTTTAATAGAAGCAGTCACATGCCCATTTTCTTATGCATTTTAAATGGAAAGTGAGGAATAAGGCAAAAAGGTAGCGACTGAGCTGTTTCACTTGTTATAAGAAGTGGTAGCAAACGTACTTGCAGCAGTCCATCTGTGATGACAGTGTAGTTTAAGAGCTCAGAGAGCTCATGCAGCGGGAAAATTATGCTGCAGGAAAGTTAGTGTTTGTTGATTTTTTTCTAAAATAGCACCTCAAACTATAACTGCAGAGTAACTTTGGCTTTACAGTGGATTGCACTAAACTTTGAGCATCTGTTCAATGCCTGCCGGCCCTGGAACAGAATTTAGCCCCCGCACAGCTTGAGCTCTGCATCTGATATCATTGCTATGTGTGGCACTGTGACGGAATGCCTGATCATAACCTAAAGCTCAGTGTCCACAAAGATGATCTTGACTCCATTTTGTTACCCGGAAGTTAATTGGTGCAACTACTAATTATAGTTATTATGTACGTCAGTCTAACCAGTGTTAACTGTTTTTTTAACCAAAACAAGGACCATAAAGGAGTACCTGTATTCTTCTTTCCAGCACAAGATGTTCCAAATAAAGCAACAGCGCGTGGTTGTGCTTCCCCAGGTAGGTGATGACATCATCAGGATTCAGGTCTGTGTGATCTTTACCAGCAGGCCTCTTTGTAAAAATATGAACACCTATCTGTGAAGAAAAAGGGAAAACGAGGTTTTAACTATGAACAAAAGGGCACAATTTTAACAGTTTGAGTGAAAGAGGAAATTAGTTTTAAATGTTTCCTAGAATTGCAATTATCAAAACTATGCACAAAATTCTCTTGGTTCTTTTCTGTTCAAGTCAAAAGCACACTGAGCTGTGCATCATTCGCTCAAGAATATGAAATAATCATCATTTTATCAAAGTGGAACCAGGCCCTGGAAAGAGATGGGTCTCTCCAAAAGTGGGCTTTCTGCACTAATAATGAAAGTGGAGTTATTTTTGGAAACCTACAGTTGGATCCTTCTGTAAGGCCCAGTCTGCATGCTTCCACACAAGATCCTGACTGGAGGAGGAGCAGAGAAAGTCCACGATGTACTCAAAAAGGCCCGATCGTGTAGAGTCCTGCAGATCCCCATCTGCCACTCGAATCCACAACTAACAGAATGGTAAAGAAGGAACATGCTCAACTCTTTAACATTATTCTTAGTCTGAATAATTAAAAAAATAAAAGGTGGAGCTGCTTACCTTAACAGCTGCTGAATCCTGACAATGATAATGATAAAGCAGCCCAAGTGCAAAATATCTGGAGGAGAAAACAGACTAAATGACGTACAGTTTCTCCATCATCAATTAACAAACTAATTAAAATGGCCCGACAAACTAGACAAAGTGCTCCAATGTACAGTGTCCATTAACAGCACAACACATTACTGAGAAGAATTAAACCAACAATTCAGCCTGCTCCTAAAGGACTCCAATTAAAAATAAAAAACACTACCAACTACGACAGTGACCCTCAACTGGAACTTTACGTGCCAATTAATGCAATTTAACTCATGAGGAGGAATTAATAATGATCCCTCTGAATAAAAATATGGGACTTAAGTTTTTGTTTTAAAGGATTGAAACCATTTTAAATAACATACTTGTGATATTTCTCCAGCCACGGGACGCTGTCTGCCAGCACGCAAGCATTTTCCGTAGCTAGGAGGTCTAAAAGGCTCTCGTGATCCTGCTCAGCATAGAGCTTTAACAGCGCCGTGTCCACGTCCTCTCGGCAGCCATTAACCATCTCTGTGCTTCGTACCTGTGTGGACAGAGGAGGATTAAGTGTTGTTTTACCATCAGAGTGTGATGTAAAATCTGTCATTCCATCAGTTTGTAATCCAGTTACCTCTCCTAAATAACTAATGAGGAATCTCTTGCATTGCAGCACTTTTTCTTGGTCGCCTTGTGCTAAATGGTTGAGATCAGCAAACTCGTGGAGCGGAGGATGACAACGTGTAAAAGATGAGGAAGCTGGGAGGAGCAGCGGGTACAGAGAGATGAGCTCCCGCACGTCCAGCTCACCCTTCCTGAACAGACAAGATCAGAAAAAACATCTCTAAATCATCAGCTAAGATACAGCTTCTCTGAGAAAATGTTTAGCCTCAGATGTTTTGTGAGACTTTTGAGCTCCAGTTTGTTCACATGACTCAACAAGTCGCTCTGAGAGGTCTCAAACATACCTGAAGTGCTCTTTAGCTTCGAGAAATTGAAGCTGACCGAACTGTATGAAACCTGCCTGCTGGAGGATTCTTCTGTGCAAAATCTAAAGCAGCAGAGGGAAAAGATGGAAAATTGTTTGGGTTTTCATAGGTGCAAACATTCTGAGGATATTTCTGATCAACGTCTCATGCAACGTCATATCTTCAAAACATATGAGCTCACTGAAACTTACCTGAAACTTGTCTTTGGGAATATTTCTCTGAGCTCCCTCTGTGAGAATGAGGGCCTCCTCCACTCGCCGACTAGCAAGCAAGTCCTGGATCTGTCTTTCCAGGGGCAGGGGTACGAGAACGTACACGGCCTTAGTGGAAGCCAGCATGACCTTTCCTAAAACAAAAACACTCAAACCGCTCAGACTCCATTTCACAACAATTATTTGGCTCAGCATCATTTGAATTCAAAGTAGCCTTCAAAAGCGTCTTGAGCTCTGAAAAAGTAACGTATCTATATCCACTAGTCCAAACAACTGCTATGAAACAAGAGGAAACAGAGCCACGCCACATCCTCCGAGTACGCCATTTCAACTCTCTACTGCTAGTTTAGTTTAAAAAACATCAAAGTATGACGTAGCCCTTCATCTCTTCTGTGCAGGGCTGTGCTAGCAAAACATAACTCATAATCCTTTTCCTTAAAGCTGACCTCAGGACACTGAACTGAAACGTTTTCCGCAAAAGGATAAAGGTCAGTCCTGCTTTCTTAGAGCATTAAATTTACAGTCCTCCTGTGTATTGTTCAGCTCAGCTTTCAGCCACTTCCTGTCAGAAGGTTTTGGTTTCTTGCTCCAGTGAGCCAAAGAAATAAATTCTTCAAACTGCTTTTAATACAGCGGGCCTGTTTTAACAATAAAATGTGATCAATCATAAAAGCACGAGTCAGACACACCCAAAGACCGGAGGTGATATTTGTGTACCACTGCTGAATCTGTCAGGGTTGTGTTGTGACTGCGGGGTGTGAAAACAAAAGAAAAACACTCGAGTGGTAAGAAAGACTCCAATGTAAGTGCTTCACCATTGGGGCTAATTTTCATGTAGCACAGGTTACAACGAGGCTCAACGCCATCAGTTTTTCAAAACAAAGTTGAACCTCTTTCACGCCATCGTTCTGCTTTTGACAGGGACGCCAGAATTGTACGCTATACAAAGTACAGAAAATGTCATCTTCTGACTTGGGCACTGCTATTCCAAACCTCGGGTTCTGCAACCAGCCATCATCCACAGCAGCTTTTCAAGAGCCAGGGATGACTGATTGGAGAAAAGGGAGTTTCTTTAAGGTGTTTTGTCGCTGAAATAATTCATCATCATTTTCACTTGTGAAACCAAAATGCAACAACTCAGTAGTTCAAGGAATGAGAATACATTTTTCCTTTTTGGTAAACTGAAGTAAATTAAAACGAGTGCCAAGCACTGCCACACAGAACTCCCAGCCAGCAGTGGATAGCTTTGTCTATTATTTATATAGACTGCGCTTCTACTTCATTTCCTCTGTAACTGGGGTTAAGAAAACTAGGGTACAGTCATATTAAAAATGTGGAGCCTTCTGGAGTAGAACCATAAATACATGAAACATTATTGAATATTAATGAGTATGTAAGCAGGAGATGAGACCTGATAACCTTGAACATATGCTCTCATAGTGAGGAGATAACCAGTCCATTTCCGTTTAGGTATAAAAGTGAAACGGTCAACTTTATTCTTGTACTTTCTCCTCAAACAACCATCAATACTTCAAACAGAAAGTTGAACATTTGTTGATAACATAACTGATTAAATAAAGGCACATTTATTTTCTACAACACATTTCGTGCAGTGAGTAAGTCTTATGTTGTGCAATTAAATGACCATGAGGAAACCTTAACCCCTTCAATCATACCTTCAAAATCTTGCAGAATGTGTCCATCCCTGAATGAAAGGGTCTGCTTCAGTTGTTGGTCCAGCATGCTGTGGATGGTGATGAAGTTCTCATCCAAAGCCACCACATATGGAAAACACACAGCGGCAGCGATCACGCTCTCTGACCACTTGACTGGAGCCCGCTGAGATATCCCTTCAGCATTGGCAAACATTCCTATAGGTCACATATACATAAATATACATATGTGTAAAGGCAGTTTTGAATTTAAAAAATGATGTACATGTACAAATACTTCAAGCATTTGAATTATAAAACAGTGGCTACTTTTGATTATTATACAAGTAGAAGGAGATATGGAACCAACTCTGGGAAGTGCAGAAGGAATATCATCTTTTGTCAAACTCTCATATCCATCAGTGCATTACACTGTAACCCACTAACTTACCCAGACCTCCCGGTGCTGCTAGGAGGAACTCCTCCCTGTTGATCCACTTCACAATAGGTCTCCTCTCCTCACTGTTATAGGGGAAGAGGTCTTGTGAGGCTCCCGTGTTGTAATTCAGGATCATGTACTGTGTTGCGAGTGCCAGGCACAGGAAGTAGCCATCAAGGCTGACAGCACAGGGTTGCTGAGGGGTGTTCATCTCTTTGACAAGCTGCACCCTGTCCTCGTACACCATGTAAATCTGAACTGTCCGCCTCTTGGAACAGAGCACGGCAATTTCCACACAAAACGGATCCCCACTCACTGGGTTCTCGTTTATACAGAACGCAGTCACACCTCTGATCTTGACTCCACCTCCGGCCGCCGACGGCACAGTCTCCAGCGTCACCATGTCAACAAGGAACACAATTCCATCGCAAAGCACGATCAGACGCTCCAAGGCAGAAGCGGCCCGCAGCTCGGCCACGGGCTTCTTGAGGCCAAGGTATTTGTGCAGCAGTTTTTGGGACGAGTAACTCAGTTTCCCTTTGGACGAGGTGACCTCATCCAGCAGAAAGTGATGAATGAAGCAGTCATTGGTGCCCACATACAAGTGCTTTCCACAGCATTCGATGCACTCAATGTTGATGCGAGCTTTGTCACCCATGAGGAGATCTCGCTCCACAGCGGGGACAAGCTCAAAAGCTTTCACACTCATCTTGGCCAAGGCATCTACACTGGAAGGGGAAAACACAGAAAAGCATCAATAACGCGGTAAACTGTTTTTCTGTGACAAAACTTGGTAACTATTCACTCATTTTTAAGTAACTCGATCATCGACAAAACTACCCAATTTTTATAGTTGAAAACACAATCAGTTGTGAAGTGAGGTTAGTTTGTACTCAATTAAGATATGGCACTAATCCTTTACCTGAAAACATTCCTCACCTGCCAGCCCTAGGAAAGATGTAGTTAGTTCCTAAATGAATCAAACCTAAAACAATTTTTTTTTCTATTTGTATTGGGACCCACTAAATTCTATATTTATTTATTTTTTAAAGAAGAAAAATGATTTTTTTCTCATATGACTCAAAACTTGCTATAAAGGGTGATCTCACATTTACACTTAACTTCAGAACTAAAATGTAAATTGCTTGGAAACATAAAGCATCAGTACAGTACTTGGCAAAGGGAAAACCTAATACATGAGAGGATCATTTTATTTTATGCACAGCAGGACAAGTGACATTCTGGCATTAATGACAGCCTGGATCAATGCATGTTTCCTCTCCACATCTCAGTTATCATTTACCAAAAATATAGTTAGAAAATAATGTAATTCCCAACAACCCCCAAGCAAATTGGACAATTTCTCCACATATAATCTGTGTCGATTACAGTGATTCTGTGATGCCTTATCAGTGTCCATGCAAAAGTATGCAATGCATTTCCATTCATTCAACTATTTCATCCCTGAGATCTACACTTCCTGAAACTGGTCGCCAGACGTCCGTTTTACATGGCATATGACTGCACTACAGATTAGTCATATGACCAGGTCTTTCCTCCGTGAACGTTTCGTAACTTTATTTGGCTTGCTTTTATGAACTTTTAGCTTAGTATATGGATACATACAAATAAAATACTTTCAAACAGAACAAAAACTATCTAATTCTTCTTGATTACAGTAACACCCCCCTTCCGTAAACCTTCTTACTGAATTAAAAAAATAATAATAATAACTTGATGTGTGCAGCTAGTACCAATGTTTGTCTCAACATTGCTCAACACTGTCATGCTAAATATGTTAGCCGCTGCTAGCTAATTAAAGATAGTGACTAAGGCAACAGAAAAGAAGTCCATCAGTGAACAATCATTACCTGGATGCAGGAACCTCATTCAAACCAACCCACTCAATAAATGCCGAGGTAAAAAAAGCGATCAGTTTTTATGTTGCTTTTGAGCTAGTTTGCAAAGCTATCATTAGCTTAAAGCGTCTTTTGTAAACCACGGCCAATGCTAGCATTGCGAAGCTATTTTACTTTGCGGTTAAATGTGGGACTCTACATCGCTTGTTCAATCAAACCTCGTTATATCTTTAACATACAAAGGAAAACGACTCTTCAAATTGGCCTCCCCCCTTCATAAGATGATGCTTTGCGGACCAACTCCATGCCTAATTCATCCCAGAGTTTTCGGCGTTAGCTGTCAGCGTACCTACTGCTGCAGGACGGCGGCCCGGATATTCAACAACTGACGGGTCTCACTGCTCCGAAAACAGCCACCCTGGCATGTATTCAAGATTAAATATCAACTTATCCATGTTGCATTAGTCAGCATCGCAAATGACAGAGCGTATATTCGACCACACTGGTAACGTAAGGTCTTCTTATCCAAAGTAACACCGCCCATTTGAACTGACCCCTGCTGACTGCAGGTGACACAGAGGTGCATTCATGACCACCCAGAAGGGGCGGAAAGTTGCCAGTGTTGTTACAAAGTAACGAATTAACCTTTGCCAAAATTATGACATGGCCTGTTAAAAACGGATGTTCATGTCAATCATTTTTAATTTGACACTCTTTAACTTTGCAATATAACCGTGATTAGAGGAGCTTAGTCCAGCTGATAAGGGGTGACAAGTGGGGTACATCCTGGCCAGGTCGCCAGTCCAGGGCCTAACAGGGACAAGCAATCACACACTCACGTTCCCACTTTGGGGCAATTTGCAGTGTCCAAAGACCTTAGCATTCATATTTCTGGACCGTGGAGGGATGGCGGAGTGGACGGCATAGATTTTTCTGGTATATGTAAAAAAAAAAAAAAAATGAAAAAAAGAAATTCATACACACACAGTGGATTACGCAAAAAAACAAAACAGAAATCAACTATCGTATCGTTTCTTGATTGACTACATTTCAATGCAATCTGACAAACCTGAGAAACGTCCAAGAAAAACTTCAAAATTTCTTTTTTTCCTGAACGTACTTCAACTGCTTTTCACCCAAGATGCACCTGTCGGACCGAACTGTCTGAAAAGCCATTTTGTTGTGCTAGCTAGCTCACTGGTAGAGATAGCCACCAATAACATGAGTCTGTTATGTCAACGCTAATTATGTCGCTTTTTTGTTTTGGTTTAGTTTTGCATAAAAGAGTGATGTCTCTCGTTAAAAGCTGCAAGTAGTCAGTACTGACATGGAATTGCCAGCGAAGCTAGAGCGTTGTGAATAAGACGGAAAGTGGTCGCTGAAGTGTGCTGCAGTTTAGATAACAGCACTGTTAGCTAGCAGTGTGTTTACTTAGCTGTGGGTAGTTATGTTTTCTGATTAACCAGCCCTATGGTAGTCTATATTTACTTTTACATCTCACTTAAATAGGCCGCGAACAACTGTGCTTCCAAACCAAAGGCTTGTGGTTCAACAAAGAAACAGTGTTGCTGACTGAACAAGCAGGCGGCAGAACAATCCAACAGTAATTTAGCAAAACACTTGAACCATACTGCGTTAAGCCAAACGCGATAATCTGATAATGGCAGAGGACACCCGACAGGACAAGAGGACCAGCTTCTCGGCTCTAACAGAGCACAGCACAAACAGGATGGCCAGGACGTCCGCTGTGGCTTCGGGCAAAACGGGCGCCTCAAAGAAATTAGTGATCAAGAATTTCAAAGGTACAGTCTCTGAGAGTTTCTCCTGCGTTGCGAAACGAGATCTGTAGCCACAACTCTGGACCATGCTGTTAACAAGTGTTTGAATTTGTCATCATAGCTCCTTCTCTTACAATCCTAAATAGTTTGGTGCTTTAAAACCTCTTAAATCAGAGCTACTTCTGACCTGTTTGAAACACACACAAACATCTCCAAGTGCTCAGTGTTTTATTTGCTTGATGCACAGATTTGATAAGTGTGACCATTTTTATAGTGTCCCACAAGCTTTTATGGCCCCATCTAAAGTGCATTTATCCAAGTTCCAAAGCCAGTTATTAAGAAATATTTACCATTTTTGTAAATGGTAAATGTTTAATTGACTTGGTAATGCAGAGGTCTTATCCTTTTTGTGTTGCAGATGTAATACCTGCTTATAAGGGAAAATGTAAACTTTGTTGGCGTTCTCTCTTGACAGACAGGCCAAAACTAGCCGAGAACTACACAGAGGACACGTGGCTGAAGCTTCGGGACGCTGTCGGTGCCATCCAGAACAGCACCTCCATCAAATACAACCTGGAGGAGCTCTATCAGGTCGGTTTGTGTAAACACAAAGCTCAGGTTAGGTTTGTTCTCCCCGGAACTTATCCATGTGTTATTGAGTACATGTGCTTTTTATTGGATAATCATTATTAGCTCATGAATTTGCTTAAATCCAGACAAATGGAATCAGCGGGAAAATATTTTTCAGGCAGATATTAGTTTTGTTGTGGAAGCTGAATTATTATGAAATGGGTGCTCGTAAAGGTCCGTACCTCTCTCAACAGGAAGAAAATATACATTAAGGTTGTGTTTTAAATGTTTGTGTTGTCTCGTCTCTGATAAACATTCTGAAACAGGCGGTGGAGAATCTGTGCTCCTATAAAGTTTCCCCCACGCTGTACAAGCAGCTTCGGCAGGTCTGTGAAGATCACGTGAAGGCCCAGATCCATCAATTTAGAGAATATCCTTTTTCATGGTGCACAGAATAACATTAACTAAGTTTGAACCTTTAAAGAGGTAACACAGAGAAATAAGCCAGCTTCTGTCGTAGCTGCCTTCAAATCACAGCATCCACTGTACTTATCTTTTATTACTGATGCGCTTATGTATCGAATGTTTTGTGGAACTTTGACATCTTTAAAAATGGTTGCATTTTTGATCAATTTAATAACCACCCTGATTGTCCTGGTGAGACATTTAGAAAAATGACTTTTTAGTCAGGTTTGTGCCCGCTGTTGTTAGATTAATGTATTTTATTGGTTATATTTGATGTTCGGTGTCAGGAGTTTGAGCTTTGCTCCTTAATGTGGAGCTCACAGAGTCTTTGGATAACCTTTCCTTCCTGAAGCGAATGAATCGTTGCTGGCAGGACCACTGCAGGCAAACTGTGAGTCAGACGAACCTTTTCACTGCTTTTCCAAACTGCTCAGACCTGAGGAGGAGTGTCAAAGAGTTAACTGTTCCTGTCTTTTTAGATAATGATCCGAAGTATCTTTCTCTTCCTCGATCGGACCTACGTGCTTCAGAACTCTCTCCTGCCCTCCATTTGGTAAACATGCACCTTATTCTTGCTCCGCTGTTTGTCAGGTAGTTCTGTGGAGGCTGACATTGGGCTTCTCTGCTGCAGGGACACAGGGTTGGAACTTTTTCGTACCCACATCGTGAGCGACGGTGCTGTTCAGAAGCGGACGGTTGAAGGCATCCTGGAGCAGATAGAAATGGAGCGTAACGGAGAGACTGTAGACCGCAGCCTGCTCCGAAGTCTTCTGGGCATGTTGTCCGACCTGCAGGTATCCGTCCCCTCTTTGCCCCATCAGCACAGTGACTTATGACGTCTACTAACTGCCTTACTTTTGCCTAGGTTTACAAAGACTCCTTTGAGGAGAGATTTTTGACAGAGACCAACCGTCTCTATGCCGCCGAAGGACAGCGACTGATGCAGGAGAGAGACGTAAGTGGGCTGGAACGCCGCGTCATGTGGTCCCAGGTACCCATTTGCACCCTGTTATCCGGGATAAGAGTATGTGCGTGTGTGTCCAGGTACCTGAGTACCTGCATCATGTGGCTCGGCGTCTGGAGGAGGAGAACGATAGAATCGTGAGCTACCTCGACCAGAGCACTCAGTAAGATTTGTAGTCATGTCGTCCATCCGCTACACTTGCTCTTTACAATGACTACAAGGTTATACTGGCTAACATTTTATTAAACAGCCGATTGAATACCGATTTAAAACAGACCCATTAGACCTCCTGAGAATGGTAGATGAGACTGTATTTGCTTCACAGTGACAGACAGATCACTTTAGACAGAGACTGTAGTCAGAGCGTCACACATCTTTAGTGCGCCTCAAATATGGCATGTCCAAGCAGATGGACACAACAGGAACTGCTCAGATATGACATCATGTAAGACGTTGTTGGTGGATGAGAAGTTTAGAACAAAGGCATTTTCCTAACAGGACTACTTTCCATCTATTGTTTCCCAGGAAACCTTTAATCAGCTGCATTGAGAGGCAGCTTTTAGGCGAACACATGACTGCAATCCTGCAAAAAGGTATGTTTGTGCATATATTTTCAGATTTAGTTTAGTTTGTATGGGCTGTAGGGCTTAGATAGATGTTTTTGGGGAAGATAAGGTCAGTTTTGGGTCTAAACTGCAGCTGGATGCAGACACACGCTGGGGCAGTTTATTTATCTGATAAATGTAGCCCCTGTTTTGATAACCTATTTTCCATTTTAAATTAATTCAGTCTCCTTTGGTAAGCTTTATCAAACCCAAATTAATTATTGATTGTATAATTATTACATTTTAGTCCACCACCAAATAAACAAGAAAATAAACTTCCTTGTGGAGCTGTTTAGTGTAATTTTCCAATTTGTTTATTTAGTTAATTCATAAAAGAATTAGTAGAATGTATGTTGTGATGTTTATTTTTACTTTTTTTTTAAATCTCAGGTCTGAGCATTCTGCTGGATGAGAATCGTATTACTGAACTAGCCCTCCTCTACCAACTCCTCAGCAAGGTGAAGGGAGGACTAACCACACTGCTGCAGTTCTGGAGGGATTACATCAAGGTATGAGCACCAGACACGCTGACAGATACAAAGCACACACTCTTTCTCTCACGGTTTCTCAGAAATGCGCTCTTCCACCCTCTGACTGCAGTCGTTCGGTGGAGAGATTGTGTGCACTCCAGAGAAGGACAAGGACATGGTTCAAGACCTGCTGGACTTCAAGGACAAGATGGACAACGTGGCACTGAGCTGCTTTGCAAGAAATGAAGCATTCATCAACGCCATGAAGGAGGCCTTTGAAACTTTTATTAACAAGAGGCCCAACAAGCCCGCTGAGCTCATTGGTAGGTCAGGCAGAGACACAATGACCAGGACTTATATTTGACCCGACCCATTCTGTTAAAGGGAATCCTGTTTTCTCTTGACAAGTTGATCTTTATCTCCCACCCAGCTAAGTATGTGGATTCTAAATTAAGAGCCGGGAACAAAGAGGCAACAGAGGAAGAGCTGGAGAGGATTCTGGACAAGATCATGATAATCTTTCGCTTCATACACGGTCGGTTACACTTTGTGTGCGATGACGAATGCACATCTTTGTGTGTGTTTCCAATATCTACTGTTACTGTCAGAATTTGTATTGTGCAATGAGACTTTTTGATCTTAATTTCTTCCCCACAGGAAAAGACGTGTTTGAAGCCTTTTATAAGAAGGACTTGGCCAAGCGTCTGCTGGTTGGCAAGAGTGCCTCTGTTGATGCTGAGAAGTCCATGCTCTCTAAACTCAAACACGGTGAATGAATAGTGCAATGTCTTTCTATGAAACAGTGTTGTCTTGATAAGATAAAAACCTAAACTTTCTGGTTAAAATATTAAACAAAGGCATGTGAAAGCACGTCAGCCATGATGGTTGTCGTTTTGTTTCCCTGCAGAATGCGGAGCGGCATTTACCAGTAAGCTTGAGGGGATGTTTAAGGACATGGAGCTGTCCAAAGACATCATGATCCAGTTCAAGCAGGTACTGAGCGCGTTAATGTAGCCACACGGGTATCAGTGCTCTCTCCATTTTGTCATCGTCTACATGCATTTTAAGTGCACCATTCTAAACTGATGTTTTGACCCAGTACATACAGAACCAGAGTGATCCGAGCAACATAGAGCTCACCGTCAACATCCTCACGATGGGCTACTGGCCCTCATACACACCTATGGAGGTCCACTTGCCCTCAGAGGTAAGCACAGCCATGTTTGTACTCCCCTCTTCTGTGTGCACACAAATGGACTGAAGCTGGACTCATTTAATTATACTGTTACTGTTTACAGTTTTTATTGATCCGATTTTTTTTATTTTTATATTTATGATAGATGGTCAAACTTCAGGAGGTGTTCAAACTGTTCTACCTGAGTAAGCACAGTGGGAGGAAGCTGCAGTGGCAGCCCACACTGGGCCACGCTGTGCTAAAGGCGGAGTTTAAAGAGGTAAGGGCTTTGCATGTCCAGTGGGGCGTGGAGGACGTTGGACCATCATCTGAAGTTACTGTCCCATCCTGCAGGGGAAGAAGGAGCTGCAGGTGTCCCTGTTCCAGACGCTGGTGCTGCTCATGTTTAACGAGGGAGAGGAATTCAGCATGGAGGAGATCCGCACTGCCACCGGCATAGGTGCCACACATTTTTAAAGTCTCTACTGACCTGCTCAGCTGCAGCATAAGTGTCTGTGGCCTCACACTGTCATCCTCTGTTGTCCTGCACAGAAGAGGGAGAGCTCAGGCGCACGCTGCAGTCTCTGGCATGCGGAAAAGCACGCGTCCTCAACAAGAACCCCCGAGGGAAAGACGTGGAGGATGGGGACCGCTTCAATTTCAACAACGATTTCAAACACAAACTGTTCCGCATCAAGATCAACCAAATTCAAATGAAAGAGACGGTACGCGGCTCATTTCCCTCCCTGCTTTTCACACCTTTCTAAGTGCGGTTTAGTTAATCATGTCGTGTTTTTCATAGAAATGACACTTTGTGCTCATTTTTTAATTCTTTTTTCCCACCAGGTTGAGGAGCAGGTAAGCACCACAGAGCGAGTGTTTCAGGACAGGCAGTATCAGATTGATGCAGCTGTTGTGCGCATCATGAAGATGAGGAAAGTCCTCAGTCACAACTTACTGGTATCTGAGCTCTACAACCAGCTGAAGTTCCCAGTCAAGGTGAGGCAGTTCGCCGCTCGTTTCTTTCATTTCTCTGCCCCCTGTAGGCAGAGCTCATCAGCATCTCCCTTTTAACCTCTCCACAGCCTGGGGATCTGAAGAAGCGGATCGAGTCCCTGATAGATAGAGACTACATGGAACGTGACAAGGAGACTCCAAACCAGTATCACTATGTTGCCTGAAGGCGCGCCGCTGTCACCGCCGTGCTTTTCTCACAGCAAGCGTACAGCTGGCCCCACAGCACAAGATCACAGCCACCCCACTCTCCTCTGGTGCCCATCTTTCCCTCCATCCTCAGTCCTAGACACAGCGTCCAGAGGACCCAGAGCTCCAGAGAGACGAGAGACTTGGCCGTGCTGTTCCCATTCTGCAAAATCTTTAGTGGGACTCTGAGATTGGGCTGGAGGAGTAGCCCGGGCTGTTGATGGTTGGTTTATGTGACTTTAAAATCCGCTAATGCAAAACTCAACTGAAAATAACTAGCACTTTCCGTTTTTTGTTTTTGTTTTGTTTTTGTTTTTCCTGGAATTGGGTTTGGTTTTTTTCTTCTCCGTCACATCATTCTAAATCACTTATTTTCTATCATAGCTGGTTTGTCATGAGTTTTAAGTTTTAATTGTGTATTTTTTTTTTTGGTTTGAGGCGTTTCTCCCTTTGAATGGCTGCATTAGTGCTGGCTGTGAAACCGATGAGCTGGTCGCTTTTGCTGGTTAGAGAAGCATTTGTTGAGGATAAACAAAGAGAGACTTGAGAGTGACGAAGAGGAGCGGAAAGATCAAGGCTTATTGTTTGTAACACAGGGCGCATAATGAGGTGCAGGCCAGCCACTTGGGTATTACTTTTGGTATCTTGTCTGTTTTGACCAAAATGTCCAATGTCACGTACCGATGTTTTTGTAGATCAGATTGTATTGTATGTAAGAGTGTGAAAAGTGAACCTGAATAAATGGATATTTAATGATTCAAAGAATGATTTTGAATAAGAGACTAGTAATTTTTTTTAATGGTTCAGATGTCTTAGTTTGTTTTTTCCCTGTTAGATTTTCAATATATTATTGTTCTTTTGGCTTCATTTACACACAAGCCTCAAGTCAACTGATTTAATTCTGTAATGTGGTTGTTGGCAAAGGATATGTGAGTTTATACTGGTGAAAAGGGTGTTTTTGCTAAGTAAAAGATAGATTCTCTATTTTGGATTTTGAGTGTCTCCCACATTATGACACACATTCTGTTTTTTTTACCTAATATTTCCATTTGATTTTGAGCTATGAGCAAATCATTTTCATCAATCATCGTTTGGGAAGGACTTATTTGAGCCAAGTTTTTTTTTTCTCATTAACAGAAGGGAAATGTCAAGGCAGAGCCATCCTATTTGTGTATCACTATCACAGTACAAGACGATTCAAAGTGCTTTACATAAAAGTCTAGCGTTTCCTAGCAACTAACATTTTGATAACTTATTTCACCAAAAACAGAAAATCATTACATGTTTATTGATGATCTACTAACACCAGGGTCTGTACAATTTGAGAAATGTGAAATATTTCATTTTGACATTTTTAATTATAATCTTCTGACTTCATTTTAAGACGGATAAAACAGTCTGTTTTAAAGTAGGGTCAAACTATGCTGTGAGAATTTAGCAGGGGCCTGCTAAGACTTGGAAAGCAGCATTAGAGCTGCCTCTGCGTTCCTCTCGGGGTTTTGCACAGCCTCGTGAATTGAGGAGGGTGTCAGCTGACTGCCCACAACACATGTACTTTGCAGCCTGCGCAGCACAGCCTGCAGGCTCAACCCAGACACGTCATTGTGCTCAAGAAAAGAATACATACCGTGTCATTAACTTTTCTTTGATAACATCAATCAATCGCGAAGGAAGTTAAGTTAGTTAGTATATGCCTCTATTTGATTCGTGTTCGAGATCTTTGCGCACTATTTTGTTCTCCTCCTCTGCTACCTACACATGTGGTTACGTCATTCTGTTAGAGAGGGGTTTTTAAACGGCAAACCCCTCTCTGCTCGGCGCAAATATGCGCGGCCGGTGACACTGCCGTGCAATTTAAGTGTCCATTTATCTCCCTTTGCGGAGCTCCGGCGAGCTCAGACCGCGGAGTGGGGGAAGGAGGGGCCGCCGTCACGTGACCGCGCAGCTCTAAATGCCTCCAGTTCACATGACGGACATGGCCAAGGCAGACAAAGCAACCCTGGCAAACGTCTAGCCACGAATAGCGGTCATCTCAACCTGCTGGACGACTTTATTTTATTTTATTTTTTTTGGCGGGGGTGGGGGGGGGATATAGTTAACATTTTCTCTTCGCTCGCCAGACAGCCCGGAGAGAGGCAGACGACGTCAGCACCGCTTCAGTTTGAGCTAACGGTCCGTGGAGTCAGGTGCAGCCGACCCACCTGCCGCCAGTAGCCGCAAAGCCACAGCACGAAAACCAACTAAAAAACCTCCCTTCAGCCATGAAAGCCCCGCCGAGTTTAGGCTCGCTCATGGTCGCCTGGCTTGCGGTTTTAGGTAAGTGTTTTCCTGTTGTTGTTGTTTTTGTTTTTTAAGGAGGCGCTCGCGCAACATTTGGACCAAACGTACGTACGCACGCGCCGTCTCGACCGTTGCTGTGCCCCCCGTTTAGCTTCAACACGCGGGGAAATTATCAGCGAGGCGGCGGTTTACCGACCGACTGCACAGGGGCCCCGTAACCCCCCCCCCCGGCCCGGCGGGTGTAACGCTAGGGACCCGGTTATTGGACGTTGAATCGGGTATTTGGAGGCAGCACCGGTTATGCAGAAGGGAAACAGTCCCCCTCCATTATGCGCAGCAGCTTTAATATCTGATTTATTTCATATTCATTACGAAAAGTCATCGCAGTTCTTCACCTATTTGACTTTTTGTCCAAGCATAAGCAATAAATAATACGTCGTCATAGTCAGCGCAGCGGAAGTTTACTATGAGAAAGTAGTTCTAAAAAACCAATAGGAAAAAAGGTCTGGAAAATAGTCTCTGTCTCATAAAAAGCTTTTTTAGTCTTTTTTTGTGTGTCTGACCAGTGTTTAAATACCCAAAATGTGAAAAGAAAAATCAAATTAAGAGTGAGAAAACATTCAGTTTGAGATCCTGTTTTTCATTCTCTTGTTAATATGATTTTAAAATGTTGAATTGAAACGTGATTCATTTCTTATCATGTAGTCTGCTTTTACTGTCCAGCTTTATACTGTCATAGATAAATGGAAAGATACCCAGAGGTGTTATTTAGGTCAGTCTTTATGTGATCCTTGTGTACCTGTGGGTGTAAGAGTTTGTTTATCTTGAGTCATCTGATTTGGATCTGTGGGTTAAGGACAGGTAACCAGTGGAAACCTCAATCGATCCCACAGCCTTTCAAAGTCTTACACTGACCTGTCCTTGAACGTCAAGACCCCAGTTGCTCGAGAAGTTGCTGGACTTTATTCTGCTTTTATTGCGCTTTACCCTAATGTAACACCCCGGTTTTGTTGGCCGGCAGATTGGCCTCATTGTTGTGCCATTTGAGAGCTGCACATGACCTCTATGATGGCTTTGTGTTACAGAGCGCTGTGGGCGTGTTGGTTTATGACTGGTTCAGTCTTTCTGAGGACACACAGGCCTCTGGTGCTGACACATGAAAACAGGCCGGTGCACGCCCGGCTCGGGCAGGTCACCCGATTCTCATCCTCACATCTACGCCGAGCTCACGTTTTCAGTTTGGGTCTCAGCTCTTTGCTACCGAGGAGACCTTTGAAGTCCAGCCTGCTGGCAGCAGCGCCTCCTCGCAACGCGAGCACCAGCGTGGGATGTGCTCCCGTTTGATATCTGCAGCTTGATCCTCTGCACGCCAAACGGCTTTAAGCCCGCGGCCAGATCTCAGTGTTGTGTAAACCATCTGCCGCTGAGCGTTTACAGGATGAACAGAGAGGACTCTGAGAGGCAGTCTGTCCAAGGAGTCTGTGACAGAGAGAACCTAACAGGCCGGAAGCCCTCTGCTCCACCAATTCTTATTAATACGGCTATAAATGAAGCAAGTGTGAGAAATGAGGAAGGAAAACTGATGTGTTATAAGTGATTAAGATAGCAACTGACTAAGCCACAAGTCAGGCGCTAAATGAAGTCCTGTCGGCAGTTCCACCTGCCAAACAGCTCGAGTGTCTCATCTATTTAAGAGGCATTTCGGGCACCACTAACTGTATTTTTCATCTTGTTTGTAAACAATTTGAATAGAAACCGATATTCAAGCGGGAAGTCCTGTGTTGGCGCAGTGTGACACACTGCATGGTTTATCAGTTTGAGTGAGTTTGATCGATCCAGCCTCTTAATTTAGGCCTCCCCACAGCAGATTTGCAGCAATGATTTGGTAGTTTTCACAGCACGGAGGCATTCATATTCTGTCATGCAAGTGTGAACGAGGATGCAGGGATGGAACTCTGCGTAAGCCAACAACAGGAAAGTCCCCCGACTCGGGTCGTGTTGTTACACCTGCTCCGGGTCAGTAGCAGAGCAGCTCTCTCTTTCCTGGAAGAAGAGTGTCAGAGAGTGGGTTTGTTTATGACAGTCTTAGTTTTAACCGTATGTCGACCCCTAGCGGCAGCTCGTGTGAACTGCATTATTTTGCATGGAGGCAGGGGCCGTGCTGGTAAGGGGCTTCATCACCATCTTCCGTAGCTTCCACAGAACTGGACACGTCCACATAGTAAGAATCCATTGCAAGACTGTATAAGGAAAACACTAGAATTAAGACAATGTTGCAAATATGATCAAGGTGTCCTAAATGGAGACAAGTGCTACTTTTTATGTGCCGTAAAACTGTTTTTCAGTCTGCTCATAAAAATCTGCTATAACGAAAAGCCCTAACTGTTTAATGGCCTTCATACAACCTGTTGGCATAAAAAAATAAATCAGATTATTTTGTCTTTTCCATAATCAGCATTCTTGTCATCAGGTGTCACTGTGCTTTAGGATCAGTGTTTGTTTTTTCTTATTCATATGATTTAAAGCTCCACTTTAGCTACCATGTTTGACATTTGCCTAAAACGTGGAAGGGAGGTGGCAATGTTTCTGCACTGCTGAGCTTGTGTTCATGTCTGCAGGTCGTATCCAGGCTGTTACTCTTGAGGTGAAGGAGGGGAACTCTACCTGCATTAAAGCGGAGCTCTCTGCATCATTCTCCATCCCGTACAGCACCCCCAGCGGCGCGGTGCGTACCCTTCTACTAGCCTGCCTCCTAACGCATTAGATTCCACAGTTTTCTTTTAATTCGCTGCTTGTACCCTCTCTCTTTCCGCCCTCAGAAGACAGCGGTGGTCTCTCTTCCCGCCTCGGCCACAGTGGACGCTGCCAGCAGCTCGTGCGGTTCGGACAGCAGCTCACCGTGGCTGGTGGCGGCCTTCGGAGCTGGCCACGCGCTCGGACTGAGCTTCTCCACCAATGGCAGTGTTTATAGCATCGCTAACCTGACTATGCAGTACAACCTGAGTGACGCCTCAGTGTTTCCTGATTCCAACAGCTCTGGTGAGAACAAGGCCCCTTCACTCCCCGTGTCACCAGCTGTGGCTGAATGTTTGTATTGATAAAGTGCCAGTTATCATTATCAGTGATGGTGTAAAGAGGATGCCGCACTTTTTTTTGTCTATTATTACATAAAATAAGAACAATAAGGTCTTGAAAAATCTATGCAACATTTCCCAGAGGCTCGGGTGTATTTGTTTACCTCGCTGATCGTGACAGACTTAGAATCATATGCTTGCCTGTGTTCCAGATGTGGTCACTGTGGTGTCTGCGTCAGTGGGGATCTGGGCGCCGATCAACACCACGTACCGATGTCTGAGTCCCACTTCTGTCAGAGTCGGAGGGGCCACGGTGACTTTCTCTGACATGAGGCTGGAGGCGTACATGCCGGGAAACGAGCTGAGCCCGGCAGGTGAGCCCGGGTGGGCGGCTTCCAGTGCTGCTCACGATGCGTTGCGGCTCTGGCTCGCAGCCTCACGTCTTTGTACTCCCTCTCGTCTCAGAAAGCGTGTGCGTAGCGGACCAAACGACTACGACCGCTCCGGCTACGACCGCCAGCACGGCAGCGCCAACGCCACCAGAGCCAGCCCCAGCCGGGCCGCCGGTGCGCGGCTCCTACTCGCTGAGGAACGCCAACGGCACCGTGTGCCTCCTGGCCCAAATGGGACTGCAGCTCAACGTCTCCTACGTCTCTCAGGCTCAGAATAAGGTAACAGGGAGCAGACATTTCTCACCACTGGTCAGCAGAGATGACCTGAAACAAACAGGTGTGTTATTTTTATTTTTTTGTCAGACGGTCCAGGAGTTATTCAACCTGAATCCCAATCTGACGAGTTCAGAAGGATCCTGTGGAGCCAGCAGTGCTACTTTGGTTTTGACACAGGAGCAAAGCACCATGCTGAGCTTCACCTTCACAGCCGTAAGCTTTTTATCACTCATTTCATTTTACATTAAAAAAAATATGTAACCAAACCTTCCATTCCATCCACAGAACTCAACGAGCAACAAGTTCCACCTGAGTGAGATTCATCTGCTGGCCAACTGGTCCGATATGACCGGTATGTCAGCTGCCGTTAGCATCGAGATTTGTTTATTTTTTCTCCCCCCTCATCTGATTGGTTGGAGTTGAAAAGAAACGTGACCCATTTCTCCTCAGCTCCCCTGTTGGTCAGTAACAACAGTCTGGACTATCTTCGGAGCACAGTGGGCCGCTCCTACATGTGCAACGCGGAGCAAAGTCTGGACGTGGCGCCGGCCTTCTCTCTCAACACATTTAGACTGCAGGTCCAGCCGTTCAGCGTTACCACAAACCAGTTTGCTACAGGTAGGATTCAGCTCCACTACAGGAAAAACCCATCAAACGCCCCCAGCTTCACATATTTCTGACCTGTAATCCTTTTGGGCCTCTCTGTGTGCAGCCGAGGAGTGTCAGATGGACCAGGACCAGATGTTGATCCCCATCATAGTTGGAGCGGCTCTGGCAGGTCTTGTGCTGATTGTCCTCATTGCATATCTAATAGGCAGGAAGAGGAGCCATGCTGGATACCAAACCATCTGAGACCCTTCATTTTATGTAAACCTGAAAGACTGAATGTTTGGAACTGAATCCGAACGAGTGATGAACTGTGAGCACAAGAAAATGGAAGCAGTTCTTTTGTGGTGAGGCCCATCATGTATGGCCGGCCTCTGGATTTTGTTTTCCTTTTGCTTTCTCTGTGGACGACAAAATCAAAATACCTTCTACCTTTAGTTGGTGTGCATTTTGGTAAAGTTTTTATTTTAATGGGGGAGGTTGAAATCTGCATAATTTAGCCCCGCCCACTCTGGTTCAGCTCTACTCTTTATGTACTTGGTGTTGGACTGAATTAGACTCGAATTAGCTTAATTTTATTTTTTTAGCTGTGATTACTCATGAAATTAAAAGACAGAGAGACAGGCTGCAAGTCCCAATTAATGATTGTTCAAGTTGGGCAGGGTTTTTCTGTGATCTACAATATCTTAACTTCATAACCACATGATCGTCGTCTGAGAAAAGGGAAAGCTCTGAATGTGCGTCTTTACCAGTCAGATTCTTCCACAGCGAAGATCAATTAAAAGGAAAATTCACATATCTTTAAACTGGACCCTCTGTTCCCTCCCTCTGTTTGGATGTAAGTTATTGAGTGAAGACAGTTGCAACGGGATGTTTTTAGAAAAGGTGTGGCGGGCTAACCAGCATGGGTGCATGCTGTACCCTCCACAGGATCAGACCGTTACCATTGTCAACATTGTCTGATACATTTTTAGCTCCATTTAGCTTTAGGGGTACCCATTCAGAACCTGTTGTTGGACGGAGGGGTATTGAAGTGATTTAACAAAAGAATCCCAAGTGGCCTCTGACCTTTTTTATTTTAAGTACAAACTAGGATCCCGAATAAATTCCCATATGGCAGAGTTAAGCTGTTGAGCTATTCAATCAATTCAAGATGCTGTTTGACTGTATGATATGTTGACACTTATACAAAACTAGTCTTCCTTAGACTTTCAGCACTATCTAATGGTCTCATTAAGACCTTTCCCCCTCCTGTTTAGCTCACACTAATCTGGCTTTTAAGAGGAAAACGTTTTGGAGAACTACACAAACGGCTGTTTTGTAATTGTACTTTTTTATTTTTTAAAGTTAGCCCGTAGCTCCTTTGACTCACGTGTGGAATATTTTCACACCTCCCACCAAATTACCGCTTACACCCTAGAACAAGGTACAACAAGTTCCAAAATCCTGGAATTTCCCTTCGACAAATCAAAGGCGGTCTGGTGATCTTGCTGACAAAGCTGTGCAGGTTTTAAAAAATCAGGGTTGTGGTGAAGCCAAGTGCACAGGTTCATCATCCATTTGTTTCTCAACCCTCATGCAAAAGAAACTACAGTGATTGAAGCTTTTGTTTTGTTTTTTCCAAAGACAAGGGGTTGACGTTTTCTTTTACGCAAACTACTGCAAGCTAATAAAAAAATGTTAAAAAACTTGCTTTTATATTTCCATGAATTGTGTGGAATACATATACTTGTTTGCTGGACACTCTTCAGGTATATTAGTACCAAAGACATGTTGTGAAACATCTCCATAAAAAAGAACAAAATGGACACATCTGGGTTAGGGACGGAGCAGATGTTCAGGTTATGCTTGTATTCCTTCACCACCGTGCATCTACATATTTGCATCTGGTCTGCACAGCAATCGACTGAACTATTTACTGAAGATTAAAGAACAATTAATAATTCATTGAAATTGTAAGACATATTGGATTACAGAATACAATGCACACATTCAATAACAGTCAGCTCCACATTTCCCCTAACTTTTTTTTTTTTCATGTGAAAATACAGCAGACATCTTCCTCCTGGTGGTGCTTATAGTGAAACTAATTTCTCACCTGGCTGCTTTTTAACCTCTGAAATTCTGGACTAAAGTGCATATTTCCACGTTACAACTGAAGGAAAAATTTTCACTTAAAAAAAAAAATACAAACCATTTTGTTTTTTTTCCCCAAAAGGGAATCATCAAGTCATACAGCACATGATTAGAGTAAACTGTGATGTTCATTAATAAACACTTAAGCTGCATGATTGTCTCCAGATCCGGTTTAAGACATGTTTACAGTCATCACAGTGGCTCAGATAAAGGGAGATAAATGGTGCAAAGAAGATAGTGGGCACTTGCCCCTCTGGAATGCGCTTTGAGGAACAGGTATTACAGTGAAGGTCAGGATTCCTCTGCAATGATCCGAGCTCGGCACGCTGCCCGCAGCTTAGTCAGGGTTGCCATGGAGAGGCTTCCTGGTTCAGTGAAGATTTTCTAGGAATGACAACCAGAATAATTGCAATGAATGAATGCAAATAGTAAATTACATATTTTTTTCTCTCTCTGCGAGCAACAGTGGGAAACCCCTTAACATTCCCTCACCTCCATGAAAGTGTGGCACTCTTCAACAAATGGTCCGTGAGTTATCTGTTTGAAGCTTTGACAGACGTCAGGTAGCGATTGGGCCTGTTCAATCAGACCTTGGTTGTGGTGGATGAGCGTCAAGGCTACTCGGAACAGGATTTTTGAACCTTCATAGAAGAGGCAATCCCAAATCCGCAGAACCGTCTGCAAACAAAAACGGCCACAAAGATTTAAGTAATTTACAATGTCGGAGTGCAGCACCTCGTTTTAACTTCCATCTTAAGTTGAAGTTATTATTCAACATGGCAGCAGGACGAAAGGAAAAAAAAAAAAGTTACGCTCCACAGTGTTCTTACACTGTGGCTTCTTTTAGCATTAAACAGTCATAAGGTCAGGCGTGGATCAACAGCGTTGGGAAATCGGTGACGACTCATGTGCTTACTGGTTTTTATGTGCAGATTACACCTCAAGGGGTTACACCCAAACAGAAAGGTTAGGTACACATTTGATGCGCAAACATAGCATCCAACACCCTGATCAGGCCAACAGAGGGATGCAGAAAGAGACCCAGTGGTATGAGACAGGTCAGTAAAAAAAAGTATTATTCTATACAGAGAGCCCAGAGCTGTTGCACGGCTAAAACTGACACGAAAATAAATAAAGAAAAAGGTATTGTTAAGGAGATAATTTAACCTGTAAAACTATTAAACAAGCAATTGTCCTTGTCATCAGACTCACCTCCACAGGTAAGACGTCTATGTAGAGACAAATGAACCACCGAGACACCACCAGGGTCCACATAACGTTTTGGTCCACCATGACTTGCCAGACTTGGGGAATTTTCATTTTAACCAGCTCCCCCAGCACCTCCTGGTCCATTTTCAGGCCCAGCATGGCTGGACTGTAATAATCTGCAACAACCCAATATTTTAGTTACACACCTCTATTGGACAGAAAAACAATTTACTCAAGTGTGACAGTTATAGATAAAATATCTACATTTTAACCCAATACCCCTCTGTACCATTCCTTTGATTGCTGCTGGCAACAGTTTCATATGAACAAGCTTATTTTATGTGAGCGCAAGATTCAGATGCAAACATTCTTGCATCTCAAGCTCTGATTGGTTCCAGGTAAGTGACTAACTGGAATATTCTGACCACCACCAGAGCACTGACACACACACTTTTCACATGAGCTGAACAATGGTAAGTTCATTGCAGACAGACCTGGTAAAATTTTACCGAGCAGCGCGTCCATCAACCAGAAAGACTTCTCCTCATCTTTTGTGATGATGAGTAAATACCCAGCAACAAAATTCATCCCCTGAGGACAAAGAGACACACTCGTCAATCCTGCCTGAGCTGGTTCATTGCAAAATAAATAAACACAGAATCCCCAAATCCAAAATAAGAAAATATCAAGTTCAAACAGAGGATCGAAGAGATTGAAGCACTGAGGAGAGAAAACACTACCAGGCTCAAATTAAGATAAAAAACTAATGAAAAAAAACTCCAAACTGAAGCATGTTCTCCAAGTATCACAAATGAATGGCTCCTATTTATATTCCCTAAGAGAGACAACCATCAGTCCAGCCCTGTTTGAATTGTAAAGCATGTTGCACACTCTACTGAATTAAATTTGACTTTCAAATATTAATAATTAACATGGGAATATACTGAGTTTGTAGGCCTATTCATATTCAACTGTGCAATAACCTATCTGAACAGTCTGAAGAAGGATATATCCGTTTAGATATTTTCCACACTATCTGTTTGTTTTTTTCTAGTCTCACGCTGCATTTACTTTGTATTTGTTGGTATTACCTGGCAGTAGCCCACAGTTGGATTGTGGTGACCATAAGCCAGCAGCACGTTGTACAGGCCTTTCTGCAGTGATGGATTGGATGTTTTGCGAAACTGGACGTTGTCTGGAAATGTTCTGTTCAAGTCTGATTAAAAAACAAACAAATAAACAAAACAAAATGGAAACGAATGGTCACACTTCCTGAAAGTTAATGTGTGTTTACATACATGAGCTAGTGGAAGAGAAGTAGCAGGAGACAGATATTTCTCCTTCAGTTGAGCTCTGAGTGATGGGCAAATGAAAAACTGTAACAAAGCCTAACCTGTTCTAATAGTCTCCACAAGTTTGGGATCATGTGCGGCTGTCAGCAGAGATTGGTAATATCCTGGGTTCTTCTCTAGATGGTCCTGAGCTCCACTGGCTGCCATCCAGATCAGAGCCCGGTGCTCATTGGGAATCCCCTTGCGCACATAACGCTTCACTTAATGAAAGATAGAGATTTACTCTGAGTTCTAATTAAAGAATTCATTTTAAAAGGATATTTGAATATTCAGGTAAAACACCTACATTTCACACTCTTTTGAACCTTGCTTTTTCCCTTCAGTAGTTTGGACCACTTGATGGATCGTCTTGTGAGCACGACCAGATATTCAGACATGAGCTCCTCATAAGACTCGTAATCAAAGTCCTCTGAGCGCTCAAAGCCGTATGGATCCACTCTGTGCCAAAGAGAAATCAAATAACTGTTTTAAAGATACAAAAAGGATGGATTTGAGAAGGCCCATTTTTGTTTGTTGTTTTTGCTTTCACTTGTATTCTGGTGTGTTATTTATATCAAAGACAAGACAACTAGTGCAGATAAATCTGTAAAGAATATAAAAAGACCATCTATAAATATTTGTTTACAAAGTAACCATTGGACAGTATGTCTGTAAAAATGTCCCAGATAAAAAAGGCCTGGGTGTAGATGGCTAAACCTAGTGCCTTACGTAAGATGTTAATCTGCTTTACTGATTAACCTTTCCACAAAAGAAAAGTCATTCCTGAGGAGCTAATGTACACACCAGCTATGTGCTTCCCCACCTGCTCAGGTACAGCCAACTTTACAACATCAAACCATCTTGTTGTGGTGTTTACCACACATCCACAACAAACTGAAAAACTGGGTAAAAATATACATAGTATAGGGATAACTATACAAAAGGTTATGTTTCACATTAGATGGTTTTTTTGCCAAATCAGAAGCAAAGTGTGTTGCTGTGGAGGGTATCAATATCAGACAAGATCAGGAGTTGGTTAGCGTTATCATAGTGGATCTATCCTAAAATGATCTGGGGAAAAATATGTAATTCAAACACTAGCTTTTCTCACACGTGAATGATTATTTAGTGTTACTGGAACTACACAAGTTGGCATGTTGGCAATCAGTTTTCACATGATTTTTTAAATGATTTTACTTGTGTCGTCTAAATAAATAATTATCTGTCTTTACAAATGTAAAAGACTCCCAATTTTTTTCAAGCAACTATTAAAATGCCTCAAATAGTCTTAAAAAATAATCATGAAAAAATTGAAGAGTTCACTACTATAAATGAATTTTTTGTCAACACAGGCCATTTCTATCAGCAACTGAGTGTCCTCAAAGATGTTTTGGCATCGTTATTCCAACCATCAGGCCAAATGTGAACTTAAATTAACTATTGTTTGGTATTTGCATCTTGTGGACAAAAGTAAATTGATCACACCATGATGCCAGTGCAAAACATCTACCAAGTAGATTAGCTACAGTATAAAAGAGCCACTTGGCATACAGAAAAGGTCTACTGTGTTGTGAAACCTGCTTCTTTTTTAGAATTTTTTAGAAAACTCGCATTAAAACTTTAAGCAGCCCGCGCGGCAACACTTTTGGGCTAACATTTAATGAGCTAATTAGAAGCTAACGACTCGGTCACGCTAATTAGTTTTGCTCTGCCTTCAATTTCCACAAAATGAGCCCCGTGAGTATCCACCTCCTGGATGATAAACAGGTAAACCGCGACCTTTCCCTAGCAATAACACTCGAGTTTTCCATCTTGGCGAGAGAGAGAACCGTTAATGTTTGCCGGGCTCTACCTGTCGACTCTGTCTCTGGCTCTGCTGCCGGCGAGAGACGTGCTCCCGTTGGTTGGCTTGCTCTTCTTCTCCATGGCCTCTGCTGCTCCAGCGATATCCTGAAAAGTTCACTTAAAGTCCCAGCATGTGTGTGTTGTTTTTTTTGTCCTCCAAAGATGAACACTTTACCAAAAGCGCGACTTAAAATGTTGCTGTTTAAGTTGACCGAAGTTCGCCTTAACGGTCACTTTCTCCATGTTTGCGTGCGGGGGGAAACACCGGACAGGACGCTGCTCTTCCCGGGGATTAACATGCTATTCTCGAAAAGGTAAAGTAGGCAAAGGTATTCTTAGGTCTTTCCCCGGCTCAAAGAGTAGTTCTCACTTGATTTATCCAATGTTTTATCGGCCCATCGATGGGCAGAGCCGTGGGAAGAGATTGGAGTTTGCCTCGATTTTTATCGCCATCCACAGGCACCTGCTGCTGGTCCCCGTCCCTTCGTTGCGCATATAACTCACCAGTTGAGCTAGTGAAGTTCAAACAAGGTCTAGAAATTATGCTGCCAAGCGAACTTCCCCTGGTTCCTGTTGGTTGGTCCTTTTCTTTTTCACCCCCGTGTCGTCCAGTTTTCCTCCGTGGAAGATTTCGGACGCGTGACGTTTGCCCCGGGACAAACGCCTCAATCAGATCTATTGCTGCTTTCACGTGAGTCCCGTAAAATCGTACGTTAGAGTTTGGTGGCTCAAAGCGACTTACGGTGCATTCATGTCCCATGGATTTCATGGGGCTTTTGAAAGAGAAAATAAGTAGCTTAATTATTAAAAAAGAAAGATTGCCTACTCGAACAGTGGAAGTCTGACTTTGCTCTTGAATTTGTTTTATTAATGTAAAACTTTTAAACCAGTCTTTAAATAAAATATACTCTTTCTCATGCTGTAAAATGCAACTTTTACTCATTTTATTTGCACAGTTTATTAATATTGTTGGAATTTTTATTACCCAGCAGCAATTGAACATCCATTCTTTTACAAAAAAATATTTGAAAATCAGAATATCACGATATTCCTAATTGACACCGCATGCGCAAGGTTCCTTGATTAAAAATTATGAACGCTGACAGGTCCAATAACACCTAAATGCAACAAAGATGGTTAGTAGACGCCCTCTCCTTTACGGCCACGTAGCCCAGGTAAATAAAGCCACCTGAGAAACAGAACCTGTTCCCAGGCGGAATTAGTCATGTTCAATAAACCTGCAGTGAAATGTGGCGAACTACATGGCTGAATCATATTACAACCGAGCTTTAAAGAGTAGAAGAAGTTAAGATAATAGTACAAAGGTTTATAACAACACATACAGCATTTTAACATAAAAAGATAAATACTATAGGGTAAAACCTCTGCTTGAATTCTCAAAATAACTCAGTCACCGGACATAAATCTGATTATAGGCTGAAAGCATGTGGGGCACAAAGACCCCCCTCTCAGTGCTGTCACCAAAACACTCTGTTAATTTTGCATAAGTCCAGGAAGAACTGCTGCAAAATGACACCTTTTTTCCTGTAAGCTTGGCAGGAGCTGGTTTGAGAGCACATTTAGTTTCTGCCTTATGTCAGACAGGAACAACTGGAGACCATTTTAATTTGAATTGTAAATGCAACAACAGTAAACAGTAGCCTGAATTATGTGACACGGGCTTTGTAGTTAATATAAAACCATAAATCCTAGCGGTATCAGTGTGTGTATATGAAGTAAAATAGTGTGCTAACATAAAAACATGGCAGTCACTGAGACAAATCACCACCCCACCCTAATCAAATTTCTAAAATTCCATTTGAGCGTGTCTGACCTACTAAAGTCAGTGACATGTAGGTCTAAACGCACCCTCCTCTGAAAACACCAGAGTAAATCCAAATGCAGACTCGTGTTTCTGCTGGGGAGTAATCCTGCCAAGGGGTTGGGTTATCGGATCAGTGACTTGGATGAACATCCAACTACTGACATTTTTGGCACCGATGTGTGACCATTCATCTGATGTGAACAAGCCTTACTCTGTCCTTCTTAACACAGCTGAGTTGTGTAGAGTGTATGTTGTGCACTCTAGAAGCTGTTTTTTGCCCGTTGACATAAAAGAAAAACAACAGGAGAAATTGGTCAACTTAGTGCTTGATCGCTCAAAGCTAAGCAATATGAAAATTTGTAGTTGCCGTTGGTCACATGGTCAGGTTTCAATGCAAGTGACATATTTACTTATTTCTTAGTTGTAACACTGCATAGTCATTGAAGGCACCAAAAAAATAATGAAATTGCACACTTTTGCAGAAGTGAAAGTACAGTACAAGACTAGCATCAACTTAAAAGGTAAAGGTGTCTGTAAATCGTATGATTTTGGGTTTATATGTTTGCTTGACTGAAGGATCCCCATAGCAGATGGTTGTGTACTTTGGTCTCTGTTTTACGTTGTCTCTGTCAGGCTGAAATTGAGGTACTGTTAGCACAGAGATCTCCCGGTCTTCAGAATTAATTATTTTATCCTTCTCTGTCAGTATTTTGGCACCTTCTTTTCCTTCCTCTTGTGGTTCACCTTTTGCTGATTCCTCAAAAGATAAACCTTCCATCGTCTTTAGCAAGGTGCTAGGAGCAGTTTCTGATGAATGGGGTTTTGACAGCAGATCTGTGGTCGGAGGAGATTGAGAGGAGGAAATAATTTGATCAATATTGTTTTTATTGACTCCGTGAACACGTGGGATGACATATTTGGGAAACTCTCTTTGACTTGACATCGGTCTTAGGGGATACAAGTCTTTGCTGGCCATAGTTTTATAACACGTGTCTGTGGAGGACATCTGGTGTGTGGGCATGGTGTCATTGTCAGATATCATGACTGCTTCACCTGCTGCTGACTCACTGGAAGAGAACTGTAGGTTTCCTTGAGAGTTGTCTGATGTTTTTCTTGTTACTATGCTCAGGTTTTGGCTTTCAGAAGCCTCAGGTTTGTTTTCGTTCAGATATTGTCCGGGAGAGGAGTCTACAGATGAGCACCACACCGGAGCGCTCGCTGGCGGTTCTGCCTGCAGGACAAGTGTGTGGGGTTTTGGGAATGACCACTCACTCACAGATGTTAACGAGAGGCACTCCTGACATCCATAATTGACCTGTCGTGGAACATCCTTAGTTTGATCAACTTTTGCATGAATTTGAATGAATTCTGATGACCTCCGATCCTTAAGACCGATGTCAGGGACTTGACCCTTCATATGTTTTAACGAACTGAAAAGCTCTTTAACTGGTGGCTGTTTCTCTATTTTCTCTGCTTTCAAATTACTTTTGTTTCTTGGCCTTTGGCCTTGTACAGTTACGATAGGGATCCCGTCAAACTTCTGCAAGGAAGTATCACTTTTTGTCAGCCTGGGTGGGTTTTGTTTGCAGACAGTTGGTTCTACCACTTCTTGTTGCTTCCTTTCAAGACAAGCCACCTTCTCTTTTGTATTGGATGGAACCATAATGTCTTTTAGAGGCTTTTTATCCAAACATTTGAAGTCATTCCCTTTACACACAGTGGCTATACTCTCAAACTTTTCCATTAAAGAAGACAAGAGGATCCCTTTCCCGATTTGTCTTGGTTTGATTGGTTGCTTTTTCATAGTTTTCACCGTTTGTTTGTTTTGCTCTGCATGAACAAATTTTGCTATTATATCCTTCACACTGCGCTGCCGCTTTAGTCCTTGTCTTTTAGCCTCATCCTTCTTGTGTATGTTGTGTTTTCCATCTTGAATGGGGTAACAGTGACATGGCCTTCCTCTGCTGGTGGACAGAGTTCCAACCTCTCTCTGATGGGTTATATGGGGTTTTGGTGAGGACCTCAGGAATTTAGATTGGAGGAGCTGGAATGTGGTAAGGCGCCTCGATATTAGATCTCCTGCTCTATGCTCTCCGTTGGATTTGATTTTTTGGCACTTTTGAGAATCGGAAAAAGTGCCAGCAGTTTTTGCCTTGACCACCTCGCAGTTTGTCTGAAGCTGCATCTGATCCGTAGAACTCGCTTTTGGCTGATCAAAACAATTCCTTGTGTCGTCTTGAGTAACAGGAACAGACCCTGGCAGTGTTGTTTTTTCGGAAGATCTTTTGGGAAGATCTTGTAAAAGGTACTGTAGGAGATTCTCAAAAATCCCTCGAAGGACTGGGCGGCATCTTGGGTCTCTTATCAACTTCCGTAATAAACTGGCATCAGGGCTGATTTCTGTTCTCTCAGAATCTGCTCTACAGAGAATAAAGGACATGCAGGATTTTTTTTTTCTTTCTTGAAACAGACAGAACGATCTTCAAAAGGAATTATTCTATTAGTTGTGGAGGAGATATTTGAAGGAAAAGAAATGTTACAGGTAATTATTTCAGGGGACTGTGTAAGGGATGTCTCTGCTAAATTTAATTTCCATGCTATTTTTATTTCCCATGCTTTGACAGTGTTTATATATGATAAAACCAATTAAAATAAAGTAAATAATAATTATTGTTCTATGACTCATCTTTCATTAGAGTTACAATCATTTTAATCTCATTCCACCTGCACAGAGAAGCTAAAGACTTACTGGTTAAAAGTAAAGTGAAAAAGTTTTCATCTTATTTTCAAAATCTTGGATGTGCTGAAGCTCATGGTCAGACCTCACAAATAATCCGACTTTGTTTATACCTCCACAGACTTTGTTTGGACAAAATGTAAGAATATTTTAATGAACTCAAATATTCTATGTTCTGAATGTTAATACAACAGGTTTAGTAAAGGCAAAGGTTAAAGTTGGGTATTATCCTGAGATTATTAGGAGCAGACATTATACAGGTCCAAATGTGTTTTCCCCACAGCTCTGTCATTTAAAAGTGATAGAGGTGTTCAACTGAAGCACTCGTTATTTCATTAAGTCATATAACAGCCAACAAATGCCTAATAAGTAGAAATGCATTAGAGAGATGATTTAGTAGAGAAAATATTCACCAGTTCAGTTCCTCCTGTTTATGTTACTTAGTTCCAGACCTCTAATAAGGTGATTTTTCCTTTTTCAATTCATGACAGATCTGTGGATGGGGGACGGAAAAATCAAGGACTGCAAGGCAAGAGGGGTGAGAAGGGAAGAGGAGACAACCTGATTCTACTCAAGGACTTAGGGGGAGTTTTTCAGGCACAGGGAAGCAGTTTTAGCGTCAAGTTGAGTTCAGTTCCCCTGACAGCCAGTTGAGTTCGGGTCAGTGAAGATGGAGATTACTTGTCTGCGCATTTCTCTGCAGATGCTGCCTTGTGCAGCGCCTCTCCGAGCTCCTCCAGGCGCTCTCTTTTGTCCAAATCCCGGTAGAGGCCTTGGGGAACTTGGCTCAGGCCGTGCATGAGGCCATAAAGGCATCCTGCAATCAGGCCTGTGGCTTCACTTTGACCTAAAGGAACATTTTTCACAAGTCACTGGGAGAATGGCATGTGTCTGCCGTTTAGTGTACGTTGCAGATCCAGCACGGCTCTCACCTCCATGAAATACAGCTTGTTTACAGAGCTGATCCCAGTCACTCCCCGCAGCCAGGAGAGCGTCGTAGGCTATCATGGGAGCATCGTGACCCCTCCGGCCTGCGCGACCCTCTGAGCTCCAGCGCTTGTACATCTGTTTGGACAAAAAGAAAAACAGACATGCTCCTCTGAGGAGCTGTGGTCTTTTCCCACTGAAACATCTGCGAAAGATCTGAAGCAACTCACTTTATCCGTGTCGTCAGCGTCATAGTGATCAGGGAACGAAGGCTTGTTCTGCCCCTCTTTGTCTATCTCTCGCTCTTCGAGGTAAAACTGCCACTTAGCCTCAAAATAGAACCAGTTCTCCTGATACTCTGCGTAAAAGAATAGCAGCCACATTCGTTCAACAACAACAAGCTAAACCTGCATTTGCTAAGCCGTTTACATTTAAATTAGTCTTTTACTGCCCTGTTGGCATTGACAGAACCTCATGCCAACCTGCCATGTGCCGTATGGTCTTCCTGCAGTACTCTTCGGCACTACGGATCACCTTCATGAGTTCACGGCCCCAGGTCACAGGAGGTTTTCCCTGGATCGCATAAGATGCAAACAGTGCCGTTGTCAGGGAGCCAAGGAAGCCTAAGGAAGCCCAGAGTGACAAATTACTCTACTGATTCTCTCCGTTGACAGCCGAGACTTAACGATAAAGTATTATTAACTCACTGCTCTTTCAAGTAAAGTATTAGCTGAGGCACTATTAGCCCCCCCGTCAATGCTCGAACTCTTATTTTTAGGAACTATCAACATGGTCACCTGTTGGGTGATTGTGGGTCATTCTGCCAGTCTCGATGCTGACCTCCACGAGGCTTTCGAGTCTCTCAGGCTGCCAGTATCTCATACCCACACACATGGCTTTGGCCGCGGCCCCAAACCCAGACCCTGCACGTAAACACAGTTACACACATCCAGACCTATGTTTTAACATGCTGGTGTATAAAAGAAAAGACAGATAAAAGGCAACAAGAAGAATGATTCTAACCAGTGACCTTTTTCATTAAAAGGTGTATGCCAGGCGAGCAGGAAGTTGTGGGGTTTGAGTTGACCGCAGCCCTCCACTGTGGCAGGATCAGGGCTTCTCCCCTGGAGACACACCATGGCTTCGACATAGAGACGCACCAACTCACGGTACAGGTCCTCCAGACACCAGTAATCTGAACACACACACACACAGTGTTTGAGAGTCCTTCATCGCTGGCATTCAAAGCAAGATGAGTGGTGCTATGTTTAGTCTCAGCCCGCCAGACCACAGATTAGGACCAGAATGCCTGGAGTCCAATTGAACCCCCTTCTTTATATAATGAGCTGTTTGTACACAACTAATTTCTGAGTGTGCTGAGTGTGGAGGGGAGATTCTGACTGACAGTACATCTTAGTGAGTGATCCAGGACTTTAACTCGCCCTTGAATATATTTCAGGTTCTGTTACAGAGAGAATGAAGGAGTAAAGACTCCACCTTCAGTCCATTTGTGAAGTCACATTCGTCAGTCAATGTGTCTATTTGCCATTTTTGTCTCTGATTTATAACTTTTAGGAGAAAATTATAATGTTGCCATTGTGTCTTTATTGTGAATGATGAGAAAATTATTTTGAATGTGCAGTCAATTTGTTATTGGAGTCCGGTACGCGCTGTTTATAATGAAATTACAGACAACATGGATTACACACTTTACATCGTTTATTGGCTAGCAGCTATGCCTTTGTGTGCACCACCATGTATGTAGGCAGTGGTATGCTGAGTGTAGCTAAATAGGGCTTCCTAATCTCAGAAATGCCATCAACATATTTTGTTGGGACTCCTGTCATTGGATTTGAGCCTCTTCAGCAGCCTAACATGATACCAGTAGATTATGAGGAGGTATGACCTGCTATTGTTCAGTAAAGCACAGCTGAGGATCACATTTTCCTAAGTAGACTATTTTGGACTCTGGTAACTAACCAAAGGGAGGTAAAGATGGCATTTAAATCAAGGCATTGTTTGTATTGTAAGATTTCTATAAAGACTTCAAGTCATTCATGTTTGGTGTGTTGTCATGTTATCAGCATTTTCCACTCACACAGAAGATATTTATAGAAGATTGCTGAACAGGTTTGGTGATTTTTGGACATATGAGGCCATATATATATATATATATATATATATATATATAATCCTTAACCCTCCATTTTACATTTCTTCACATGAATGGCTGTCATACCTGTTATGAGTGCTTCTGCTGTGGTCATGTGCATCAGCACTGCATCACTCAGGGGCCAGTTGTCAGGATCCAGTTTAAGGGCCCCCAGTCCACCCATGGCGGCCAGTTCCTCTTGGATCTTCTTGCCCGACGTGCAGCTCTCCCAGCGGCCCTTCCTGTAGCCCAAAGCATCACCAACACCACCTAGAAGCATGGCCGCTTTGAATTTCTCCATGATGCTGGGACCGTCTCAAACTGGGTCAGTCAGCTCGTCACAAAAAAAAAAAAGAAGCCGTCAGTCTGGGATTTAAGTAGTTCCTAAATAAACCAAACCATTTCAGGTCTTCTTTACCTCCACGAGAGATGCACAGAAAGTATGAAGACTTATCTACTGTTTTCGTTCAGAAATTTCCTTTAAAAAATTCTCGGCCTCAAACAGATAATAGTTCCATCATTCATTCGTCGTCAGAGCTCTCCTTTGGTTTCTTGCGTGCAAACTTTAGGCACCAAGGAAGGGCAAATGCACACACCAACAGGAAAGCCTCAGCTTCTGTATGTTGAGGGGCAGTGAGTTAAGCGGTGGTCAGGTGTCTCCTAAAAAGGCAATCCCCATGATCCCACAGCCTAAAAACTGGAGGATGGGGTGTGGAGTGGAGTGGGGGGGGGGATGCTAACATGCCTCTGGGCAGGAGAGCAACCACGTCAGCTGGTGCTGAAGCATGTCCACATCCCACATGCCCCAGGGGAGGGGGGGGGTCGCTCCATCCTTCTTTTCTTTGAATAAAAACACTAATTCAAACTCCTTTATATATGAAGATGTCCTTCCATGACATCAGCTACATTTGTTACAACCCATCTGGTAGTTTCCATCCCTTTTGATGTCATCTTTACTTGTTTTTACTACTTTTGAGCCACACAGACTATTCAGACATTTTTCCCATTCATAGTGTTTCACTTTTTCTTTTAATCTATCTGTAGATTAAAGTAGCCCTGAACAAGACGTGACCAAGAGCTGCTGATGATAATACGCAGCAGGAATGCAACATGATAAGGGACAACTGTTACTCCAGGTCGCTCCATGGGTTTGACAGTTTGATCTGTGTACAGCTTATACGTCATCTATACAGTATATCTTTGAATGCAAGTGTTAGGCTTACTGACTTTAACAACTGCACTGGAACATTTTTTGCATATAGCATAAGAACCATTTTCATCAATTCCAAGCAATGATACCCAGGAAGAAATATCTCATCCAACACATTTATAAATGTTCTAAGGATTGTGGTGAATCATCATCCTTTGGGAGGAAATGTGACCCACAAAAAGTATTGACTGATCATGAAAATCTTTGTGGTTGTGTTTAATAGTGAAAGTATCAGCCTTCTCAAACACACCTACACGTCATATCCATGAGAACTCAACATATTCAAGCTAAAAAGCCATGTAAACTATCAGTGAATATTTTAAAGAGGCTTTAATGTGGGATTGTACATAAAAATTGGACTCCAACATTGAAAAAGGTCAGATGCAGTAGACTGATGAGGCAGTCATTTGCACATACCACAACACCCATCATGCATTGTGCCTACTCTACAAACCTGGGGTGGCAGCGTGACATATTGCTGCTTCAGCTTTTCAGGCCCAAGTTAATCAGGTTTATGTGCTCAAAGCAATAAAGACAGCTTGTACGGCACAGACACTTTATCCACCGACATTTTTTTTTTTTTAAGCTTCCATCACAACCCTATGCCGATAGAATTGTGGAACTTGGCACATTGTTCCATATCCCATCAGAAACTGAAGATGATACATTTAAGATGCTGGATAAGGGGATGAATCACGGGTGGTTCGCAATCCACTTTTCCAGATTCAGCTCACCAGCCGGCCACATTAACGCATATTGTCACAGGCAGGTGTCGGACCGAAGAACATACTGTACAAGGCTGTTAAAAACAACATGCTTTATTGACATTTTAATGACACACATGAGAAAACGCATTGTTCTGTAAATTCTGCTTTTCTTTATGGCAAAAAAATAACACTGTTTTGACAAGTGTGATCCGTGTGACAATTAACAGCTGAGCAAACATTTGACAACCAAACCGTACGGCCCCAGCGTTCTCCGTCCTGAGCGCCATGACCTCACTGATTTGACAGTAGGTTTGTGCACAATTTTAAGAGGGCTGATGGCTCAACAGAGAAGATCAAGCAGCCTCTTATGAGAGCTCTGTCATCTAACTATTATGCGCAATGTAGCACCTTAATCTGCTCATATGAGGACTGTCTTTTTGCTACTGATTTCATTATATTTCAACCTGGAACCTCTAAATAAAACTATATTTATGTGCACCTCTGTAGTTTATGACCAACAAATGTTTACATCAATATGAGAACTCTTAAGATATTTTTTTCCATCATGATAAAAGGCTTTTTTTTTTTACTTTTGTGTGCTGTTGTGAAGGAAAATAATCCATCCTAATTCACAACACGGTGACCAAGAAAAAAAACCTAAGAGAACAAGATCAGCGCTGTTGTCCAGAACAGAAAGTGTGGCACACACAGGACTTCACACACTGCTCATGATGATGACAAGTACCTGAGCTCGACCTGCTGTCACACTGCATTTAACACATGCAGGGTTGTTTGGTGTTAGAGAGTAATACTTCATCTTGTAAAAAGCATTGCTGTCCTGACTGCTATCGGTAAAAAGGCTCAAGTATTTGACGTGCCTGGAGTACAAAGAGAAATGCTATAATCCTCTGCCACCCCTAGATGGCGGCCACCGTTACCCTGGAGGTGACAACTGGTAAAAAGCAGCAGCTAACCTCAAACAATGTAAACAAACTTACAATGCCACCGGCTGTGATATGGTTCTTTAAAAGAAAAAAAGAAAAAACTAAAATATTTAAACAAAAAAAAAAAACCCTGTAGTGTACAGCTCCGCAGCTGAATACAGCGCTGCCCGGTTTAAAAGGAAACGTTACAACACAGAGGACGTGAGTCAGTGCAAATTGCAGAGGTGACAAGTCTTTACCTGGAAAACAGAAAACGAGCCAGTCAGTTTCTCTTTGAGTCTGGACCTTCCCACACTGTGACGCCCTTAATCTATATCATATCTGAGTTTTACATTTCATCCAACACTCATCTTGATCAGGGAAGGTCAAAAGCAAGTTTACTTTTATTATTTCTCCTAAAATCTCACCTCCTATCTAGAAGACGAGTATGTACGACTGAAACAATATGATTCTGCTGGTGCTGAGCTCAAAAAGCATGCTGCTATGTCCAATACTCAGAATACAAAATGTATAACGCTTGGTGACAGAGTACCATAATTTCCTTACATCGTATCTTACCCAATAAAATTATATAGCATTTTATGGCATAGGAGGGAGCACGCGTCCCTCTATCAAACACGCACACACACACATACGATATCAAGCAAGTTTTTTGTTCACCTGCTCAATTTTTCTGAGAGCAACACCTTTTCAATCTGACTGAAAGTGATGTAGATCTTTTTTTTTCACCTCAGCATCAATGGCACTGCATAAAACTAACTGACAAATCACGCAGATTATGACCTACTGGGCCTAGGCCACGTCCCGCTGCGTCTGTAACTTAATCCCGTGCATGTGCTGAACACTCACTCGGAGTCTGGCTGTGTTGGTGGTGCTCAGGGAGTCCACAGAAGCAGTTCAAAGCTAACCCCAATAGTGTTTTGACAGATGAGTCTGAGCACACTCATCATTTTCATATTGCAACTCCAAAGTCAGTCCAGGCCTGCAAAAAACAAAACAAAAAAATCTTTTTTCTCTTCCTCTCCATCCACTCTCCTCCTGATTTCCTTTCCAAAGTAGGTTTCTGAATGACTCCCCTCCCACGGCATCGTGTGCGGTGGGAGGAAGAATCGTTACGACTAGGTGCAGGCAGCCTTACTAAGCAGTAGTCTCTTTTGGGCTCATTTGTGTCAAAACCTCATTCGGGGGAAAGAAACTTGGAAGAAACTAAATCTCTGTCCTGCATGAAGCTGGGACAAATATTATGTCATGTTGCGTTTATTCCCTGTCACTATGGGCCGAGCGAACTCCACAAAGTCATCGATGAGAACCGGCCAGGCACCTGAAGAGAGGGTGAAAAGGACAGTGTTAGTTACATCCTCCTGCATTGAGTTTAACAAGTGAACAAAAAAACAACTACACAAAAAGAGAGGCTATTTCTAAACCATGGTCAAGCTGAGAACATTAGCTGCTTCCATTCTTTTCTAAGTTAAAAGGGCTGTTATAAAACTGGTCTCGGATTTCTCGTAATAGAGAATCGTAGTTGCTCTTGGTCAGTTTGCCTTTAGGAGTGGCTACCCACGGACACAACTCAGGTGTCTGTGACAGGGTTCCTAAAGGCAGCTAGAGCAAAAGCTCAGCTCATGGTTCTTGTCTTATCTGCTGCTTTTCCCATGCTAACCCGACACATCCTGCTATCTATACTCAATAAAGTGGGAATGTGTTAAGAAAAGATCTTTCTTGATTTTAGTTGTTTTTTTAGTTATAAGTATTCTTTAAGGTGGCATGGCAAAGGTTGGAGCATCGAGAGCTGGATGTCCAGTTACCCCTCTCTGACTCGGTCATGCTGCTTGCACATTGCGTCATCAAACAATTCTAACTGTATGTTACTCATCACACCACCCTGTCATTTATCTTCAAAGGCTCACCTTCCTCATCGTAGTTTGACATGTCGTCTGCAATCATGTTTCCAAAGTCCAGGAGGAGATTCCATGTGTCCTTGGGAATTGACCGCTTGTGATGCTCCTGAATGCATCACAGACCAGGTAAATCTTAACTATCCTAACACTGCCTGACTGGTACTGCTTCATTATTAAGTTTGGCAAAATAATCTGCGGATTACCAGGGATTAAAAAAACAAAACAAAACTTTTATACTCACTAGCAGGAATCGGTTCCACAGATCCAAAAACTTGAATCGGTCCGTGAGAACTAGATTCCAGTAAGCCACAGCCATATCTAGGTCTGGAGAAATAATAAAATAAGGCTGTGTCTTTCATATTTGCGAATCCAAACCTGTGATTATTTTAAGAATAACGACAGCTTCCCCACATACTCCGCTTACCTAAACCCTTCTGGCCTGGGTTTTTGGCAAAGTTGAAGGTAAACTGGTAGAAGTCTTTAAACTTTCCAGTGTCTTTCAGCTCCTGCTCAAGTCTCGGAAGAATAGCCTTGAGTTTGTCAGGACTGTCACAGCTGACGCACACAAAGAAAGATTTGAAGTCTGAATTTTCACATTTTACGTTCATTTAGCAGAAAAGCTGCAAATGCATCCATAAATATTATTCACTTCAGTCTTATGGTTTCTTACCCTAGATCCACCATGCCGTCCAGGAACTCCTTTCTGCTAAACTCACATTGTGTGGCTGCTCTGAACTTCCACGCCACCACAAGTATGCTCACGCTCGCCGGGTCCAGAGTCAGGTCATCGCAGAACTGCTGGATCCCATCGATGCCGATCTTATTCTCATCCTGGGGGTCTGCAAAGACAGCAGAGAGCAGTGAGCAAAATAGGCAGAAGAAGGCAGCTGTGCCGGTGTCAACATCTGGTACGACGCCTGCCTTTGTATCTGTTGTAGAGCTGTTCCAGCTTCTTGCGGTCCACTGAGTTTTTCATGGATTCTTTGTAGTAGAGGTCCGGGTTCTGGAAGTAGTTGTCCGTGGCGACTTCTAGTTTCCAGTCATTCTGCGTCAGGCAGTACACGGCTGTCCTCTCCCCCGCCTGCGTGAAGGACATAAACTGCCGAACCTTGTCCTTCTGCGATGACTTCAGCTTGTGCTGTTAAAAAAAAAAAAAAAACACAGGTGAATACATAAGGCATAAGAATGCAAAATGGTATAAGAACTGCAATAAAACAAGTTTTAAAGCTACATTTAATTTTAAAGAAAGTAAAAATATGTACACCTGCAAACTATTACTACCCCCACAAAATAAATGATAATTACAGATAACTTGAGTTACTTCAGGAGCCTGAGATTTCCGTAACTTCTGTGGGTGTATGATTCTTTGGGGCTGATGCTCCAGCCATGGGGAAACGAGATGCACAGGCCAAAACTTTAATTATTAACAAACGTTCAAATTATTTTTTATCAGCAAAGGCATATGTCATCAGTAATGCCTAATGGCTCGAAAACACACGTGGATCTGCCTCTGTGTGTTAGCATGTGGATGACAAAGCTGTCACTTTCGGAAGCAGCGCCACGAGGTTCCGTTAGTTCACAGCTGGAACATCCCGTTTATTTAGCTCAGGCGGGCATCGGGAGGGCTGCACGTCTTTGCAGAACCGCCGACTTGGCCCACCCGAAATCGAACCGCAAATTCACCGGGACAGGTCCAGTAACCCAGTTCTGCTGAGCAGGGGACGTGTGCTCACACGGGCTCTCCTCAACTGGAGCTGCAGCACGAGCATGCCTCCAAAAAGGGAAAGGTTAGTCATGCTAATGCAGGTGTCCGATCTCAAAATACCAGCTACTGACCTTTCAATCCCCACATTTTCCTGACACACACTGACTATGCGACATTTGACTCAGGACACCCAGCTAAAATTCACGGCGGAGCCTCGTTAGCGTCAGTGAAGCTTGCTAACGGTTCGGGGACTTGTTGAAGGGGGCTGAACAACTATGTTATTTTCTGTTTTTAAATATTACCTACCATTTTATCACCTGCTGGTTTGGCCAACTTGATATCCAAATACACATATCACGCATGCGCGGGGAGAACTGCTACAGTTCGACGCTCATAGTTGTGGGAAATGTAGTTTTTCGACGCTACAACTCAAGGGGCCTATCGTGGCGTCTATATACACACATATACATATTCTAAAGTATAACATACAAATAAACTCTTACGCACCAAATGTATCTGATCATAAATAAGTTTTTATCTCGCTGAACTGTTCATAGGGAAACGCCCCTGTATTTTCTTGATTCAAAATGACAGTGTTGTGCAACACCATTCGACGAAAACTCAGCGTTGTATTTATTTAAGTCGCACTGTTGACATTTAAAATAAACAATAATATTTAAAAAGAGTTGACATTTTTTAACCTATACTAGTGGGATATGTCACAGTTTCACAGCTCTCCAACACAGTAAAGTGGGGGGAAAAACAAGACGTGAAAACTACAACTCCCATATCAAATCCGATAATGTTGTTTCGGAAGTAATCAGAGAGTGCATTTAAACCACCAGTGACACGATACTATCCAAAATACGATATAAAAGTTTTCCAATTGAGGCTTACGTTTCTCTTAAGAGCAGTTTCCAAAGAAGTTGCTGACGTTATTAACTGTTTATTTGCTACTGTGGGCAGCGGTGTTATGAGAGTTTGCTCCCGGCTGGCTGGAGCTGGTCTGACAGCTCCGAGGTGGAATTTGGAGGCTAACTTTTTGAGGACTTTACTTACGAACTCCTCCGTAGAAACCCAGAGCTTTGCGCACAGCTCCGACGAAGCGTCAGAAAATGGTTGTATAAAGCCGTACTCACCGTTAGCCTCCGCTGACTCTGTGCCCGGCCGGAGGTCTGAGTAAACCAAAGGTTAGCTGCCAAATAAAAACACGGAACGTCGGAACAGCCGCTGCCTTTCAGCGATGTGGCAGGGGAGGAGGGATGTGTGGCACAACAACTTCATTGTCCCCGCACACTTCTTCTTCTTTTGCCTGTGCTGCTCTTGCTAGTCCTCCTTCAAAATCGCGTGTTTGAGATCCTGATTATTTCTCATTTCTGTGTTTTGGACACTCAGCTTATGGATGGTTTCACCGCCCCTGGGGTTTCCTGGTATGTTTGTTCTGCTAACAAAATCCGTGTTTTATATTCGTGGCAGGTTTTCCTTACAAACTAAATTTAAGACTACCACCGTGCTGACGGGAGGCCGTTTTCTCCTGAAACCACACTACTAAAGCTGAGAGGAAATTCTAATTTAAAGATACAATTAATCTTTACTGCTTTTCTAGGTATATTTTCTATTCATTTTTGCTATTAAAGGTAACCCACTTGTACCTGCATTCTTAGAATCTGTGAATGAAAGACTACTTGGGTTGGAATAACCAGTGTGTTTGTGTCTGCTTGTGCTTTTCAGTGGCCCAAAGTGGAGCCCTGGCTCCTCAGATTTCTGGAAACACTAGCTGGGTGGCTGCCACCCAGTCAAAGGAGGAAGGACACAGAAGTAACAATCACACGGCTCGACTGATGCTCTTAAAAGTGCTGCGCTTCTTGGCCGTAAGTTGAACTGATTCAGTAAAAATGCAGTGTGGTGAGCGATGGCGTGTAAAGATAAATTGGTACGGATTTTAGCTCAAGATTTGAAAAAAATCTGACAGGGAGGGCAACAATGAATACTTGTGGAATGGAAGTAAATCTGCTTTTAGCCTTGGGCGTCCTGTTGAGCTCTCAGGTGAGTTACCACACCCTGAAGATTAAACATATGTTCAGGTGACAATAGCTACTGGCTGCTTGCATTAAAGGGCAGAGTAGCTCGAGTTAACTCAGTCAGAACCAAAGCATTTTAAATATTGAATCAAACACTTGATTATTCACTAACTAAAAACCTTTTATGGCTAAAACAATGACAGCGTCACTCATACATTAATTAAAAAGAAAGAAAGACTAAATAAATAGAATGAAAACGAATAGTATAATAAGTCATCAAGCTCATATATTTACACCTGTGATGGACAATTGAGATCAAGCTGGTTCAGACTTTTTAATGACAGTTTTCTGGTGACAGTGTTTCAAAAAAAGAAAGCTAAACAGACGAGGACATAACAGAAGCACAGCATGTATATGTCTTCTTACAGTAAACACAGTGTAACACAGTGTAAGAAGTTATATTTGTGTCTAAAAATATCTATTTCTGCTTATCTTCATCAAACGGTTGTGTGTCATCCACATTAGCCCGTCTTTCAGCTGTTGTTTTTTCTGCTTCCAGCTCTCGTGCTCGTCATCAAACCCCTCCGACTGGTGAGGGCAGACGCAGAGCTTTGGATGCGGGCTGTTTGCGTGCTGCTGTGCCTCGGCCTGGCAGGGGCACTCGCTGTTCTGCAGAAAGACCATGTCGCCCAGCACGCCATCAAGCTCTACCGAAGCAAGGCGACCACACACAGCCACGGCTGGGTGGCCAGAAACTGCAAGCGTCTGGTGGGTCTCCTGAATCAGAAGAATGTGGCTGTTAAGAAGCTGGCAGCGGCGGCTGATGCGGTTGGACGTGACCAAAGCCTTTCAGAGCCGGAGAAGCACTTCCAGGTACCAAACCGAGACAGTCAGTGTCCCAATTACTTTCTGCTGGAATCTGGCTACTTTTTTTTTTTTTTTTTTTAAAGACCACACCGGACTTATCTTTCAGATTCTCTTCCTAAGAAGAGAATTGTATTGCACCCGGTGTTTTCTGCATCTCTGAACCACGAATAGGAATTTCTGTGAAAGCTGAGTTCAGGAACTTTTGGGGTTTACTGACAGCCTGACGTCTCTTTCCTGCATAAAGGTTCACACTCTGGAGGTGTTGCAGAAGGAGCTGAACGAGAGTGAGCACCTGGTTTTCCAGGCGATGCACAGCCTGCAGAGGGCGCTGCAGGGAGACTACAGGGATGTGGTCAACATGAAGGAGAGCAGCAGACAGAGGCTGGAGGCCCTCAGGCAAGCAGCCATAAAGGTGAAGTCAGTGTTTTTCCTAAAGAGCCCCAGATCATGTCCAGAAGACATTTGTATTGAATTAAAAAAAGTTCACAACTGAGTGAAATAACCGGCAATTATCTGAGCTGCAGACATGATGGTACTAAGGAAAGGTGCACTTATCTTATCTACTTTTAGAATACTTCTTTTCAAAGAAGGGGCTGTCATTTTATCTCTTATAAAGGTTTACTTTAAGGTGGTTTAAAGTTAAATGCACAGTTTTTAAAAAAATTATTATCGTTATTAGTAGTGGTTTTAAATGTTTTCATCAGCATCACTTGATTCAGCAAAATATCTTGTGATAGTGGAAGATGCTAAAGTTTAAACATGAAACTTTTAAAGAATATCAAACTGATGGAGAACAATTGAGAATGGACTCCATCAAATGATCTCTGCTTATCAGAATCAGAAATACTTCATCACTTGTTTGGGGGAGTAATGTAATGCTGTATTTACTGTAGGTCAGAGCAGAATTGCCCCTGGACGGTGTGCTGGTGTATAACCCTAGACCCTTCCCTGAGGTAACAAGTGTCACATGTTTGCCTTTGTCGTCACGCTTTAGGAGGAGCAGGAGTACGTGGAGCTGGTGGCCGCTGAGAAGCACCAACTGGAGGCCGTGAAGAGCGCCCTGGCCCAGAACAAGTCTCTGTCCATGCTGGATGAGATTCTGGAAGACGTGAGGAAGGCAGCCGATCGACTAGAGGAAGAAATTGAAGAGCACGCCTTCGACAACAACAAACAGGTCGGTGAATGCACACCTCACGTGGAGTTCAGCCTCTCAATGCAGGAGAGGACTTCCAGGGATTCGGATTGTGTTTGACAAAGTGGGGGAACATCACAAATCATCACCCTGGTTCAAAGGGCCATCTCACGGTGTTTCCTCCCACACTCACCGCTGTGCAGATGAAGGGGGTGAACGTGGAGGCGGTGCTGAGGGTGGAGGAAGATGAGGAGAACGGAAGGAAAACGAAGAACAAGTCCAGACACAAAGAGGCGGAGAACGACCTGGGCCTGAGCATGCTGATCGACTCGCAGAATAACCAGTACGTTCTGACCAAACCAGGGGACTCCACGATGCCGAGGGCCGACCCCCACTTCATCAAGGTAGGCTTACCCGTCTCTGCTCTCCCAGGCCGCTCAAACAGCATCTGTAATTCCTCTCAACGTGTTTGTGCAGGACCTGGTCTCAGTGGTGATGCTGTCTCTGCCCTGTGGCTGGATTTGCACGCTGGTCGGTCTTCCTCCCATGTTCGGATACATCATCTGCGGGGTGCTGCTCGGCCCCTCTGGTCTAAACAGCATCAAGGTAGGCAAATGCGCGAGTGCCCCATCGACGCGGGCGTTAATGCCGGTGTGAACGCGCTCGTCTGAGGTGGTCTTTTTCTGCCTCTGTGTCCGGCAGTCAATGGTCCAGGTGGAGACTCTGGGCGAGCTGGGCGTGTTCTTCACGTTGTTTGTGGTGGGCCTGGAGTTTTCCCCCGAGCGTCTTCGAAAGGTAAATAAGAAGAACTTTTTTTCCAATGAAGATCTTGGAATAATTACCACTCTATGGTATACGGAGCCACTCAGAAATTAGTCTGAATTAGCTGCCTCCGGTTACTTTTTGTAATGTAATATTTGGCATTCTATTCCCATTGTTTTATGCTTAGTATGAACTTTTATGTTTTGCAAGTAGTCCTAACCATGACCACGTGTGCGCAGGTCTGGAAGACCTCAGTCCAGGGGTCGTGTTATCTGAGTCTTCTGATGATCGGAGCCGGCCTGCTGTGGGGACAATTACTGCACATTAAATCCACGCAGACTGTTTTCATCTCCACCTGTCTGTCCCTGTCCAGCACTCCGTTAGTGTCCCGCTTCCTAGCAGGAGGAAGCAGGTTGGACAAGGAAGGTATGTCGATGTTTCTGTGCCAGGAGAAGAGCGTTGTGTCATGGTTATGAAAATATTTTGTGAGACCAGTTACCGGCAAAGTCGATATGCGTGTGTGACAGGTGACCTGGACTACGGCAGTGTTCTCCTCGGGATGTTGGTGACGCAGGATGTTCAGCTGGGCCTCCTAATCGCTGTCATGCCGACGCTGATCCAGGCACAGAGTGGAGACTTGGACAAGTCGGTTGTTCTTTATTTTTCGAATGTGTTTTCCATATGTCACCCGCCCCCGAAACTGCACAGAGATCCGTTGACCTGTGGCTTTTTTTGGTACAGCAGCCTTCTGTTGGGAGGCCTGCGGGTGCTGTATCTGCTGGCTCAGGTCCTGCTGTCCCTGGCCGCTGTGCTGCTGCTCTGTTTGCTGCTCAAGTCATTCCTGATCGGTCCCTTTTACAAGAAGCTTCACGCCGAGAGCAAAGGCAACAAGGAGATCCTGGTGCTCGGGATGGCAGCTTTAGTCTTTTTCATGTTGACGGTGCGCACTTTGAATTTTAAAAAGTTTTTTTCCCCTGTTGTGATCCAGCTTTTGAAAGTCATTCCTTTTTTTTTTCATAGGTAACCGACTTTATGGATGTTTCCATGGAGCTGGGCTGTTTCTTGGCTGGAGCTTTGCTGTCCTCGCAGGGCCACATGGTCACAGCGGAGGTCCTGGGATGCATCGAGCCCATCAGAGATTTCCTCGCCATCATCTTCTTTGCGTCTATTGGTCAGTTGGAGCAGGATCGTTCTAGCTAAGCTTTTGTCTCTTACAGTGAGACTGAACCTGGTCGTTCTGTGTGTCTGTTCCATGCTGCAGGTCTTCACATCTTCCCGACATTTGTGCTGTATGAACTCACCATCCTGCTGGTGTTGACCCTCACTCTGGTCATTATGAAGGTTCAGTGGTTTTTTTGTTTTGCTCTTTGGAAAAAAAAGTGTTGGTCCCTGTTTCTCTGTCCCTGACTCCTCATTTTCCTCCAGTTCATCATGGCTGTGCTGGTGCTGTCCGTCATCTTGCCCCCGAGCTCACGACACATACGCTGGATCGTCTCAGCGGGTCTGGCGCAGGTCAGCGAATTCTCCTTTGTCCTGGGCAGCCGCGCACGTCGAGCGGGAATCATCTCCAGAGAGGTCAGGGGTGACTTCATTCAGCATTATTTCACTTGTTTAGGGCGCATGACCTTTTTTTTTTTTTTAATTGCTTGCCCTGATGGTTACTCCTGATTTCTAAAGTTGTGGGAACCAAAAACTGTAGATATAAGTGATGATGTTGAACCAGAGTGATAAATAATTCTTCCTCCGTGTTTGTGCTCAGGTCTACCTGCTGGTGCTCAGTGTCACCACCCTCAGCTTGCTGCTGGCTCCGCTGCTGTGGAGAGTCACCACACACAAATGGGTTCCTCGCACAGAACGCAGAACCATCACCTGACCAGATCAAATTATTCCCATGGGGAAGATACCAAAAAAAAAAAGTCTTAGTTCATTCTCACCCAGCCTGCTCTTATTCTTGTTGCTTTTGAAACTCAACGACATCACGGGCAGGACAAATTTCTGCCTCATGCAGACGATCAGAAGCTCCTTAGAAACACATCGTCCTCTATATTTTCAACGTGTTGGGAAGGTCTGTTGGGGAAGAATATAATATTGTGTATTTGACATTATGTACAGGAGTAGTTTTAGGCCAAAAAGATTACAACAACATATCTTGATGTCGGGACCTCCTCATATACCTGTTGGCAAAGTTCCCTTTGTTGTGGGTTGAGCATTTCCACACTACAGCATGTTTCATTTGCTTGCAGGCAAATATGTTAAAAGTAAAAGTTGCATTTAGTAAAATAATTGTTTAAGATATCTTCAGTCATTGTCTGACTTCAAATTGAGTCCCACACGTCTGGTTTCTGCAGGCTACTTCGGAAGGGCATTGTTACTAGGCAGCCAGCGAGTTTTAAAACTGATCCTTTTTTTAAGTTGAAATAGCTTAAGAAACAATAAGAATAAGCAGCACATCTGCTTCATGGTTTGATGGAGAAGCACAGAAGACTAATGGTCATTTTAACTGACGCCTTTAATGTAACTTAAATTAAGACCGTAGATGCGATCTTACCATTCACCTCCCAATTTTGGACCATAAGTTTACTTCCTCTGTTGACGAAATCAAAGGAAGCAAATCTTATAGTTCAGGTAAACTTAAAATATTGTTTACAATTACTTCAAGTGTATGAATCAAGTGTTTTGTCTCTATCGAGAGGACATCTTTATAGTTTGTATTCCTCTTTCTTTACTCCACATTTCCTATCATATTTCTATTTAAAATGTCTCTTCAGATGAAACATTGTGGTTAACAGATTTTTTACCTTTGATTGTAGTAAAACACTTTCATGTGCTGAATAACTCTATGGGACTTGTACTTTACTCTCATTGTACTACTAGTCTGTGACTTTCAATAGTATCACGCCAAGCTGTCTTTTGGAAAACTGTAGTAAGGTCTCTGTATCTCGTGCTTCTCAAATTCCAGAAAGTCACAATACACTGAACGGAAAACCGATAAGGTACAGCTCTGTAAGCCAAACTCTATCTGATATTTATGAGAGTTCAGTCACTGATGTTATGTTTGAGGAATATCTCAGCACTATTTATCCCTTGAATGTCAAACTTCAGAGCCCGCTCGGCTCCTCTGTGCACTAAAAATAATACTTTGTGGGGTGGGATGTAATTTTCTGACTGAGATGGAACCATCTGTGTCTGACCATTAATGAAGTGCAATGTAAATCTGCGGGCCAGCCATGTGTCACTGTATAATTTAAGAATATTTCCTTCCTTATGTTGGTTGTGAGTATTTTTTTCTTGAAGTATGTGTGTGATGTCGACCGTCATGATGCTCCATCCATACATCTGTTTATTTTAAGTTTGATTGGCATGTTACTTTTTTTAAGTAATATATTATGACAAAAAGTGTTTCTTTGTGGACATCAATCTATCTGTTTTCTTTTTGCAATGCAAAATTTCTTTGTTTATATGCGATTGTACGATTATATAAAAATAGGGAAATAATTCAGTTTTGTGTGTCGATGCGAGATGTGCTCTGTTGTTTCCTCTCCACTGACCCAGAACAGAAGCAGTTGAATGAACAGACTCATGTAACCGAATCCATGTGATGAAATATTACTCATCTGATCAGAGCGCAGTACATCTTCACAGAAAAGCCAAGGCGTGGCTGAGACGGATTCTGCACGTGTGTGTAAGCATGTCCATCATAAGCTGATAACCCACAAACCCTGCAGTCAGCATATCTCTGTGAAACACGATCATCATCCTATTAGCAGGAGTAGACTGGATGGTTCAGAGCTGATAAATAGGAAGAAAAAAAAAAACAAGATGTAATTTAAATGTTTTTTTATTTATATTCATAGCAGTTTTGCGCTCGCATTTGCCTGACGGGAATCTTTTTCAGTTGATTTTATTATTTTTTATTTTTTAAAGCATCAACAGCAAAGCAAAAGGGTCAACAATAGTCAACTTAACAGGCTGATATATAGCCTACTATGAAGGAAGTCAATGACTTTAGCTTTTTTGTTTGCACAAGCTTCATATTATAAATCAATTACATTTCATATTTACATTTTTTCATATAGTCTTTTTTGTTGTCGGATAATTTCCTGAAAATTGGACTACATAACTATTCATCTAATGTTGTGTTTATATCTGAATATCTGCAGGGGTCTTGAAAAATTAGTTACTCATAAGAACAAAGCTTCTTTCTAACCGAATTAAAGTCGGGTGCCAAATGCTTGTGTTTTTCTTGTGCTGTTTCCTGTTTTTGTTAAAGTTCATAACCTTTCTCTGGTATTTGCAGTAAAGCTAAACAGTTTCTTTTTTGGTATAACTGACCGACATCGATCTGAAATGAAGCAATGCAGAAGGCAACAGAAAAACTGATAAGATGGCTGCATAAACAAAAGTAAGGAAGGAGGTGTTGGTACAGATTGTTAATGAACAGAGGGACTACATTGCGGAGGGTAGCGCTGGCTCAGTGCCTTTGTCGAACCGGATAAATCCAACGATTATATCTAAGCAGAATGTAGACACGTTCTGTTTTCTGCAACAGAAATACAAAGTTTGTAGTTTAGATTATGACCAAAAACACTAGCATTCTGATCAGCCCCAGTGTTCTCTTCTCTCTTTGGTTCCTTTATTTGATCCCCACAGGATAAAGCATTACAGGGACACAGCCTGAATAAATCCCTCTGGACAGCAGTGATGAGTCAGGCAGATCCGCCTGTGTGGGAAGGGAAAAGACGGGACTCTCGGGTTTAGTGATCACCTCTCCGAGGGAAGTCACTGAGCTCTCCGTGGGGGTCTGCCGTGACTAACGAGAGTAAGTCACCGAACATAGAAGAATACCCTCACCGACTTTTCAGCTGCTGGCCTCTGTCCTCCTTTTGAGGCTCTCCACTGTGACACCATGGATATTGGTGGCCTTACAACAGTGGTGGCCAACTCGGCTTACATCTCTGCCCGTGGGAGCTTTGATGGCACTGCCAATCCTGCAGCCAACCGAGACAAGAAGTACCACTCCCGCCTGAAGCTGCCCCACATCACCGTGTGTGAAGGCCTGCGGGAGACTCTGGACCTCGGCTTCCAGACCGTCTGTGTGGATCAGCCCATCGGAAAACGCCTTTTCCAGGAGTTCTTGGACTCCAACAACGAGTATAAGGGCCCGTGTCGTCTGTGGAAGGATATCGAGGAGTACAACCTAGCTGAGGATGACGAGCGAGTCAAGAAAGCGAGCAAGATCTTGTCTCGGTACATGGAACCTGATGCAAAGCACTACTGCCCCTTTCTGCCAGAAAATGGCATCACAAAGGTCAAAGAGAAACACCAGGAGGCCGGGGACGAGCTTTTCAAGGAGACGCTGGAAAGCGTGATGGACTTCCTGAAGGAAGTGCCCTACACTTTCTTCCTGGAGAGTATGTTTCTGAAGAGGTTCCTGCAGTGGAAGTGGCTGGAAAAGCAACCCGTAGGGGACGACTGGTTCCTGGACTTTCGTGTACTGGGTAAAGGAGGTTTTGGGGAAGTGTCCGCCTGTCAGATGAAAGCCACGGGAAAACTGTACGCCTGCAAAAAGCTCAACAAGAAGAGACTGAAGAAGAGAAAAGGTTATGAGGTAAGAGGTGATTTAAGAAAAGCGTTTCAGTATGGATCACACAGTAGAAGGTGGAGGGATGTTTGACACTGCAGATGAGGCGGTAGGTTGCCTCATGTGTGCTGGGTCTTTTACACCCAGTATTTCTGTAATCCTCTTTAGACATCAATCAGTAACGGTGGAGCCGTGCAGATGGCCCTTTGGCTTATATGACAGGTCCCGTCAGCATTAATGCTTTTTGGCCTCCTGGCAAGACTCCAGTTGTGGTTTGATGCATAAGCCAGTACCTGATGCTGCACTTCAACTCACTGATTCCGCAATGAGAAGGAAATTCTGCTTGAATTACAGCCTTGCCCGCCTTACAACTGAGAATAATCCCTCTTACATCTGCTGTGCTCTGCTGCCTGTAGGGGGCGATGGTGGAGAAAAGGATCCTGGCTCGGGTTCACAGCAGGTTCATTGTCTCTTTGGCCTACGCATTCCAGTCAAAAACAGAGCTCTGTCTGGTCATGACCATCATGAATGGAGGAGACCTAAGGTTAGAGCTCCACCTTTCTGTTTTCCCTCCTTTCCCTTGACTATTATACGATACTTCAATCCCAAAGTACAATTTCCATCCTGAAACACAGCTAATTCTTGAAAATTTTTAATGTTTGCATCTGCAATATCCACAAATTGTTGGCATCTTGCATGCCCCAAGAGAGGAAGCCGTAGTGGAGTACAAATCAGGTGCTACATAAGAGTGTCGTCTTTGCCTCTTTGTAATGAAACTTCACGATGTTCCTCGCGCTGCTCTGCACCTTTTCTACAGGTATCACATCTACAATGTGGATGAGAACAACCCAGGCTTCGATGAGCCACGGGCCTGTTACTACGCTGCACAGATCATCCAGGGCATGGAGCACCTGCATCAAAAGAAAATCATCTACAGGGACCTCAAACCAGAGAACGTGCTGCTGGACAACGAGGGTGAGAAACTAACTTAAATAAAGAATAGGTCTTGAGAAGTAGCTCCTCATGTGATGGTTTATGCAGATGCAGCACCATCAATTTGTTCATACCAAGTCAATTGAGCCTAGCTTTGTCCAAATATCACAAAATCTAATGGCACTTTTAAAAAACATCTCTAAAAATATTCAGTTGTTCTTTTCGGTCACATCCTTGAACAGCCACGGTGGCACAGTGGCTACCACCTCAGCTGACCACACAAGATGATCTTCTCTAGCCTAAAGCCCTTTGTGAGTTTTTTCTTTTAAAAGTATGTCCAGCTGTCTTTGCACAAAATGTATGCTGATGAAGAGCAACTCACAAACTCCTCCTACAACAAACACAACAGGGATTTATTGTTACTTCACTGAGTCTGAGGTGTGGGCTTTTGAACCTGTGATGTGAAAATCTCTTGACATTACCCTTCAATTTGTTCTAATAGGCAACGTGCGTATCTCTGACCTCGGTCTGGCTGTGGAGCTGGCAGACGATCAGTTCAAGATCAAGGGCTACGCCGGGACCCCAGGTACAGTGGAAATACACCTGTCCTCACAGCAAGGCCTGTAAGAGTAACACTGCCTGGACCATTTCCTCACGACATAATAGCCTTCACGCTAAAATAAATTTTCAAATACGTTTTGGTAATCTAAATTTATTAGGTCCGTGAATGTGTATTAAGAATAAAGGTTCAAATTAATTAAGAAGAGAAAGATTTAATTTTTTTTTGCATTGTGGAAAACAAACCCAACTTTTTTGCACATTTTAAGCATGTTTATTTTTTTGTATTTATTATTTTAAGAGCTGTTTTAATTAGATGATGACCTCCTCCAGGTTTCATGGCTCCAGAGCTGCTGAAAGGAGAAGAGTATGACTACTCTGTGGATTATTTCACTCTGGGGGTCACCCTCTATGAGTTTCTGGCTGCGAAGGGGCCTTTCAGGACCCGAGGAGAGAAGGTAGAACCGCTTTTGTTTTTGTGTCAGTGATCTCAGTCTAAATTTGGAGCTTAAATACTGTACACTTACAGTACCTACCCGCTGTACAGTTAATCTTATTTTATTGGCTCTCTTTGGTCTGGGAAGCTTAACATTTCTTTAAGTTCTTTGGAGTATATTATTCAGATGATTTTGCTTGTCTGTGCTCTGTTTTGTCTTAGGTTGTTACATTCACGTGCACTGGGAGGGGGCTTTTTATCTAATTGCACATGTGTACAGTGAAAATAAAAAGCATGTTTCACTCGTGTCTCTAGGTGGAAAACAAGGTGGTGAAGAAGAGGATTCTGAATGATCCTGTAACTTACCCGGAACAGTTCAGTGAAAACGCCCGGTCCATCTGCGAGGGTCTGCTGCACAAGGAGGTCGACAAGAGGCTCGGCTTCAAGGACGGGACGTGTGATGAGCTGAGGGCGCACCCCTTCTTCAGCCAGATCAACTGGAGGAAACTGGACGCAGGTCAGGTTCCTACAGACATCCTACAAACATCTGTAATCCAAATATTCGTTGCATTACAGATTTGTTTGTTAGAGTGGGGCTTTATGTGTTTGTGATGTTGTTTAGAGTCATTTTTATCTACCATTTGAGACTGTGTGCCCTCAGTCATTCTCTAAGGAGAAAACAAAAGCTTTAAATGAATGGAAGAAGATGCCAGAAATCCTTTCCACGTGGGATAATTATGTAAAGTTGATCATTTATTTGGTTCTGAACACAAATTTTCTCAGTGATCTGATTACTTCGAACACCTCGGCACAAGATCTGGGTTGTTCAGAGGCGGGTAGTGTGTTTAACTCTTTAATCCTTCCCAGAATGCCCTCGGCTGAATGAAAAACAGTTATCTTTAGGGGGAACTAGAGGGTTAAATAGTCTTAAATAGGGTTTGGAAGACTTCATGGTGTCTCAGGTGACATTAGACACGAATTAATTGGTTGTAGAGGATTTATAACGCATAAAATGCAGAAAATAATTTTTTTTCTGTTGCCTTTTCTCTTCAGGGATCCTGACGCCCCCTTTTGTGCCAGACTCAAAGACAGTGTATGCAAAAGACATGGATAACATCGGGGCCTTCTCCACAGTGAAAGGCGTGCAGCTGGAAGACATGGACAAGGGCTTTTTTGATGAGTTCGCCTCCGGGAACATCTCCATCCCCTGGCAGGAGGAGATGATTGAGACCGGGATATATGGCGAGCTCACGGTCTGGGGCGCAGGTGGCACTTTACCCAACGACCTGCGGCGGGAATCCATCCTGGAGCAGCCACCGAAGTCCTCCACCTGCACGCTGTCGTGAGCGTTGAGGAGAAACACGAGCTGTTCACACCAGCTTTCACACGAACTCTCTTTTGTTGAGCACTTTTCATGAGGGTCTGCATGGGTTGGATTCAGATTTGAAGATTTAACATTTGGATTCTGTTAAATGGCCTAGCAGTTGTATGACATGAGACATTTACAGTGACGTGGTAATGTTTCTGCGCAACTTTTCTGCAGTGCTAGCCAAAGCTTGATAGCTGAACTATTAAAAGTATCATCGTCTAACAAATCCTTATTACTTGACCCAATTATTTGACCCGCTTTTTCCAGATTTTTCTTCAACATTAACCTAAAACCTTGTAAAATAGATTCTAGTGTGTAAATATTGATAATGTAACATCCACAGACTTACACTTATTAGTGTCATTAATAAATAATAATTTAGTTTTTTGTATTGGAATAGTTTCAATACCTCAGAAGTGTAAACAATCATGTTTACTACTGCAAATATGTTTTGGAATAACAATAAACATTTTGCCTTTTAAATAATTGTTCGTCTTTTTAACAAACTAATTCACATCCGTCCATCCATTTCTAGAGCGGCAGCCTATTCCAGATTGGACGAGAGGTGCCAAGACAGTTTCTTTGAATGGTTTCATACCATGGACTGTAGAGGAAGCAATAAGCTAACACCTTCCAATATTTATTTGAAGAACTTCAGTACTAACGTCCCAATTTTCCCTTTAAAATAGCATAAACTCTTTTTCCCCTCATCAGTCCTTCTTTTAACATAATGTGCTGCAGGTCTGACAATCTATATAGACACGTTAAAACAAGTTGGATTAAACAAAAACAAGGATGAACGTGGACAAAACATGGACAGATTTTGTGTCCTGTCTTTGATCATATTGAAGAAAATCTTACATACTCTTCATCAATGAAACCAACGTTTATGAAATGGGCAAAATGATTAAAAGATAATGGTTTAAACACTCTCACATGAAAATTAGACTTAAATGAATACAGATCCTAAGTGTGTTCATTTATTTATTATCAAAGGTTAATGTTTTTTTTCTATATAGTCTCAAAGTTTTGTTATTTGGGGGTTTATAATTGAGATGAGAGAAGATGAGGTGTATAACCCAGGTTTGCCAGCAGAGAGTGCTGCCATCATGTCATTTTAGTCCGCCTCAACTCTGCAGCATCATGACCACCCAAGCGTCCAGATGTCAGCACACGTTAAAACCCCATAAAACCCATCATTTAATCACACAACCTGGAGAGCCTGTCCACATCCTGTAAGTAATTTCAAAATTAATCAACTTCCAACTACATAAAAACTTATGTAAGATAAATAATTGAATAATTTATTAGCCAGGTGAACGCGCTGAGCTGATTGGTCTCTCCCTCTCTCTGGAGCTCCCTCTCTGGCTTCAAGTAAAGTTAAAACCTGCTCAGCTCACAGGACTTTGTGTTCGGAATTTGAAAGGATTCTCCCTCTCTCTCTCTTTCTTTATCACAAGACGAATCAGTGGATTGCGAGGACGAAACCTTCCTGTGACACCACAAAGGATGAAGAAAATCCTTTGAATCAACAGGGGAACAAGCCACCTCCGTTAAAGCGTAACAAAAGGAGCCTGTTCTGTGTTCCAGAGCCAATTCATCCTGACTGGGTGAACATGCCGCAGCCCGAGACCCCGCAGACAACTGGCCAAACAGCCACAGAAACACTTGACCAAGCAGGTGAAGTCAGCAGCCTTTTTTCATTGTTAAGTCTATCTATTTTGCATGCTTTAGTTTTTCGTCTGCACAGGAAATGTGCTTCTGAATGTGAAGAACAAGAATTATGTCAAAACAGTTCTCCACAACAAAGCTGATTAATTCTTAAAAACTTCTACAACAGGTGTGAGTCCATTTGCTGAGTGCTTGGCTTTCAAAAAAAGCAAGAAAATATGCCATTGTACAATAAATTAGTTCATTAATGAAAGATTCACAGCATATGAATGACTCTTATCTTCAGAGAGGGTCTTGTTGGTTTAGTTTTGAATTTATATGCGTCAGATCGACATAGCAGTTCACTGTAAAGAAGATTTATGTCTGGATTTTAAAATCTGAACTGGTACTGAGAGGAAGAGGTTGAAGGTTGGAAGTTGACCATAAAGCATTTTCTTTCTTTTTCCCTTTCAGCTTTGTACATCCGCAGGGGGAAAACAGCTCTGTGGGTCACTGTGTCCCTGCTGGCTCTGGCTCTGGTGGTGCTGACCATAGGTCTGATTTCGGCCACCCGCACTGACAATGTGCCCGTTTCTGGATATTATCCTGGTATCACAGTAAGTAACAGTTACCTCTTTTATTTCATGTGCTCTAATGCTTGAAAACTGAGGTGCAGTTTGTCAGCTGCTCCTCAGCTAAACATTAGCAATCCGTGATCTCTCTATTTGTATCTCTAGCTTAGTTTCGGAGCATTTCTGGGTATTGTTGGCATCCATCTGGTGGAAAACCGCAGACCAATGGTGAGTCTGCACTTCTGATTTCCACTCAAAATGATTTATTTACAACTTAAGCCTTTCTGTTGTTAATTTAGACAACAAACTGAAATTGCATATAAAAAATGTTCACACACTTGTACTCTGTACTCTATATACAACTTATTTAGACATTTATCTTATCTTATCTTATTTATCCTATGTTACCAACAATATATGTTTTATTTCTACGTTTTCTAATCACATGGCAGCTTCATGCTTTGTACTTCCAGCCACCTCAGACATTGAGTTGCATTTGCCTGTGAGGGTGATATAATATCAAAACATCTTGTGGAAATGTTTTGCTGAATGTTTACCAGTGTGTCATCCTCTGGTTCATCCTCTGGTGCAGTAAAATGCAGAATTATGAGTCTATTACAGAGGACAAAGAGTGGCAATATAAAGGTGCTTCTTGTAATCAGGGAGGCTTTTTTTCCCCCCATAGGTTCATGAAACGTCCGATTGGCATTCTTCTTGGATCAGCAAAGAGTCCTTTCTAGCATTACAGAAATTTAGCGATATGTAGCCAAACTTAGCTTGTTTGGCTTTATCTTAAGAATTTAAATTCAAAATTTAAAATACAAAGAGAGATTTGAGAAAGCAGTAACACTATCGATTACTGGAACATTTTTTCCATATTTGCTTCTCTTGGCCTTTGTAAAAGAATCAATATTGACCCAAGTGACCCCTGATATGACCTAACTGTCCAAAACAGACACCAATTTGTATCCTCACCGAAAAACTGACAGCAAAAAACTAAACAAAAACAAAAACAAATATGATCACTGTTTTTTGTTGAATATCTCACACTCTTCCTCACGGCTGTGTGCTCCCTGTTCCTGCTGACATAACCGTGGTACATGGCTTTGTGTGCTGTGAATTTTTCATGTGGTGTCCAAGGTGTCATGTGCCTGGCTCACTTTATGTGTAATCTATCTAATCCATTCTTCAATGAGACGCAGATGCTGTTTTAGGCCAAGGAGTAATGTAGAATTTGTCTGCGAATTTAACGGACATTTCGCAGTGCAAAGATCAGAATATGTTCTTAATGATTTCAAAAGTTTAAAAGCAGGTTTGAACACGTGAGCACAAGCAAAAGACGAAAACCTTCTGCATCTTGTTCTGCCTCCGTGGCGTTTCTCCCATCTCCCTTTAAAGTTTAATGACGTGATCGCCGCCACACAAGCGCTGGCCCACAGTGTGTCCCGGAGACACGATGTTCGGCATCACACAGGTGTCTGATTCTTCCCTCCTGCATCTGAAGCTGGCGCTGTAACGCGATAGCCGGCTGACACAGTGTAGCCGCTCATTAAAGAACAACTAACCATGCCACAATGCCGCGGACACCTGAGAGCCCTCCGGCTTGTCCAGCTTCCTGGATCGCTCAACCCTTTTGGTCCTCTGACCTAATAAATCAGCAGACGGTGTTGATGGGGTTTGAAATGTAAACAGTGAGAAAGGTGGCGAGTTTATCCACCGACATCTTCAGCCGGCGTGGTTCAACTTCAAGTTTTTGTTATTTAAGAGGGTCAAATGACGATGACCCTGCTCTGATCATAAAAATAATACGATCAGACGATCTTGTCTTGATCAAGATTAATTCTGTTAAATTATCAATTGGCAATGTGAACTGTGATTTAAAGGGGTGTTAACGCACATGGGCGGTAAATCTGAAAGGGGAAAACATGTCATTATGCTTTAATAGCTCACATTGGGCTTTATGGGTTAACTCAAGCAAGTTGTGATGCTGAAAAAACATTCAACCAAATTAATTATTTAAAAAACACACAAAAAAACTAAAGGTAGAGAGACATAGAGACTTCCCTATGTGGAAGTGAAAAGCATCAGTGACAGAGTGTCATCTTTAAAAGTGAAAATGACATCCTTTCCATCAAAAGAAAAAAAGAATAGGAGTAAAAAGTACATTCATATTCATTCCCACTGAGCCTCTCTGGAAGCAGACTTTGCTGCTCCAGTAATCTCGAAGATTTCTTTATGATCAAACGCTTCATGTGGCCCATGTTCCGTCCTCCAGCAGAACACAGCGTAGTTACTGCCCGTATCTCACCCACTGCAGTCCTCATGGTCACCTTGCCATTTGCAGAGCTGAACCTTTAACAGGCTGTATTTCACCCAACTAGCCACGGCACAATCATTTCTTATTATCAGCGTATCTAGCGATGGTGGTGATTGGACACTGGAGCCCTGGGCGCGGGAGGAAGACCTTGCAGCGGTCAGCGACTTTGGTTACGTAACCGGATAGGGATCTTTAGTGAGGCTATAAAATTCCTCCTTGCGTCTTCATCTATTTGTCATTAATGTGTTATCGTCTATAAAAAAAAGTATTGTGTATTTCTTTGTCTTTCTATTTTTCTGTATTGTTTTTTTTTTTAATGAATTTGCATCCTGACTGTAGAGTTAATAGCAGAACAGATGATGTGAAAATAGTTTGGAGGCAGCAGCATAAATGCAAAAAAAACTCTGAGTCAAAAACAAACAAGTTGAAAAATATTTTTATCAACACACAAGAAGAAAAAAACAGGGAAAAATGACAACACATTTGTAATAGAAACGGTAAATAAAGTTATAACAGACACCATGTGGAGTGAACAAACGTAATAAACGTTTCACATAAGAAACTGATATGTTCATTTAGAAATTATTCAACCTTTTTTTTTAAGTCCTTCATCTTTAATTCTACTCAATACAAAGAAATAAATCTTTATTCCTTTTTTTTCACTCGACCGGAGTGAAAATTTTAAGTGAAATTAAAAAGCAGAAAATGGAACTAGAGCCGCTGGTATTATTGATGAGAACAGAAAAATGATCTACAGCGTCAGTCCTTAATGTTTTTACAGTATATGATTATTCAATATAATGGGAGCTTTGGGGGTTCGGGTGGTGGGAATGTTTTATGAGCTGGCGGCTGGTGCCAAGGTAATGTGAAGTAATGCAGTTGTCAGGCTCTATTGTCTCTGCTGATGGCTTCGTCTCCCACTTGCAGCCCATAAAATCAGAGCCATTTGAACTGCTAATGAAGTGAAGAGTCTGGACCAGTGGCAGATAAAGATGGCCAGAAAAAAAAAATCTCATTTCCCCAGCCTGGCTCTTTATTCACTCTGCTGAAGAAAATTCTTTTTAATTCTTTTTAATGCTTGACTCTGGTTTTGGATGTTGAGGAAAGCTCTAGATGAATATAATCATTTTAAGGCAATTTTGACAGTCATCTTTTGACAAACTGAGCCCCAAAATCAACCCCTGATCAACAAACCCACATGTATTGTGCTCAAGAAGCTGAGTGGTTTGGTCAGCTTTCAGGTTAAAATGCGGGGATGAATCCCCTTCGCTCACACTGAGTAAAAATAAAAGCACACGGTGTGGATTGGTATCATCTGTCTGGAGTTCAGGTTAAACCAGACCCACTACATGACTATGGCTGTCATTAGGAGGTTTTGGGCCTTTTTTTTTCAGGGTCTTTTGCTCAAAGTTCTTCTGTTTCGCAGAGTGAAAATGTTCTGGACTGTCTGTGGTAAAACCCTAAAGCCGTAACTTAATTGAAGCTGATGTGTAACAGGAGGTTTTACCTTCATTCCTGGTCACCACATTGAGCTGGTATGTCCACGGACAGCCATGTTTTTGTTACTTATCTTGCCAAAAATACTTGGACATCTCATCACTAAATATTCTAAACAATCCCAAGTAGAAACCTCTTCAAGCTAAAATAGAAATCCATCCCAGGCCACAATTAAAACAGCAAAAAAAAAAAAAACTGCCATTAGTCCTGAAAGGGCGATTGAACTGAGCCGGCGCAGCAACCGGCGCTGAGTGATAAAGTTTATGATCCAACATCTGTGATCCGACAGCTGGGCCGAGCCGGTCATATCGGAAAATTACTGCCTTACAGGAGAAGACACGGGGGTTCGCGAGATGGCTCAACTTGTTTGAGAAGTTCAACTTTAAGGTGGCTGAACAGTGGCTGGGACAGAAAACAATTTGGGATGTGCGTGTGCGAGTCGGATTGAGGGAATGAGATTGACCCCGCGGCCCGCACAGGCTGTCCCCGTGTCCTGCTGGTGGGCTCCCGCCTGTAAATCAGCCTCTAAGCTCCTCTGTGTTGGCAGAAAAAGGAGTCGTACATTTCCTTTATCGTCCTGCAGCCCAGATGCTGCAGACGACCAATCAGGACAGACACCAGCAAAGCCAGTCTGGGATGAAATCTCGACTGTCCTTATAAACTACAGAGGAAAAATTATGCTGTGAACAGCGTTTGAAACTAATTTATCTTAAGTTAATTTAGTAATTTAGTTTGGTTTACAGCAAAGTTCATGTGTATTTAACAAACCCTTTCCAATACATCATACTTAGCAGGTAATTGAATGTTTGCTTGCTAATATTTCCCTTTCATTCATTTGTCTTTAAGCTTGTGGCAGCCATTATCTTCATCAGTATTGGGGTCATTGCCTCTTTTTTCTGCGCCATTGTGGATGGGATCATCGCTTCAGAGTTTATCGTAAGTATTTACTCATATCTGCCCAGAAGAGACAATCGTAAAGAAAAAGAAAGCAAGCTACAATAAAAATGGACAAGTAGTTTTTATCTGAACCATCTCTGACATGCTGGCCAAACGTGGTCCCACATGAATCAGGCAGGTTTTTGCCTCAGAAATGCAGGTCAAAGCTCGCAGAGGCATCCAGATTCAGGTCAGGAAATGTGAGTTGCAGATCAGATGTTCTCATCTGAGAGCTTGAATTGCAGAGAGCGGCTGAAACTTTTCAACAGACAAAGGGTCATTGATGTCTGCCAAAAAACAAAAAGTTTAAGACAACTTTACAGGCAAAACTGAGAGTTCATAAAGCGGGATCGGTTCCAGGAAACCGAGATTTTTAAAAACTCGTATGCTGAGCTGGTGGCACATGTGGAATCCAGTTTTCTCGAGCTTCTCGATAAAGTCATCGTCGCCTCTTTAACTAACACAGGAGTTTAAAAGCTGGACAAGGCCCCCCGATATTGATCAGCGGTGCTATCAAGCCTCTGCAGATATATCCATTTTGTGCTCTCGCCGCCATAAAAGTCATATTTATTGCACATTCAGGATCTGGAATGTGAAATCATCTTTAATTACCTTTCAGGTTGAAAAAAAAAATTCTGCCAGGTTTAATGCGGCTGGTTTTGTAGTGCGTTGCAGAGGGCAGCTTTGAGTCGTGACACTTCCCTGCCTCACCAGAAGAGCATGAGCAGGACAGGAGGCAGGATCCATGCAGAAAATCCACCGAGATTTACTCTGAATGTGCGTATCTTGATTAGGTGACTTCTTTTGTTTTCAGGACATCAGGCCCATAAAGGAGGACATATGTGACTTTTACTCCAGTGGATCAGGCTATGCCTACGACAGCTACTATGCAGAGGTGATTCTCATCCACTTGCATGTTTTGTAAACACTTGATACATTTTTCTGTCTCCTATCAATATAAATAAATACTAAAGACATTTATCTTCTTAAAAAATACAGGAATATTTGCGTTAACTTGGTTCTTTAGAGCTTTTTTGTGCTTGACTCCTGGTGATGTATCTCCATCTAGTGGTCAGATTATGCTACTGCACAGACTAAATGGCACACATGTCTTCATTTTTAGTGCCTCAAAATCTCAATGAAACATGATCAAAATAAAATATAAGTTCTGGGAAACATTTCCGGGGCGTTTTATAAATCAAATTCGTAATATTTTCCAAACTTTTAGTCCAGACTTCAGCTTCCCCGGCCGTCGTGTCTGGTTCCATGACCCTCTTTAACTTTTAATGACTACCTGCGCAGGTGACGTGCCGTTCATTCAACAAGGAGTGCAAACTGAAACTGAGGAGCAACACGTGCTACTGCTGCTACCTGTACAACTGTGAGAGGTGAGGGGTCCACATCTGAGACACTTTTCCTGTCTGAATAATGATGCATTTACCTAATTCCCCTATGGGGATAAATAGCCATTCACTCATCCATCCTACGGGTCTGCAATGTCTTTATTAAAAGCAGTCAAAATTGTAACCTCCTTCCTTTATTTATTTCTGTTTTTCTAAAAAACAAACTCTTTGCTTTTTTCTCTCCGTTTCCCTGAGATGACCTCACTCTCAGAGAACTTATGATTTTGAGCAGATATGCGTCTGCTTCTTCATGTTATTCAGTCCTAGGTCACATTTCATTTGACCACACTTTACTCAGAAAATATAATAATATAACCAGATATAATAATATAACCATATAATGTTTCAGTGCTTTTTAGATTAATGTTTATGTGCATTATGTTACATACATTTTGTTTAAAAAATAAATAGAAACTGAAACACTGAGGCACACTTACAGGTCAGTTACTTACAGACTTAATCTTCAGTTACACCATCTGCCAGGAGGGTTTTCTCTTTTTTCTTTTTTAATTTTCAACATAAATCTTGCCGTCCAATTTGTAGCAGCGATATATAAAATATTGGATCAGCGGTCTCAGCGGCTCACAGCTGCCCTCTTCCTCTTCCAGTTCTGAGTACCAGACCCATTACTACGAGTTCACCGGGGTCAGCAGCTGCTGGGACGTGATCCACCTGCACCGTCTGCTCTGGGCCTCGGTGGTGCTCAACGTGATCGGCCTGTTCCTGGGCATCATCGCCGCCGCCATCCTGGGAGCGTACAAGGATATGGTGAGCAGAGGGGCCAGGAATGCTTTCAATAAAATAAAAATAAAAAAAGTTCTTTGAAGTGGGAAAAATCCCCTGATATCAGAAGAGGGAAAATTTAAAGGCAGCCCTGAGTGAAATGAAGGCGTTTAATATCACATGTGGCCTACACAGATGTTCATGCAACCATAAAGGTTTTATATGATACGTGTGACCTTCACTTACCGCGCATTGGCTTTGAAGGAGGTAAACTCCCTCACATCTGTTTCAGCCTGTGTGTGAAGCGCAGGGCTTTCCAGAGTGAGGGATGATAGATAGTTTAAATGACAGAAGAGTGTTTCATTTGCCTGCTCTCCCTGACTTTGATCAACATAGCAACTGAAAGAATGCTGTATTTCAACATTGATTAGCTTATGTAGACATACAAATGTCTTTTTTCCCTCACATGACAAACATGACCGGCTTTCTTTGATGACTTTCCGTTTTATCTAAAACTGACTTCATGCATTTCCTGCAGCAGAAGCCGACTCCTCAGGTTGCCACCAGCCCGGCGCCCCCGCCTCACATCCTGTACAACCCCAACCAGCACATGCTCTCCTACTCCGGCTTCTGTCCCCCAGGACAGGCTCTGCCTGCCTACCCAAACTACCCCATACCCATGCAGGTAGGCAAAACGATGCAAGAACAAAAACAATAAACCACCGAGGATTGGGATGTTTGATGGGATGAAAACAGGAATGCCTGCTCTCCATCACAGTAAATCATTTAGCCTCTCCTGGTCAGATGCGGGGGCTGAGCTTTACTGATGTTTTTGTGGCTGCTGTCCAGTGGGAAAACAGAAAGCACACTTCACATAAAAATGTCAAATACGAGTTTAGGAATTTTGGGTCCGCTTTAATGTGCATCTTTTTTGTTTCATTTCTGATGTTCTCCCACAGCACACCAGCACTTACCAGGGAACTGCTACTCCCCAGATGATCCCAGAGGGAGGCTCCTCCTCCGGCCCCACAGAGGAGACCCAGAGCCACCAGCCGTCCGAGATTCCCCCCCAGCCACAGTCACAGGGGACCACCCAGGACCCCGGAGGATACATGCTGACCCCCAACGCCCCCGTCCTCTACGGATCCTCATACAGCCCCTTCGAGAAGCCCCCCCCGTACGCCTGCTGAGCGCCCAGACGCACCCGCCCGGACGTGTGGCCGAGAATGGCTCCACCTTGTCGAACCGAACGTAGCACAAGACATTTTGTGGGTGATTTTTTGTAGCTTCACTGCTTCATTTAAGCTGTGTTCACATGTCGACGCGGTTTTCACTGACCAGACGCAGAAAGTTGTGGTTAAAAGTGTGATTCTATAGAAATGAGTAAGTTATTTCCAGAGTCAATATTAAGTAAACATCCTTTTACTCCTTTTCTTGTTGAGGTAAATGGTGATGGGTGCTGCTCTGAAGCTGCGGCATGTCGTAGCTGTAAGACTGGACACAGTTAACACGGCTCTGACCGCGTCTGCTTTAGGCCTCTCTAAAGCAGACTCATCCATCACAATCATGAATGTTACATCTGGTGTGGCATGTCTGTCAGGCAAGGAAGCACATTTCCATAAACTGTCAACCTTTTTCTACAAGCCAAAAGCTGGCCCTCAGATGTTGACATGTCTATGTAAATAAGTGCACTGTTAACTTTGCATCTGTTAGTCTGGTCTGTGTTCTGGTAGTTTCTGCTACGACTTGTGTAAACTGCTTAACACGTCTTCCAGGATATTTCCTATAATCAATCTACTGTACAAGTAATTGAAAGGGCTTTTGTTGATATTTAAATAGGAAAAGTAAATTGTGTTGATGCTGCTTTTATTCATGGTAATCGTTCAATGTGCACTTTAGAGTCAATTTACTGGTTATTGTTGTATTATTGATGATGTGAATTAGCTGTTGGGAGGCTGTAGCTGATGCAGTGAAATCCATAATGTATTCAACTCACTTGGAGTAAGGGCTTTATGAAATTCTCACACGAATAAATTGAAATAATCTCCGGTGTTTGTTTTTCTCAGAGTTCAATGATCACATCAGAGCTAGTCTGAAAACGAGGGCATGGTTCGCTTTATTGGAGAGCTCAATCTGCCTTTCTGAATGTCAATAGGCTCGAAAAACAAGTTATTGGCAGTAACTTTACATAAATATGATCTTTGATCTTTTAAAAGCTTCCATTAGACGTTATGCTGTACTGTTTGATTGATGGTGTACCTGATAAATAAAAAAAATAAGTCCAGCTTTAACAGAAACAAACAACGAGCAAAAGCCCTTTTTTTGTGGAAAATAGAGTTTTACTCTATGATGTTCATACAGCTGCTTTATTTTTAAATAGGATTTTCACTGTTGAGGGAAGTTAAAACACAAAAGGCAGACTTCTCTCAGCATTTTACACATACTGGCAGTTTTAAGTGAAAAAAATTAAAAACAAGAAAAGTTCAAGATACAACACATATGATAAAAAACAAAACAAAAAAGGTCAAGCACTATACTCTAGCATTCATTCATCAGAGAACTATAAAATAATGCATTACAGAGGGGAGTAAAATAATACTGGAGCCCTTTTGGCATTCTCAGTCAAAATGCTCCTCCGACATTCTTTGTGTTTTTTTTTATTGTGTTTTGATTTTTTCAGCACCGATAAATTACAACAAAATCCTAAAGATTGATACTATTTGGATCCCTTGCTATTGCTTTCCCAGTCTCTCAATTCCTGTTTCAAGATGACGAGAACTGATTTCGCACCGACACTTTGGAAAGAAGCAGAGGCTGAGAGACACGTGTTTTTCTTTTAACTCTGGATCATCTTAAACTGTGCAGAAGACCTCAGGGAACATAAGGTAGTGTTTTCTTTTCGTCCTTTATAAAGCATTGTACAGTCACATTATTTACATACTCAGTATATTACAGCGCTCTTCTTATTCTCAGTAGCTCGTGTGGTGCGATTAATGCAGTGCTTTGTCTCCCCTCATGGTGGGGGCCCCCTCCTGTCTCCCTGTGCTTCTGTGGTAAATCTGCTGTCCTAAAGGTTGGTATCTGGCAGGCTTTTAACAGTGAGGGGTGAGTCTGAGGGATCGATGGGGGTCTTGTGACAAAGTCTGTGATTAAAGGTTGAGAATGAGCCAGTTTAAGTCAGACTACAACACTTCACCGGGAGGCATGATGGGTTTTGTTTGTTGGGTTGTCACAGTACTGCACCTTTGCGAGACGGTTCGTCTGTTAGGATGGTTTTTGGGTTTGTTGTTCTCTTGTAGGCACATGGTTGATTTTTAAGGTTGCAGGCAGAAATGAAATGCTCTTCTTATTCGGAGATCAAGAAAATGGCTTTAAACGGCAGTCCATTTACACCTGCAACCATGTGCAAGGTTGTTGCAAAACACAAAGTTGTGCCTCATACCACGCCTCCGTGTTTGGCATTTTAAGGGCAAATACGATTCAAGTCCACCGTCTTACCTCCAGGTCATTATGCGCTTAGCACCTGTTGGGGCTTGTTGACACATTTTTTTCCCGTAGGGTAGCTCATTTTCCTGCATTTGTTCCAATTTTCTCAGCGTTTGTGTTCGCATGATTCGAGCTCTATGTTGACGCGAGGTGAACTGGATGTTAGCAACATGATCACGGAGTAGTCACAGCTCACAGAGTTACAGCTAAAATCTGAATCCTAACACATGCTGCTAGGCATCGTTTCCGAACCCAGGACCAACGATTTAACACTGATCAGAAAAAATACCCTCCACTTTCTTAAGGGGCTAATAAAGCTGTGACGTATGGGCAGTTTCGGGGTTTAAGTGTTATGCAGCATGTATTTTCATATTTTTTCAGGGGATTTGTCACTCATTTGCTAAGTAACTGACTAATCAAGTCATAATACTGAAAAAACTGTGAAAATCCCTGCAATTTGCCTCCTAGGCAGCACTGTCATCACAGTGTTGTTGGGGAAGGGGGAGCTGAGCTGAGGGCTCATGGGCTCTGGCTTCAGCTGCTTCACTTTATCTGTTGAATTCTTAATTATGTTCCAATCTAAACCATCCCCCTAATTATCTGACCTTTTAGAATTTTACTGGACATTCCATCAAAGAACTACTTGTGGATTGGTTCTCGCTGCCTCCAGTGCTCGTCACTGATGAGAGTCCAGCAGGGGGCAGGAGTGGGAGCGGATGTCGTTGTGTTTGTGGATGGCCTTGTCCAGGTCCAGAGTCTGTCCGTTCACGCTGACCTCCATACACCCGCTGTAGGGTGCTGACACGAGCGTGGACACCAGGGGAACGTCTGAGGGGAGAAATGACAACACGCGAGTCAGCAGAGGCGAGACGTGACCATCTCTGCTGTGCTCAACATGTCAGTTTTTCCAGGGAACAGAAACGTTCCCTGGAAAAACTGTGGGATAAGCAGAAACTGAAACATATACCATGACGATTTAAGAAAACCTGGTTTAACAAATAAGAAACAACAACTTTAAACCGCTTTCCGGTGTATCTCCATCAAATCGTGGCTATAAATAAGTCTTCGTTCTGACCTGGCAGGCCTCCTATAAAGGTGCTGGAATGTGAAAAGAGGTCAGAGGGAATTTCGGCGTCTTCACTTCGTCCGGACTGCCCATCGACCAGCAAGACGGTCTGGTTTCCCCACACTGTCACCGTTATATCGTGACTTTCACCGTCACACAAGGGCGCAGGAGAGCTGGCAATGACAACGCCGCCTACAGACACCAAAATAAACTGCAGACAAAGCCGGGGTGAGTCTCCGTGTACAAAACAAACGTTCCAGCAGATCTTGTGGTCCGATTTACTCACATCTTGCCACTCGTCAGTTAGAGGATTATAGTCAGCCAGGGCGATGGAGAGGGGAACTCTGTCCTGGTGAACGAGTGCAAACAGCACTCCGATGGAGGAAACTGGACGCAGCGTCAGCTGAACGCTCAGGTTCTGTGATTCTGAAGTGTAACAAGCAAAGGCGAGGTATGAGTAAACAGCACGAGTCATTCTGTAGTCATCCAAACTAATGAGAAACTGACTAAGTGCTATTGGATGGAGCAATCAGGCTAAGTTAACATAACACACCCACACAAACACACGCACACACTTCACCATAGCTGATGTTGAAGAGAGCAAAGCCTGTGCCGGGGTAATATGCTCCAGGAGCATCGGAGCTGAAACACTGCATGTTGTCGTTGGACCGAATAGTTTCTTGTATTGAAGTGTCTTCTCCTGTCAGCCAGCGCCAATCCTTCATGCAGCCGTCAAGACGTGGGTTCACCTTCAGAGCGGAGTAAGTCATGAAACGTGTTTCCATCTACTTTTACTGGGGAATCTTAAAGCATGGATAAGCACCTTATTAACCAGACCGTCCTCCTTGAAAGGGACTCCTCCCACGGTGAGGTTGAGCTCGTGCATGCCTTTGTTGAGTGTGAACAGGTCGCCGTTCACGGCGATCTTCATGACGGCCTCCCTGTCGATCTTAATAACAAGACTCCGGCCCTGCTCCTCCACCGAGATCTGTGACCGACAGAGGACCGTAAAGAAGAGTTGGTCAGCCAGAGCTGGCGGCGCAGAACAAGCTCTTGACAAGAGCGCTCCGACCTTTCTCCACTGGCCGTCGTTTACGGTGGGTCCGCTGCTGGTCACTCTGCTGACGGCGCCGTACTTCAGCTGTAGCTCCAGCTTCCCATGGTGCATTGCCAGCACGATCCAGGAGCTGTTCAGGTGCCCTCCGGCGAAGAAGATCACTCCCTCGCGATCGTAGGAGCGGAAGTCGAACTCTGCTGAAAAGCTATGAAAGAGGGGAGGGATGGACACATCGTGACACTCTTGCTTCTATCCAAAACTACTCATTTAAAGTAAGACCAGGTACTACACACTATATTAAAACCTGCAACATTCAACTTGATGTCTCGAGCTCTAAGTAAGCGAAGAGTTGCAGCTAAAATCTGCTGCTTGCTGAAACAACTAATACATCATTTAAAAGGTCATGTGGAATATGCCAGCCGTTGACGGCTATAAACCTTAAACATTACATCCTGCCTGTGCTTTCACAGTGTGTGGTTAACAAAAAAAACTGCTCCTTTACAACTTATGCTGTTGGCAAAAAAATTATGATTTATGACTTTGATTATATAAGATGATTTATTAGAAAAAGTATTTTTGAATCATTAGATGTTTCTGCCCATAGATGCAGCAAAACCAGATCCACTAATAGAAAAAGCACAAAACAAGTTAGCGGGAGAGCCCACCCACAAAGTAATGCTAAGTGTTTTCTAAAACATGCGTGACCACACACATCAGAACGAGCTTAAGACATTAACTATGCTATGTGAGGTGTCAAATGTAAAATTAAAGGAATACTCTATCATTAAACCATCTAAACAGCATCATATAAATACGCTCTCCAGGTGGATTGTCAGAATGGTGTGATGCAGATGCACGCAAACGCAAAAAGATCTTCTCACCCCGTGTGAACCCTGCGGCGAAAGCGCAGCCGCACCACCGGGACGCCGCTGAACATCCGGCCCAGGTAAAGGGAACGCGGGTTCCTCTTCAGGGACGGTGACATGCAGGGAGTTATAGGCTGGAGGATAAAATACACAAGCACCCTTTAGGCGAGATGTTGTCAACTCAGAAGAACCATAAACATGAAGGCAGCAGCTTCTGTCACATGTGATTTCTACAGATCCATTTAAGACTTGTGAGAACGTTTGGAATGTTTTCTCATACAGAAACCAATAACCATCTTTTTAGCATGCCAAAACTTAAATTGAAAGCATTACGGGAAACCAGCAGCAATTATTTTTATAATTTTTTTCATCTGTGACGGTTTTTCAATGTGTTTTATGCGTTTTACGGAGGTTGGTTTATCATTCATGGAAACTCAAATTTGAAAGGATGGAAAAGAGTGCATGTACTGCACCTTACAGCTCCTCAGGTCCTGCCCAAGCTTCATGCCCCGACGACCATCACAGAAGCAATGGAAACTCCCCGGGGTGTTCAAACACTCCTCCGCACACACACCAGCCTCACATTCGTCCACATCTGACAGGTGAGACAGCACGGCAGAGGAATTAAATAGAAGGGTGTTTATGGTTTGAAGATTACAGAGAAGCAGACGGTTCAAGGCGGTGTCAAAGTTACATCGGTGGAGGAATCAGTCAAAACAGAACTTCATAGTATTTAACGGGAAAAAGAAAAGGAACAAAACACTGGTTGAACCAGAAAAAAAAGGACAGAGAAAAAAAGATAAATCTGATTTTCATTTCTGTCAACACATGGAAGAATGCAAACAACACTCAAGTCAAGTGCTCTTTGACGTCGACTGGGATGTACCTCCCTGCTCCATATATAACCTTACATGGCCATGAGGAGATTTGCCATAAAAAATGTCAATTCTCCAAGGAGATACACAGAGGTTACGAAAAGTCTGGTTCCCACCACAGAGTGAAAGAGTTCCAAAAGCTGATTGATGGCTTTGTTTCAGTCTTTCCATGATCTGGCGTGCTGGTTATTTGATCTTATTGTGTTATCTAATCAAAAGTCAAGACAACGGTCACGTCGAGCAGCTCTTAAGACATTTCACTGCATATTTCTTGGAGGAGAAATGTGGGACAAAACTGTCACACGGTACGTGAGATCAGATTTGTGCATCTTGATTTCAGTCGCTGAGCTCCACAGCAGCTTATAAGAGGCTGTGTGACTTCAGCGATGAGCCATGAAATATAAAGCGCATAAAGACATTTTTTCTTCTAAATTTGAATTCTTTAAACACACGCACACCAAAACGAGGGCAACAATGGGATCAGTCTGGGCATTTCCCCCCTGAATGGCGTTTTTCTAAAGGCATAGGAACAGACAGGACAACACTGGCTCATGACCTGTTACCTACTTGTGTAACATTTCACCAAATATCTTTGCATTCCTTTCTTGACCCCACCACACAGCTGCATCGAGCCCCCGCTGAGGCTGAAGCCGCTCCTCTGCGCTTCTTATTAAACTGTTTAAGTTGTGTTTTATTCCGCTTTGCGGGTTGGAAATACTCACCGACACAGCTTTTGCTTTCATTGTCGTAGACGTAGCCGATATCACACAAGCAATCATAGCCTCCCTCCTTATTTTCACAACGTGCAGTCCCACAAACACCTGCGTCTTCACACTCGTTGATGTCTAAAAACAAACAAATATAGTTTATCTGAATAAACTGGGTTATTTAAACGGAACTGGCTTCTTAACTCAAAAGGACCGGCTTCAGTGGATCGGGTGTGTCTGTGATTCTGGTGGTTAGCTTACCAATACACATGTGGCGTCCGGCCAGCAAATAGCCTTGGTCACAGGAGCAACGGTAACTACCCATAGTGTTGTTGCACTCATGGTCACAGCCTCCGTTTCTCTTGGTGCACTCATCGACATCTGCAAATGGATTTTTTTTTTTTTAGATTGAGCCAGTGTTTTGATCTCGCCTGAACATACTCTGATTAAACCACTTCCATATCCATGAGATTTTACTTGCTTACACTCCTTCCAAATAACCGCCATGAGAGCGGTCATGAAGTGGAAAAAGGCTCGGCCCCGGTCGGTGTGAATCTGTTCAAGTTTCCTCTCACAGTAAGGTGGCAGGATGAGTCACAGTGGAAACGTTCCCCTTAATTTCAAGTTGTGAGTGTAACTCACTCCAATCCCTGCTTTATATGCGTTACATTTTCCTTTTAACTCTCACTTATTCAAAGGAAACTCTGTCCTACTCCCATATCTAAACACTGTAACTAGTTCTGGCCTCTGAACATGTATTCCCTTAGCACATTGCTACTGCAGTTCCCGTTTATCTACTGACCCGACGCACCTTTCACACCTTGTCACTAACAGTGCCATAAATATCAGCTAAAACATAAAGACACAAAACAGATAAAGAAATAGCTTCCACATTCAAGAGATGTATTACAGTATGATGTGGAAAAATAATGTCAGTGATGGGAAGCCTTAACAGGATGAAGTTAGCTGTCAGAGCCAAGGTCATAGTGATGAAATCAATGCAGAGACACTTGGTATGACACAGCACTCTCCTTATGCTGAGCTTTAGCACATCGTGTCCCAAAATGTGATGATGATGGTACCTTTCTCACATCTGGCTCCTGTCCAGCCGGTAAAACAGTGGCAGAGAAAGTCACCCTTTTTGTCCTCGCAGCGCACCGTTCCTCTGGCATTGCAGGGAGAAGGAGAGCATTGGTCTGGAATATCTGGAAGAGAGAGACAAAGGAAACAGAGAAGTAAAATTGACCAATTTTTTTATTTGAAAGTCTAAAGAAATTGGATTAATGCATTTTACTATTTATAACACAGGAAAGAGGAAGGGCATCTATCATGTTCTAAATATCAAGAGACGTGTATAAATAGCCTTATGCTGGCTAAGCTGTCCGTCCGGATATGTCCCAATTCGGTTATTCCCACAGTACCCATCCATTAGCTTTTGAGTGAACACATAAAACAGAAACCAACATTTCTTTTCATTTCTATTTACTTATATTCTATCTATTTACTCTTCTGTGACATATTTTCACTTAAGCTCTCTCTTTACTGCAAGCTAGTGCAAGAGCGTAAATCTTTTCTCTCGTCATACAGTTTCCTTTTCTTAATGGTGGAGTCTGATTACTCGACAAGTCTGGGCATGTCAGATGGGGCTCAGTGAATGACAGAAAAGGACAGAGCCTGAAAAAAAACTAGAGGAGCAACAGAGATGGGTTCTCATATGAATACACAACGAAGAAGTCGATATTGCAATAGAAATCAGCAGCTTTGTGTAAACTTTAAGAGTCGGAGCCAACAGGAACTAGATCTTTGAGTGTACTTTGGGAGATCAAAACAAATGAGCAGATGATGGAATGACTCATTAGAAAAAAGCAAAGTATGCTGAAAGCAGATAGTCCGCTGAGAACTGGAGGACTTCCAAACGTTTAAACAACTAAATGTCTTTCAGCAAAAAGTGAAAACATGAAACATGCAAAAAATATGCAACATTAAGACAAGTCTTTTTTACAAATACATAATGTTGTTAACTGGGTTAGAACAGCACAAAGATAAAGGGATGACATATTCCTGCATTGTGCTCTGATAATAAGTCAATTGTCAGCACTTCTATGTATTTTAAACAACATAATTCATGATAAAATTGAAATTTAAGAGCAGACAACAATAAAACTGAGAGATGAGTGCTGCTGTGCTAACGATTAATCAGTCTTCGGTATGACTTTGAATTATATGCTGTATCTGCAATATTCCATACGGGGAATTAAGAGGAAACCGTAACCTGCTGTGATGCAGGGATTTCACCCAGCAACAGAATTCACTCAAAAAAAGAGATGAACTAGCAGAATAGCGAGAGAAGTGATGCAAGAGAGATGCTGTGCTGACAGATGGTGTTAAAAGCAGTGCCGTATCTTTAAGGACCACTATGCTGCAGCTGAGTCATGGAGAACTCCCCCCCCCTCCCCCACCCGTTCCTGAGACCACTCAGCCAATAGCGGCGAAGCCGGGTTGGTCGAGGTCTCCTGTATCCTGATGCAGCAGATATCCTGTGCTCCACTCACGTCAGAGTTTTTCTTTTCCTCACGTCACTCCTTCTGTGAGCCGGCACACGAAGGAGCTGGTGCAGCCACCCAGAGAGTGAGTGTGTGTGACGACTGAAGGGGTGTGTCACTCATTCACCAATGTGCAACATCACTGTAGCAAAGTGCTGCAATATTACTCATAAAAACCTGCGAAATGCTTACGCAGGTATGGCACATTTTAGACTACATTAAGAAGTCACGGAATCGGTTAGGTGTGTCATGCTGCAGACTCTGACCTGGATTTGACGAGCAACTTATGCACATCTTATTCACTTTCTACGGAGAGAGGCTACGCCTGTGTGATGCAGAGCACTGCAGTGCAGCAGAACCCTGCGATACAACTAGAAGCCCGTTCCTGAATGTACCATTGTCTGCACAGGCAAAAAAACGGGAGGGCTAAGCAATGACAGTTTGAGAACAAAATTGGGAAGGAGGAATGAGGCATACGGCAACAAAATAAAAGATAAAACTTACTATGGACACATGTAATTAGATCCTGCTTTTTCTTTTCAGAATTTCCAAACTTCTCCACACAAGCTGGACAAAGACAAAAATGAAAAAACAGAAATAAAGAAAATGACAAACATATAATCAGTCAAACCAGTGTGTTGGAATGCAGGGTTTTAGGTAGAATGGGTACTTACCTAAATACTTGGGATAGAAGTATTCCTAAATCAATGAGAAAGTGAGAGACATAGTTATTTTACAAAAATGCATTATTAAAAAGTGAGATTTCACATACTTAGAAATAGTAAGTGGGATTTTCTTCAATATCAGGCTTTTTAGTGGGATAGGGTTTAACTTGATACCCAATAAGTGAAATTTGTGCAATTCTTGAGCACACATTATGTCTGACTGCAACATCCAGACAGAAATGACACAATGATTAGTCTGTCAACTGCTCTGCTCTATCTGATGGGTGTAACTCTTTGCCAGGGGCTCCTTGAGAATTCTCTGCATTCCTGATATCGCTAGCCACCTTCATTCCTCCTGCATGCAGCACTTCTCCACATGAAGGTTCAAATTTTGAAACAACCATTTAAAGCTGTGAAACTGGCAGTGATGGGCATCAAAACCATCTTTATCATTCTCTAAAAAGGCTGTGATTGGGAAAAGTTCTGCAAAAGCTGAGAACGTTTGCACCACTCGCAGCCAGGTGACTCCTCATAGTCAGCTATCTGTCCTCCTTGAAGGATAACTGACCTAATGAGACAGGAAACCTGATGTGACCACGTGTGATGTCATTGGAGACCCCGGCAAACCCACTGAGCTTTTCCACACTCTCTGCAGAACCAAAGAAATTTGCAGTCGAACAAAATGCCAAGTCAGAGACTGGCCCCACTCTGAGTAAATAATGCATGCAGCGCTGAATGAGACTGCAGCTTTGTGTCATGACACATATGGAAAACTACATGAAATCGTTTTTGTAAGGTGATATGTGCACTTTGCTGCTTCAAATGTCACATGTCTTCCCCCTTTTACTCTGAGGCTAGCTCAGCTTCACTTTGGTCCTCCATCCCTCACGCCTCCCTCAGGTCCCATATCCCTGTGCTTGGCTAATCTTATAAATAATCCCTTGAGTCATTGATTGCCCCATTTGGGCACTCTCCTTATGATGTAAAACAGTAAAGGCTTAAGGCTGAATAAACCTACTTAATTTCTTCTTGATTTGTTCACAATAATTTTTCTTATAATCAGTATAAAGACATACTTCCTAACTTTTTTCTGAAAATCCCCCTGCAACACACTGTGCAACGACATTTGACCAAACAAAATCTGAGCCCTCTGCCTAGTTCCAGGTTATGACACATCGAGCTATTTATATCTGGAGCGTCTTAGCATATTTACCACATTTAGTGCGTATTCAACAGGCTTACAGAAACTAATCTGCAGAAAATATTCCCAAACAAACACGACTGATCTTACTTGCGGCTAAATGTCAGGTATAAAAAAACTGCACACGTGTCTCAGAATGAGTGACGACATGTGCAACACTTTTTGCCCCCTGCCCAATTTGTTTATGATCAGAAAAACAAAACCATGTCTGCCACTTGTAAGTGAGGAAATGGATAGAAAATATCCAGGTGGGTTTCAAATTTGGGACCAACTGCAGGAGAATGTTTCTGTGTGCAGAGAAGTAGGAGATAGAAGTCTGGCCACAAAAGGAGGAATTTCTTAACATAGGCTTAATCACACTGACTCAACGTCTGTTAGAGAAACAAAGCAAAAGGCATGTCAGGGCCTTGATGTTTGTGCTGTCACTAGCAGGCAGGACTTATTAGAGCAAAAACATCAGCAGCTCAGACAATGAATCAGTCTGGTGTCACTTTAAATGTGCAGAATTGCCACAGAATTTAGCCATGACAAAAGTTGCAGCATTTGTTATGATTAAACCGGTTTTTGTTGAGTTTGTGGCACTGCAGTGCTTGAAGGGGGAAGAGTGATGACGAGAAAATCAGAGTCTTTCACTATTATTCTCACCGTTTCGGGGTCGTTTTCAAACACTTCTCTGGCCTCCTCCTTGCTGCACTTCTCCTCCACACACTCCCTCTCCAAATGCCCTTGCTTCGTCTCCTCGAAAACTTGATTCGCCCTCCTGTGTCTGCTCAGAAACTGGTTCGCCTCTTGAGGTGACATTACAACTAGAAGAGAGCACGCAAAGTTGATTTACTCTGCGGAGCAAGTGAGATGATTTGCCAACCGAGGTCTGAAATACATTTTTGGCCTAGGCAAATATTGCGAAACACGTCCCGGTTAACAGTCAAAACCATAAACGAGTGAGACATGCACCACCAGTCACAGCTCCCAATATCAAAGGGGGACTTAGCCAGCTAGCTAGCCAACTAGCATGCAACTGTTTACTTACTGCTGTCGGACCAGCGGACAGCCAGCAGGATTAGCAGGGCAGTCGATGGGAGCGACTTTGACGGGGTCAGCCGCATTGTTTGACCGCTACGGTGGCGCTGGGCTGGAGAAACTTTTCTGCTGCTCCGTGTTAACGGTCGTCCCCCCCCCTCAGCCCCGTCTCTGTCTCCGGGCGTCCGCGCTAACGTCGGCGCGAGCCACTGCAGGTTTCTCAGGTAAGCAGCTCCGACCGTTAGCCGTTGAGGTGTCTGATGGAAAGCCGAACGTTGCTCCCGCACGGCGTCCACAACATGGGCAAACAACAAACAAACAATAAAAACCGAAAACGTTCACGCGACACGCTTCTCGTCCCCGCGGCTCAGCTCGTCCCCATTTCTTTTTGTATGCACTTTTATTTCTACTACGTCCACCTCAGCCCGAGCACCGGGACAGCCCACCGAGGAAGAGAGAGACTGCGCGACCTCGCTGCTACCGCTACCGCTCCACACTCTGAAGGGAGCAGGCAGGAGTTTGTCATGATGCAGACACCTTCTTTCCTCCCTCCTCCTCCTCCTCCTCCTCCCCTGCGTTCGGTGGGTGTGTGCGCGCGGACATCACGCAGGAAACGAGGCAAAACTGGCACGCGATGGGGTGCTCGAGCTCTATTTTAACCACACAGCAGAAAGTCAAATAAATGGAGAAGTCGAATACTTTTTCGAAAAAGTGAAGACAAAATATCACCGTGGAACAACAAAAAATAAATAAATTCAGTTACAAGCAACAGTATCAGATAACACTCATTTTATTGTGTCATTTGTACAGCAGCTGGCACTGAACGCTACTCCATCATCCACCGTGAACATGAAGAATCTATTCAGGGAAATAATGTCCGTAAAAAAAAGCAGCTGGAAACAAAGGTGATACAACTTAACACAAGTATCGTTTATTGCGTGATCAGATGCAAGTTATTATCACATTTCTTTCCCAATTTTATCATTTAATATACAAACATTACGGTTTTTTAATTTTTAATAAATGATAAATGAGTTAGATATCTATCTTGGTATTTGATTGATGTTAACATTTATCACAAGGCATAACTTTGTCCCATATTTAATTATTTTGACATGTTTAACAGACTAATATAGTACAGAATTGTTTGAATAAAAAAAGCTTTAACACCAAAGTATCAAGATCCTCTTGAAGTCCTACAGTTACAGTCACATTTTTAAAGACATGACAGTAAACATTGGATGGACACACTAATGGTCCAGATGCATCTCACAGAACCTGTCAAATCTCACCTTGACCCACCTCTGCTGTTTCTTCTGGACTTCACTTTAAAATGCTGTTCACAAGAAACGTTATAAAGACCTTTGTTTGCTGCTTTTTTATGTTTGCGTGATCAAAAACTCTGTATATGTCTCAATTACTGTGACCGTATTTTACTTTACTGCATTGCACTGTTTTGTACCATTTTCTGTAATTCTATGTCTTTCAGTTTTTGTTTGCTCCTAAGTTCACTTTCGCTTCCACTGAATTGATTTCATCACTGGACCCAAAACCCTCCCATGGCTGTTATATTTAAAGATATATCCGTTTTCTGTTTCACTTACCCTGAATTGTGTGCCAACTGTTATCAAGTTCCCACATCTCTGCGGCTCCGTCCATTTCTTTTGGCCAACTTTGATCCTTTCTACGTTCCCATTTCTGTATCCAAGTCAAAGTCTTTTTTGTATTAAGTGGTGCTCATGTAGACTTTCAAATGAACCCAAACACTGCAGCTGATGGGTTTGGGGTTCATCTAAATCCCCCAAAAAGTATCGTCTTTCCTCTGAAGAATGAAGATGTTGAACAGTAACAAAACATTGTGGCCATCCATCAAACTAAATACATATTAAATTCGCCTTTAACTGGATTTTCTAAAGGCTTAAAAAAACATTTAAATCTAGATTAATGCATGAGGTTCTTTTGAACACTTTCCAGAGAGGATCGTCCTGTGTGGCCTGGTCTCTGGCTGAGAGAAGAATGTGATGTTGACACAAAATCAGGAAATATGGTTGCTTTGATAAAGTTTTATTAAAACAAACATTACACACAAAAAACACAGAACAGCTACACTTAAGTTAAATATTACAGATGGTTTATTTATATACAAGGTGAATTATGATCATATGAGAACCCTGAATGTGGCAAAAGAACAGTTTGGGTAATGAGAGCTGGATGTAGCTGCTGACTTAAACTGTAAATGGTCATTCAGGAAAGAGAAAACATCGGAGCAGGATGAAAAGCCTGTCAGCTCATCTTATTTCACAGTTTTTTTTCCTGCTAGGGCCAAAGCATCAATACACTTGAAATGAAATTATAGAGCTGGTTCTGTATCAGAGAAAGAGCCTGGCCAATAGAGACCATTTGTTCATTTTTCTGCACAAATACAACCATCTGATGCTCAATGCACATTTTGGTGCCTCAGAGCTCAGCTCTTAATCAAAGTTTCAAGGAAAACATTTAACTTATTCAAATAACTCCTACGACTACATCATCTGGCTTCCACTGAGCTTTCGTTGTGATTCAGACACACACACATACACGCACAAAAAACTCACAGGGAGGACACATTAACTCTGTATGGAGGAAAAGCATAAGCCAAAACTTGAAATACACCGTCTATCCAAAATATCCCAAGAGGTGGGCCCTTTGGGACGCTGCCTAATCTGAGGGCTTTCTTAGACCTGACTTGATTTGGGTCAATTTTCGTGCATTTGTGGGACATAAGGGTTCTCGGGGGCAGAGGCTGGAGGACAGGAATGAGACTTAATGCTGTTATGTTTGCTGAGAGCCTCGTCGAAATCCAGCTGCTGGCCGTTGACCGAGATGTCCATGCAGCCGTGGTAAAAGGCCGACACAGGGGTGGCAGGCAGCGGGATGTCATCTGAGGCAAAGCAAGCAAGGCAGTCAGATAAGGTGGCGGAAAAAATATAACTCAGCAGAAAAAGATGGCCTTGAAATGCAACAGAAGTCACATTCCTGAAATACTCAAGTATTTCCTCTAATAGAAAAATCAGCGGTTAGGATGATGAAAGGTCGTTGGCCTTTAGAAAACAAGCAGTAACTTACAGGAAGATATGACTTAATCAGGATAAAACGTTTTACCACAAGTTTATTTTTAAAGTTTCCCATTTCCCATTTATATGTATTGTTAGTTTGCACTTATGATAGTCCCGCTGACCTTTTAATAACATGCAAAAAACATGGGGTTTGAACTCACCTGGTATCCCACCGATATATGTGCTGACGGGGTTCTGCATGGTGGTGTTAAGGCGCTCCAGTGCCTCCTGCAGGGCGTCTGACTTCATATAGCTAACAGTGGAGGAGTTTGCCAGGATCTGGATTTCTGTTGCGGTCACGTTCAGCTGCACCGTCAGGCGCTCAGGGTAACACAACATCAGCGAGTCCAGTGTTGCCACGGAGACACCATCCAAAAAGACTTGTAAGTTCTTGAGAGGAAACGGCAAATTAAAATGACAACGTTTCATGAAGGGAGGAGACGAGCGTGTTCATCTGTAAACAAAAGTGAGAGTAAACTCACGGCATCTTCTCCCTTTGTTACCACGGCGACTGACAGGGGGACCGTGCTGTTGTGGACAAGAGCAAAGAGGACGCCCGTGCTGCTGGACGGACGTATGTTCAATTTAACGTCCACATTCCAGCCCCCGGAAGAACCTGCTTACACACAAGACAACAGATGGAAATTCAGCAACGGCCAATATTTTAGCCCACCTAAGAAATCTGAACAGTTGAACCTGTTCAGGTCGTCTAAAAAAGAGAACAGAAAAATGTGGTCATAATTAAGGAAAATATGTCCCACACTTTTATTTTTGTTTTTCTTAAAAGGGTCCCTTTGTCAGTCAATTATGAATCAGTGCAAAATGAATCTGAAATGTAATGACATCCTTAATGCATATGCAAAAGTTCCTAATAGAACAAGTTAGCTAAAACAGGTCAGGTGAACTCTATGGACAATACACATGACAGTGACGCCGCCTCCAGATTTCAGATCTGAGTCCAACCGAACAGATTTATTGATTTTTGTTTGTAGAAATATGTTGACCTCCCAAGCTCTCTTTCATCTGTCCACAAAGCTCTAATGCATGCTTCCTTTAAATCATAAACAGTCTACAGATAGCTCTGCTGCATTGCAGTGCAACACTCTCTGCCCTGAAGCATTGAAGACAGATCAAAAGCAGGCACTAAACTTTTTCCTCACAGGATTTCCTCAAACTGAACTTACTCACTGTAGTCTATGCCGAAGTGTGCCAGTCCTGTCCCAGAGAAGAACGATCCGCGTTCCACATACACAAAGCAGTGCTTGCTCTGCTTCTCCTGGATGACCTCTTTCACGCCGGATGCCCCCTGGTTCATCAAGTTCCAGCCCCGGATGCAGCCATCCAGCCGAGGATTGATCTGACATATGGACACAGAGCCTTAGTTTGAATTTGCCTTCGTAGGGGGCTGGGTTTGTATTTTCCCTTCCCTAGGACACACTCCTGGAAGACTGGACCGGCTTACGGGCTTGATGACGTTGTCCGTGCGGTTCGGGAGACCAGCGATGTAGACCTTGGTCTCCAGTTTGCCGTTCACAGATGTGAAAAGACTATCTGGACTGTTGATGCTCATCACGGCCTCTTTGCTGATCTTCACGCTGATGCTGCTCTCCAGCTCGTCAACAGAGATCTACGTGTGGCACATCAACAATGTGACTCTCTCTCCCTTTGCTTCAGACCACATCCTCAGCTTCAGAGCACGTCAAAGAGTTCCTTCCATCAGTTCGGTTTATCGATCAGCACTTCGGCACTCGGTGTCAGCCAAAAGTCAAAGAGCTGCTAACTCAGTGCGCAGCAGTACTTACCACATGCCACTGTCCATCATTGATGGCTTTTCCTCCGCTGGTAACCTTGAACGTGTGCTGGTTTTTGAACTGGACCTCGATACGGCCGGCTCTTAGCCCCAGCATAAACCAGGAGTCCTGGGAAGACTCTGCATAAAGAACCACTCCCTCCGGGTCAAAGGTCCGGAAGTCAAACTCGGCTGCGAACCTACGGGGGGCAGAAATACTGTATTCAATGTACACCCAAGAGTTTTGTGCTCCTGGTGTCTAAACCTCTGAGTTCATTGCAGAATCATAAGTGTCTTTCACATGCCGATTACTTCATGCACTCATCTGTTATTACAGATTTATTCATTCATACTTATGCCATCTAGAAAAAATCCTCAGCATCTTCTAAAATCTTTACCTGCTTTAACTTTAGATTCTGTCTCTGTAGGTTTTGCATGATAATAGGTTTTATAGAGCTTCAACAAGCCGTGCATTGGTTACAGTAGAGATTTTTTTTCTATTTAAACAGCAACAGCAAATAACCAGAGCAGAATTTAGAGTAGACAAACAATCAGCACAATGTCATTTGTGTTTTCATTGGATTATTGAAAGTTTTGTGTATAGATAATGTGTAGTGAAAACGTACTTGGTGTTCTCTGGCAGGCGGAAGCGCAGGTAGATGACAGGCAGGCCGGCAAACTGTTCCCCCAGGTAAAGCATTTCCGGGTGTTTATAGTCATACAGGTCCACACAGACGGGGATTCTCTCACAGTATCGGTCGTCCGCTGCCAGTCGTAAACCCTCCCGACCATCACAGTGGCATGTATAGCTCCCCAGTGTGTTTATACACGTCTCGTGACACACATTCAGCTCACACTCGTCCACATCTGCAACAGCAGGAGAAGAGGTTGACCCTCATTAGGGTCACGTGTGGAGTCACTGGGATTGAAACATGAAAGGAAACCCGTTTTCCCTACATTCTGGTCAAGGTTAGCATAGTTAGATTTCATACTCTAAGGTTCCCTTTAAACAAAACCTTAATTTTCACATAAAAGCAGTTGTTTTTAAGACTGGTTAGCAAAAATAGAGGGTGTCAGCATTTTGCAACCAAACTGGGAGCTGGTTTTACAGGAGAGGAGCCTGAGGACTAGAAGCGTCCTGATTAGTAAGGATATATATATATATATACACACACACATATATATGAATGTCTTGTGTGAACAGAGGAAAACAACAGGCCTCACCGTTACAGGTCTTAGAGCTGAAGTTGTATTTAAAACCCACGGGACACTGGCACTCGTACATGCCTGGCGTGTTGACACATTTAGCTGGTTCCTCACATATACTGGGGTACAAAATGCACTCATTTATATCTGGAAAACAGAGAGTGACAATGTCAGAATAATCTTCAAGACTTTCAAATATGACTTGTAGAAAGTTTTCTGGAATAAATCAACCATTTGTAAATTGAAAAATTTAAGATGAATCACATAAGACAGAAATTGTGATTTTTCCTTTGATTTTGTGTGGGTTTGTAAGAGATTGGGTCTTAGAGTGCTATTTTCTGTCAGGTCAGAGGTTCAGGCCTCAGTGCCACTGAACTGCTCCAGCTGAGCCCTTAAGCAACATCCTTAACCCCCTTCAGGAGTGACACAGCACTCTGACCCAAGCCTCAAAACAAGTTGCGATTTGCCGAAAAAGAATTTCAATGCTCTGTGATGCATTAGTAACAGAAGAAATGTCACACTCACTGCCGCTGCACAAAATATTTCCATGACCATGAGATCATATTAGAGTAAATACCAAGCGGATCAAGGTTGGAAATGTCTTTGCTCAACTGTGAACACCTGCTCTTTATCAGGGGAAATAACTAGGGATGTCCTATGATAGTTCTGCCAGATTATTAAAGCTGGCAGATCTGAACAGACAAAAATATTCACATGCTGCTCAGCTGGGCTGAAAGCCAGCTATTTTTCTTAAAACTTACGACCCTTTAAAGACCGGTCTTTAAATGGGTGAACAGTATGGGACACCCCGTGTACAAACCCAAGCATGCAATTCTCCAAATCTCTTGTCTATTAAATAGAGAAACCAAATTGATCAAACTGGCTGAGTCCATGTTTGTGAAGACTTTGTACTGGATACACGCAAAGATAAACAGTGAGCTGCCCACACAAGGCAAGGAATGGTATCCAGATTGTGCCAAAAAACAAAACAAAAAAAAAATACGACAAGACAAGGATCTAAAAACCTTTAACAGCTGAAAAACAGCTGTGAGTGTGTGCAGGTGTGTTTACTGAGGCAAGTACGGTCCATCTTTTCACACTACTGGCTGCCCGGGTTCGCTTTTGTAAGGGGTAACCTCAGGTCAGCTTTGGAAATAACAAATTGTGTGCTCCCTCAGGGAGAACAGCTGAGGGAACAAAGTTTGCGCTTCAAAGCACAAAGAGCTCCGACATGTGTGGGAATTCATATAAAAAAGGTGGTTATCTGAGACAACGACACACTGGTTGTGAGTTCAGGTGTTCTCAGGAGGATCCACGAGTCCTAAATCAGGTAAATTACTTGACACGGTTATTTAAAATCCAGAGTCGCCGGGTGTCAGCGGATCGTCCTTACCGACGCAGTCGGTTTTGCCACGGGGCAGGTAGCCCTCTTCACACTTGCAGTGGAAATTTCCGGGGATGTTGAGACATATTTGGTCGCATCCCGCCTGATGTTCAGGATCCGAGCACTCGTCGATGTCTGCCATGTCAACGCCCCACAGGCATCAGGAGCCGATCCGGTCATTTTAACAGATGGAAAAATATATTTAGTCTTTCTTGAAGCACTCATTCGAGGTCAGATATTTAAAGTGGAAAAATCGGAAGCATGTCCCGAGACCTCACCGTCCTCACAGCGCAGCCCCTTCCAGCCAGGCTTACACACACACGTGAAGGAGGCCTGCCCATCCACGCATCTGTCCGAGCCCTCCTTGTAGCACGGGAACGGCGTGCACTGGTTACTGATCTCTGGGTTTAAGACACACACAGAAAAACACTATTGAGGGTTGAGGAACTTTGGAGCTGAAAGGAGGTGTCATTAAAAAGTCCAGATGAAGCCTCTAACCTTTCACACAGGTGCGGAGGTCTGTTGGGATGGCGTCTGGATCCGAGTACTGGTTGTTGATGCCGACACGATAGGAACCCAAACACGCTAAAAACCAAAGTGGGTTGACTTTAGAGGTGCAGTGCAAATGATAATGCGATAATCAATGCACCCCAGAAATTATAAGAAATCTGGAAAATATGAGTCCAAGACAGATTTTCCAGTGATGCCGATCGAAAATGTTACATACTATTTACTAAATATCAATAATAGTTAATACATTTAGACACTTACCAACATATTTAGGGTAGAAGTACTCCTGTAAAAAAAAAATAGGATAGTAAATATTTGACACTAAGGCCAAAAAATACACTTAATGAATTTCAATAGAAGAAATAAACTGCTCGTCACAGTAAAAGTCATTTTACTTGTTAGATAACCGAACATTAAACTGTCTTTTTTTGCCTTTATTTAATAGATGCTGTAAAGAGAGATAAGAAATGTGGGAAACAAGAGCAGACACATAAATCAGCTACAGATTGTTCAACTTCAGGCTCAGCTGCTGCCAGCATTTCTGCTTATGTGGCACCTGCCCTAAGCACTTGCCTTTCATTTGTTAAACTGAAACATCTCTTAAGTCGCACTGGAATTTAAAGCCATCAGCTGGACCTGCAGTGAATATCTATCCATGTCAACTTCTCACACTTAACAGATCTAAGAAACGAGTCAGCCATTTAAAATGAGGTAAAATCCCCCAATGCATCATGTTTTCTTTCTCTTTAACTCCTTCTTTCCTCTCTCTGTGCTCCGTTTATCTTCCTCACCATCCTGATGGGCTGCCCTCGTGTCTTTATATTGGCTGACTCGCTGTTAAACTGAGATCTAGCCACAGCTCTCACCGTCTCCGGCTGGTTCTCAAAGATCTCTCTGGCCTCCTCCTTGTTGCACAGCTCCTCGATGCACTCCCTCTCCAGGTTGCCCTTCTTGCTCTCCTCAAAGAGAGAGTTGGCTCTCCGGTGTCTGCTCAGAAACTGGGTGGCTTTGCTCTGGCTCAGGACTTTGATAAGCACAAAAAAGGGGGGGAAAATCTCATTTACACCCTGGACAAAGCTGTAAATTCTTTCCAGAGTTATCTGAATGTGAGAGCTGATCAGTCTATCGCTGCGCATTATACCACCTCTACAGGTTTAACAGTAAAAGTGTGTGCCTACACAAAACGACTAAGCCAAAAAGATCTTTTAAAATGAGCTTTTAAGCACTTCCGTGGAAGCCTTTTTTCTCTCTTTGCAAATACCTGTAATTTATTCCACTTTCTTTTTGCAAAAACTGTCCACACTTCAGTGGTGAGAATGTTTGTGTCCATGTGAGGCGTAATCTCTGTATTTTTGTCTTATACACTCTTTTCCCATTCAGGTTTACACATCTTTCAACAGACTGCTGAAGATATATTTTTCATTTGGAAGCCAAATCAAAAGAAACAAGGGCGAGCTGAAAACTTTAAAAAAAAAAAAATTAACACTACTGTACAAGGTAATAATCCAGTAAAAGCTGATGGCTCCTCTCTTCCCCCAGAACAGAGGGCTCATGGCTGCTGCTGCCTTCATGGACCAGCCTAATTGCTCTTCTATGAATTGGCCCAAAAAGCCCTCATTGCGAAACCGTTATTTCCCAGAAATGTCCCCCCAGTTTTTGTAAGCAGCTCATGTTGTCCAGGCTCCGTTTCGTGGTGTATAACAGAAGTCCTGACCCCCCCAAAACCCCAACCCCCCCACCCCAGACTGTCAGTTAAGAGTGACAAAAGTCTTTAAACCGTCCCCATCTAACCCAATCCAGACTGGAAGCAGCACGTTTAAAACTGTGACACTGTCTCTGAGTTTTGAAAACTCTTAAGGAGGGGGGAGCTTTTCCGTAATTTTCCTCCCCCCGGTTCTGCATTTAAAAAACCGCAAAACCCACAAAGGTACTTACATCGATAAGCATCGACGAACGTCACAAGGAACACGAGACAAGCCAAGGGTTTCCCAAGAGCCCGCTTCTGTCTCCACATAGTCGGGCCGTTCCTCCTGCTAGGCCACGGTTTGGCTCTGGCTGACGACTGGCTGAGGGGCAGGTCCGGCAGGGTAGAAGAAAAAAAAAAAAACACCAAAAAAAAAAAAAAAAACAGAAAAACTTTATCCTTCCCGAAAGTGTTTTTCTATGAAAAGCAAGGGGGGGGGGGAGCGCACGCGGAGGCAGCTAGGGAGCGCTGCTGACACGTTCACGTCGCCTTTGTGTGCTCGACGTGTCTGAACTCAGGCAGAAAATGGGTTTACAACAAGTACAATACGGCACAGAGGGGGCCAGAACACAAAGGCTTTTCCCACAAGCACCCTCCTCGTTACACGCGGTTATATGCAGCAGAGAGTTTGAGTTATGTGTGCGAGTGTGTTACCGGTCATTTAAATATGCATGCCTGAATATAGATAAGTAAGAGATGGTGTACTTCATTGGTTGTGCATTTTCCGAATAGCCCAATAATCTATCAGTTCATACATTAGTCATCCTTATCTCTATAACTCACAAGAAGTCCTATTTGGTCTACAATGTTGCAAACCCACATCCAAGTGAAAAAAACAAAACAGAGTCATACAGACTGTGTACAGAACTGAGGAATTGAAGGCCATTACTTTTCTCAGTTATGTCCAACCATTAAATAACCCCTTCAGGTGGAGGGTTAGGCCTTTGCAATGCCAAAAATCCAATGTGTTCACCTAACTAAAAGTCATCTTTATCTTCGACAATGAGATCACCGAGTAGAAACAACCCGTTCTCTTCCATTAAATGTGGTGCCTCATTGTAGTTTGTCAAAGTCTGCACAAACACGGCAGAACGATGAAACAAAACTGTTTTCAACAGTATACCTGATATTATAAGTTTGGCGCACCATTGTAAAAAATCTCCATTATCACAAGATATTTAGTAAATCTAACAATTTTGAGCAGGCAGCAAGAGGAACAATCCAAGAACAAATGGCACTCCATAAGAGTTAGGATTAAAGTGGAATCAATGTTATTTTTAATACATTTTTGATGGATTTACACAAATCTTTTTTTTTTTGTAAAAAGGGAGGTCCATCCAAGCTTTTTCTATACCTGTTTGTACCCAGTAGGGCCGCGGGGGGCCTAGAGGCTACCCCAGCTGCCATTGGAGAAGCTGGGTCCACCCTGGAAAGTTCATCAATCAATTCAGTTCATTCTGAGTATTTCAGAGGGATTGACAAAGCTAAACGTACCACGGCATGCCACATCAACAGATCTGAATTTATTAAATCACAAAAGGCAGAATCCTGACCCCAGCGTTCTATCAAATGCAGCACCACAGATAAAACAAATAGAAAACATCCGAATGCTTTTTTCTGAGGATCATCTTCCACGAAAAGGGAAAGGTGTTGATAGGAGTTTGAATAACAAATGACACAGACACCACATTTGCATTAATAATGGTTTCATGTAGTTATTCAGGAAAAAAAACAAACACATCACATTTTCACCACTCATTCGGCTTCTTTATGTACACATTTAACACACTTTAATACTTTTAAAATATTTGTACAAAATACACTGTTCTCCCTTTATAATATGTGTCTATCTGAAGAGGCATTTTACTGCAAAAGGACAGCAGATGTGAAGTGTTGAATTGAGATATTATTGCATATCGTCTTTATTGCATAATTCGTTCCCCTTCGGCAGGTTTCGGGATGAGGGAGGTGCTGTTACTGTAACTGCCATCGCTCCAAAAACTCAGCTGATGTTTCTGGGAAGTTTTTTTTTCTGGAAAAATCATTAGAAATATAAGTTTCATACACCTGAGGAGAGTTAGTTACTGATGGAAACAAACGCTCACCAGAGTTTAGAAGTTAAAGAAAGACTGCTCTCTTAATATTTCATCAGTCTTGTTACTTTACATAATATGGTTGGGCAAAAAAAAATTGGCAAAAAGTTTCTTGAGAATAAACAGAGGTTCTATACAAGGGGACGAGGATGATACACAACAACAGGGCAGAGTGGAGTAACAGTGTCTTTAGAATAAGTACAGGCAGTGGTTGTTTTAACAAAGTGACACTCTTTCTTCAATAGTCGGGGCCCTTATAACACAAGGTTCAATTAATGTGCAATAAATCCCATTATGTCAGTCAGTCACGTTCACACTAACACATGCATAAAACACACAAACAGTTCAGTTATTCACTTCAAGGTTTGCGTTTGATGAGGAAAAGATAGAAAATAGTCAAATCGTTTCCTTAAAGTTCAACATATTCAAAAAAGAAACACGTAACTGGAATAACTTCCCAACTGTTTTTAACAGTTAAAAGCTGAGATATATATATATATAAAAAGTTTTTTTTTTTTTAAATGACAGTTTTTTGTTTATTTCTTTTAAACATAAACTGCAAAAAAGGGATGACTGGCACTGGTTGGGAATCTGTAACCATGGTAACACCCGTGATGCAGCGCACACACGTGTGGTTTGTTTTGGAAAATACTCAATTTGCCTCTGGTTTAAAGTGGAGGCCGCTTTGGCCATGACTACCACAATACTTCACATGCACTGGTTTGGCAAGAGTGAGCGCTTACGTCTGCAGCCCAACTGGCTAACAACAAAAAAATCCTGTACCTTCAGCAGATTCCGAGTTGCCGTCTGGTTAGATTCACAGCAGAGGGCTTCTCAGAGGAATGCATAACAATAGGTTTAAAAATAGAAGAGAAGGACAGGGGATGGGGGTGCCTTTCCCAAAGATAAACCCCGCAGAACAGAAGAACCACGCGAGCCGGGCAACACAATCAGTCACACACACACGATTCAGTTAATGATTACAACTTGAGATGAAACTGGTTAAAATGTTAGTACTCGGTTAAAGAAACATCCTTATTCAAAAGCTGTGCTAAAATATCTCTGTGGTTTGTGACAGGAGAAGAAATAGTTTAGCATTAGCCACTTTGACAGAGTGACATCAACCTAATTATGGATATGATAGATAGCACCTCACAATCTGCCTCCAGGGAGGGCTCCGCATGCAAACCGACAAAAATCTGTTGTGTCAGGAGTTCCCCGTTTGTGTCAGTCACTGTCACTTCATTGGTTACCGTGGACACAGGTCCGTCAAAGGCATGCACGAAAGCCTCCTTTACGAGGCCGAGCTTTGACGCAGAGCTGAAGCACAGCAGAAAGGAAGGGGAGACGCATCCAAGTTATCCATCCAAGCTCATCCATTTCTGCCCCAAAAACAGCAGGTTTTCCAGACATATGAAGATAGAACAAACACAGTAAAGTGAAAGCCACTTCTACAGAAGTCAATGTCTGCAGTCATGGGTAGTAACGGAGAATTCCAGACCTTTGGGGGCTCTTCAGTTTGTGGGAATAACTGAATGGTTTAATATAACTTTTCAGCTTTTCTGCTAAAAAGCCTCATGCAGTGAACTGCAATTTATCTGGGTGCTCTTTCACTATTCTGCATTGTTCATACGAGTAGAGTAAATAGAGATGGATGCTCAAGATAGAATGGAATATCGTCAGCTTGCAGTGGAGCATGTGGCAGAGTGATCACATTGTCTTGGATTGCAGAGGTTTATCTGATGAACAAAGAACCTGGATCCTGTCACACTTCTCTTTCTAAATGGGAAACACTAAACCAAATGTTTAGCGATGCATTCCGGTCTGACACCACTCCAGCTTAGTGGCATATTTGTTTTACAGGGGGCTTAGAATGTACCAGTTTGTGTTGGCCATGTTGTTATGTTCCCTGCATGTATACAACTGGTTGTCTACCCATCCCTCTATTTTCCATACCCGCTCATTCCAAGTCAGTGTTTAGCTGGTGGCTGTGACTTCTAGCTGTCATTGGGTTAGAGGCCCTCTACACCACTCTTAACTGGTTGCACCAATCCAATAACTTACTTTCCCAACTAATTTATTTTTGGTTGAAATGCCTGAAACTCTTTTTGTGAATAAGAATAAAACAGATTCTTTGTAAATAAAAACATAGATTGCAGGCGCATTTTCACAGGTTAAGCTCCTCACTCCCCTTTGACGAAGGATGTGAGTGGCCTCATCTTGACGTCCATAAACTCAGCCAAGCTTTTATCAGCATGCAAAGACTCTGTGTAGGGCAGGTAAAAGAAAACAGCATTCTCTCTCCCTGTAACCAGGATATCGGTCACACAGGAGCAAAGCCTCTGACCTCAATGGGGGACGGCTTTGGACGTGATGAAAAAGGGTGCTATAATTGTGAGTGGTTCAACACTGCTAAGATCAATCTGCTCTAGGATGTGCTTGGTCCCAGCAATCCCTTCTTGTGTCCCCTGACTGCGCACGGCCTTCCTGAGGAGGCTGTGGAGCATAGCAGAATAATAAAAAAAAAACAAGTGCATGGGAACAAAACCACCCAAACAGGGGAAAAAAACGACACTCCTTCCTTCTTTCTAAAGTTTGGTCTGTCAAACTTGAAATACAACGGATCATTTCAACAACAAAACACGAGTCAAAAAGACAAAAATAAGCTTTTTGAAAGTGTGCTGCGAAGCTTGTTCATCCATAGATCTGGAGGCAATTAAAGTGCGTGTTGGTCACTGTCAGAATTGTCCAGTGAAAATGTTTGTTCTCTCATTGCATCACAGAAGCGAGCCTCAGAGAGAGCTGGGTCCATGGTGTATTTCTCTTCCGATGCTGATCCCTCCTTCTCTCCACACCAATTCCTTCTCTTTTCCCACTGTCTTTAGGCCTGTTTCTCCAAATGTGGAGGGATGCACACTGAGACACTGAAAGAAAAAGTCCATCTGCTCAGCGCAGCTCTTTCACTGTCTTAAAACAGTTATTTTCCTCAGGGTGAACAAATCAGTTAATCGGGAGACACTTGCTGCCAAACAAGCATCTTTGCCTACAGAACTGTAGATTCTGTTAAAAAAAATATTTGGCATGGATACACCTGGTTTTCATTTTACCTTGTTCAGAAAAAAAAAAGATAAAGATTTCAAACTCAACACCAGGCATGGAGCTGTACTGGGGTACTTTTTTTCCCCGCCGAAAAGTATGCTGGTTGTGGGCAAAAGGGTATACAAAACAGTATACAGGATCACTGCTGGATTGAGTGGTTGGAGCTCTCAAACTACTGGCGGATGTAGCAGTGAAAACTCTTGTCTCCGATGGGATGCTCCCTGAGAAAACACAGAAAAAGATGGCGTTCAGTTTCAGGTGGTGAGACGATTAAGTGCAATGGTTCAGGTTTGAGTATTTTGTTCGGTTTGGTAACAAAGCACATACTGGCTGCCTATCTTTGTCTTCTTGAACTTGTCCCGTTTGTACTTGGTGTGCTGCTGCTCCAAGGTCTGCACGGCCGAAACGATCAGCTTCAGGGTTTTGTAGGTCTCCTGAGGGTCGTCGATAACAAAGCTGGAGTACTCCTCCTGCTCAGGTCCATCGTACACCGACTTACTGCCACAGGCCTCTGCAGACGGGGGACAAGAACCAGAGTGAGAGACCAATCAAAAGAGGTGAGGTGACAGTAAACCAAAGGCGGGGAGGGAAAGCAGGCCTTCACACCTTGCATCTTGACGAGTTTGGTCATGTATGTGCTGTACAGGGAGTAAATTCTTTCGGTTTCTCTGTCTCCATCTACGTCCAGCTGGATGTTTGCTGGCAGACCACTGAAAACAGAAGCAAAGAGATACATAAGAAGGGGCGGGAGAACAAAGGAGAGTGACCAGATGCTGGATGAATTTTGACAGCTCTGTGTACCCTGTGCAGGGCGTACAGCCCGGAGCTGTATCTGCTGAGAGTTTACAGCAGAGCCAGTGGCCATTGAGGTAGGCTGAGGGATGGTAGGTGCTCAGGCGTTTGCGGTTGCACTGGCTGACTTTGGTCAGGATGTCGATCCAATCGCGGGCCTCCACGCAGTTGTTGGCCTGGATGTAGAGCGCTCTCTCCGGCTGAATGACCTGGAACATCTGGAGAAGGGGAAAACAGGCAGCAAGTGAGTGGAAAAATGTTCATACCCTGAGATAGAGTCCTGGGTCAAAGACTCAACAAAAGCTGCACTCACATTTTTCATCTTGAAAGACTCCTCTTCCAGCCTCTCCACAGCCAGGATGTTCTCTATGGGAATGCTGCAGAGAGCACCCTCGCCTGGAAGCAAAAGGAAATGAATTTAGATGAGACAAAGTAAGAGGGAAGCTGTAAACCCTGAGATTACATTTAATCAGGTGGTATTAAATCTTTATAGTGGACTAAGACAGTGTCAATGGTGTGGTTGATCTAGCATGGATAAACTTCTCTAAGTTAACCATTTTATTAGAAAATGGACTGATTTAGCAATTAGTTCATTTTTTGGATGATTGGCAACATATTTAATTAAGGCCCCACGTGATATGGTATATGATGTTGTATCTGACAGGAATAGGAAGCACATCAGAGGAATGTGTTCACATAGGACTGAGATAGGACTGTGCATCCTTTCTATGCAAGCCTTCTGTAGTGTCTTTTGCACCCTTTATTGAAGCCACTGCTAAACCAACCTTTATTGAGAATTGCGAAACACTCTTCTCCGTTTCACACATGTTTTTTTTTAGTGTGTGCTCACTCACTCCTGTGGGCAATTTAGAGTCTTCAATTAAACTAAGATGCACGTTTTCTTTTAACTGTGGAAGGATGAAATGTTGCTTAATCAACACCTTGATCCTGTAGGAATCTTATTGGAAAATCCTTAAAGAAAATGTTTTGTTTTTTTCTGTACTAAAAAGTAATTCTTGTAAAGATGTATTGCTTCTTAACTTTTCTCCAATTCTCTTTGGTTTTTGTATGTTATTTAATGCCTTACACGTCTTTTGTTGGTTTTCTTGTCTAACAGCTTCCAAAAAAAACACTATATACATCAGATCCACTAAGCATTCAAGCAAAGGAATTTCAGAATGGCTTCTAAGCATGTGTTAGCCTAAGCTTGTTTGAAAGCATGAACTTGCTGCCTCCTCAGTAACTTAATGTCCACCACATGTGCTGGATGATGAGTGTGCTGACTAAACGCTCACTATGCAGATTGCCTAACCCCCCCCCCCTTCCTTGTTGCCTTCTTGCTGATTCTACCACAAACAAGAACACAAACACCACAATTCCACTGCGGGAGAATCCCAAGAACCCGCTGAACTCACCTTTGGTTTTGTGGTAGGTGAACTCGTGGTTGGTGAGGCGGAACCACCTCTTTTTGAAGTTCTTAATTCCAAAGCGATTCCTCCCTTGCGCCCTCTTTATCATGAACCTGAAGAGAAACGAAAAACACAAACACCACTGAAAACAGGAACGGCTCTTGTTTGAGGCATATGTTTAAAGAAAACTCTTTTTTTTTGGTTTTCTCCAACAAATGTGTTCCTTGTGTGGTGCACAGTGCTTAAATAGTGCAGCGCAAACATTTGCAACTTTACAGAAAATGATTTGTAGACACTTTTTTCTTAGTGTTTTTCTGTGCTGTCAACCGTTGGCATTTGTCATTCCACTGACATGCTGGCATAATCGCTGCTGTAACTGCAATAAGCCTCAGTACAGCGCTCATAGATTTCAGTCTATGAGTCAGAAAAAAGGAGTCGGGTCAGCAGATCAAAGATACCAGCGCTTTTACATGTTTTACCCATTTATCTGAAACTTTAGCACTAATTTATGTACCGACTTTTTCTTTTTGAACCAAATATTGACAAAATACTCTGGACTTTAAATCTTGAAGATAACTACTGATGTCTGATTTTATTTTTCAAGAGACGATAAAAATCTAAGTGGAGAGACTTTAAATACAGAAAAGCTCAATTTGCTTGAACGTTGACATTGAGGTTACGTGATCCTGTCATATATGTGAGTCATGCAGTCACAGGCATGGGAAGAAAAGGTTTCCCTGGAGTGCCTGCAACAGAAAAAGTTGACTTGACAGATTAATGACGATTGTGGGATTTTAGGATTTTAAAACTGGTCTTGTTCCAGGCCTGCACGGTGGTGTTGCGGTTAGTGTTGTGGACTAGCAGCAAGAAGGGTCTGGGTTTGGCTCTACAAGCCAATCTGGGTCATTTCTGTGTGGATTTTCCGTGAGTTCTGCTTGTGTTGGCGATTGTCTAGAATTATTTTTCAAATAAATAACTGGTATAATTGAAAATAAAAATAATCATCACATGAAGACCTTTTAGTTTGATTGCTGATAATCAAGTGACGTGATGCTGATCTATTTCTTTGATTAAATTAATAAAAAGAATGGCTGGCTGCACTGGAACATGACATCAGTCTTTAAAACGTTTCAGCTTTCAAGATGTTTGACAGTACAGTAAGGCAAACACTATTTGTTTCTAAAACATGTATAACCACTGGTATGGTCCTTTAAGGGAGAGTAAATAGCAGGATGTCTCTGTTTTAAAGTTTGAGGGCCAAACCGGAGGAGATCACAAAAACAAATCACCAGGACTGCAAACACATAAGTTGCGACCCTCCCATATGGACATTAGCAGTCCCTCCGATATACAAAAAAGATATGATTACACATCTGACCACTACGTGAACAGCAGTGGAAAGTCCAGATGAGGTCAGACATGACATCCCAGAAATGTATGTGGAGGAACCGACCCCTGCTGTCAGTGTCACAGCAAGCATGTCTGGCGAGGTGAGGAACGGGGTGGGCCCTCAGCAGGCCGTGGGCACTAGTTACAGCTCCTAGGTAAGCAGGCTTGGGGGCTAACACTTCACTTTACTCAGTCACCGTAAAAAGCATCCACTTTAAACCAATGCAGAATGAAAATTGGACAGCGACTTTAACGGTTGCTTGTAAACAGGACAGATATAAAGTAAAGTGCAGCTTTTTCCACTGTAGCGGATGATGTTGATGGGAAATGTCCAGCTTGGTTTCAGGAGGTGCTGGTGGTGGTGGTGGTGGTGGGGGGTCACAGTGGTGCAAACACAGGAGAGGGGGGGTCGTAAGTACAAAGCCTTTACATGGAGAAACTCTTACCTGCCCTTTGTGCCTTTAGGCCCTTTCCCATCAACCCTCTTTATAGTGACTTTTACACTCCTACGCCCCGTAGCAGAAACAAAAGAGGGTGGGGATGTTGATGAGCAAGGCACAAGAACAACTACGTTCAACTGTGAGCTCTGCTTCCCTTTTAGCCTCATTATTAATATCATGAAACCAAAAGCTCAGGGTCACGTATGGAAAGACATTACAGTTTAAATCATGAAACCACGTAGAGCATAATATTTGGCCACAAAACTTATGAGTGCCATTAAGGCATTAACCCTAACAAGTTTGAAAAAAGACAAAAATGCTGTGTGGTTATCAGTGAAAACAGACATCAATGTTATAGTAACAGCCACAGCATACCAGAAAGTTCAATTGAATTCTCACTTTCACTCATTCATAAATTATGTAACTTATAGTGATTTCTAGAGAAAGCACTTGGAATGGCATTGAGACAGCCGTCTTTATTAAGAGTTGTTTCTTCCTGTAAGCATCCATATTGACAGCAGTTTGGCCCCTTACCCTTCTTTAAGCATGATGGGTGTTTCAATGCTCTTCTGATCCCATTTGCCGGAGGTGGAGATCAGGTCCAGAAACTGTAGAGGCAAGTGAAGGTATTCATTTATCAAAATAATCGTTGTGGTCTCAACTTTTGTTTAATTCGCCATACCATGAGTCTCTTTTTACTCATCAGCACTTGTTCAACCACATTTATCTCATTTAGGGCGAATTTATCTTTACTCATGCTATGGAAACACAGACTCAGGATGGGCCACTTACATTCTTCACAGCATCTGCATATTTCTGCTCGTTGAAATAGTCGTAAAATGCAGCCATGTATGACTCTTTGAAATTGGCCTTGGAGAAGAAAAAAAATAGGCAAACGCTTGGTAAATTTGGTTTAGATGTTAAGTGTGTTTTAAATTATACAAAATGAAATGACAGAGAAATCCCGTGAAAGTGTCTTCAGCAGAGAGACTCACAGATTTAGATTTGGCGAGGCTGCCCAGCGTCTGGATGGTCTTGGAGATGAGGGTGAGGGTTCGGGAGGTGAGTGGATCCTACAGACACACAATGACAGTAAATCTTAAATCCCTTTTCTCATATGATGACAAATTAAACATAGAAAGCGTACAAATTAAGTGAAGGATAAAATTCAGCTCTTCTGTCAAGATGGCTCATTTGGAAAAAAGAAAAGAAAATCTAACCCCACCAATAAATATCGGAGTAATTCAAACAGCACCAGCTTTCAGATGCAGGTATCCCAGTGCATGTCTTGTGTGTTTGTCTTAAATGTCGCACTCACTGGATGGTGGGGCCGCAGGTGGAACAGATTTGGGGAGAGGATTGCTGGAGCGAAGAAACGCAGGAAGATGAAGCTGCTCACGGCTGTGTATCGAACATCTTGGTCAACTGGAGAGCGGAGAAAACAAAAAACAGCTTTTCAAACACTGCACTTGTTCAAATTACGTACACAATCAGTGTATTTTGTGTATGATCTAGAAAACTGATTAACTAAATTGTGTTGTGCATTGTCCTTTTTGCTGCAAACTAAAACTAAACCCAGTTATGAACCAGTTAGCTAAAACAAAGTCCTGTGGCAGCAGACCTTTAACACCTAAATAAGCGTTTAGTTTACTCATACAATCAGAAAGTGAACGTTGTGGTCCCTGCATCATACTATTATTGCAGATAAGACAAAAAATAAAAAATAAAACGAGATAGATCTGGCAGTTACTTCACCGACTGCAATACTCAAATCTGTCCAACAGGAGGCACCATTGGTCTAAGGCCAAACTTCTCTGCAGCACACACAACCTTAAGGGATGTGTGGGTGGTATGAGAGATGACAAAAAGGCCTTCTATGATCCGCAGTGAATAGAAAACAAGTGTCCTTGGACATTTTACTCATCCTGTTCTTCACTGTCTTTCATTTCCTGTTGCTTTGTTTTTTTGACCAGCTTTCCTGCATCTCCTCCAAGTCCTTTTCAGGAAGTCAGTTACCTTGGAAACGAGTGGCAGCGGACTCTCTCAGAGAGAAGAAGATGTCGCACATGACGGTGGGACAGCGGACGCCAGAGGTGGTGATAACGTTGAAGATGCGGTCAACATAGTGACGCAGGTTCTCCTGAGGGAGGACAGGCGGGTCAGAGGGGTGGGGGACACCAGCACGTCGTTTACACCAGACCAAAACACACACGCCGGCCGGCTCTTACCCGGTTTGTCTCCAAATTTTCCGACTCTTTGAGCTTGACCGGGTCGATTTCGCAGGATTTGTGCTCAGTGCAGATCTGTGGTGATATAAAGATGGCTTGATTGAGTGATTTTTTTTTTTTTAAACACCCACATGGACAGGTGAGTGGGAGCTCCTGTCATACTGACACAAGCACAACAACACTGAGAGCAAAGGAAAAATGCTTTTCCAGCCTACCTCATCTATGATTGGCTTAAGTGTGACTTGAAGATAGTGCATCCCTGCCAGCTTCATGGTCTCATCAATGCACTTTGAGGTCAGCGAGTTTCCACGGAAAATGGTGTTTGGATCCCTACAAAAGGGGGTACAGACTGTTTGTCAGAAAATCCTCCAACTACAGCTTGTTTGTAAAATCCAAACGCCAACCTATCAAACCCGACTTTGAGCATCTCTTAAATTAATCTTCTCAGCAGCAGTGTTTCATTCATATTGGCCTGATTTATAAATGCGGAGTCAATCATTAATTTGAAATATCTAACTTTTGGATACCTTCCATTGAATTAATCTGCATATATTGTTGAAAACAATCTCACTCAAAAGCTGCCGAATTGGCTGTGTAAGATGTGCTGAGTTGGTTTGTTTCTGAGGTCAAAGCTGTTGCAAATCACTCACTGCGTGCGGTTGACTTCAGCGTGGGCGATAGCACTGATGAAAGGCACTATTTTGCCATAATGAAGAAAGAGACGCACGAGTGGAATGGCGGCTTCCTGTTTCTCTCTACACACCTCCCCTAAAATATGAGCTGCAGACGCCGACACGGGCTGAAAGGGGATGGCAGAGAGCGAAGTGGTTAACGGAGCATGAAGCAGCTGCAAGTCAAAACACAGCGGCTCTGGGCAAAAGCGGGGGCCCTTACCTCCACATTGGCAGAGTGCAGCAGCAGATCTCTGAGGGGAGTGTAGTGTTCAGAGGGGAAGACGTGGTCCTCGGTATAGACGATGTTCAGACGTAGAGAGCCAAGCTCTTCGTCCTTCACGGACTTCCCGCCATTCTCCCGGGGCTGAAGAAAGTACCTGAGGAAAAATAGAGTGACACGAAGAGCTGACATCACGCCAGCAAAATACAGATGTGCCGAAAATGGGACACAAAAGAATAGTTCAAAGCTGCAATATCCAATATTATCATCCTCATTTGGCATTTGAGTGTGTGGGGTGCGGTACAGAAGTCGATCAGGAGACGAATACAACGTGAAAGCAGAGGTCGTGCTCCTCTCACCAGGCATCGTGCACTCCGGCTTGACTGAGGACCCGCAGAGGAACACGCACGCCTCCCAGGAACTCGTCCCCAAACTTCAGATTGCTGGCGTTCCACAGATCCACCCTGAACAGCACAATCACAAGCGAGGTGACGGTCAAACTAAAAGTGTCGCTCCGTTCACCTCGACTGGGACGGCGACTAACTCACCTAAGAGCCAGCTTATCCACATCCTCCTCTTCAACGTCAAACTGCCGCTTCGTGTAGCTCAGAGGCCGTGTAACCTGGAAATGGACGAAAAATATTTGAATTTTCATTTTAAAGTAACTGGATTTGATATTTTGCCTGATGTTGTCAAGTCTGGTTATAAGTCATAAAAGGAGTTACATGACACACATAATAGATGAACTATGTATGTGCGTTGTATGAGCTCTGTATGTGTGTGAGACACAGAAGAGGGTTTTTGGCCAGAAAACACCACAGGGTGTGTGCAGTTGTGTTCATGTGGTAGTTAGGGATAAATAAGATGGTCTTGTCAGTAGGAAATCAATGGACCGGATTGTTTAGGTTGTCTGAATCAATCATACTCTTGTCCTGCTGTCTACTGGTGCTGCAGCAGGGCGGCCGGAGGGAGGAGCAAATCAAAAAATGTCAGCGCAGAGCTGCAGCTAATGTTCGAGCTGAGGCCGGAAGAAAGGGTGAAAATGTCTACTGCACAACTAGACGAAGACAGGAACAAACATCCCGACCACTTCTGATCTTATGCCGATTATTATTGCCTTTAACGACAAAAATCCCAATCCAAACGATAGCTACACATCTACAAAACATTTAAAACAATTCACATTTATTTATCGATGAATACATTAAGGGATTATATTAGTGGATACGATTTGACGTTTGTATTTGTGGTGTTTGTATCACGATGACAACGCCCATGTGAAAACATGCACAGGCCCCACAGAGGGTCAGAGCAGCTTGCACAGTGACTGCCCATGGCTTTAATTTAACCGCTAACATGAATAAGCAGCTTTAAAAGTTAAGGTTGATGTTTAACTACCTCAAAATAGAAAACCTCCTCAAACTGGGGATTGTTTGTTTTCCTTTTCACCTTGGTCTTTTTGGCCTCTGACCTGAGGGAGAGAAGGGAAAGAATTCAAACGGGGGGGAGAAAATGCATGTTTATCCAAATGTAACCATGCAATAAATGATCCAGCCATGAGGGTAACCTCACCTTGAAGGACCTAGTAAGGAAACAGCAGCGTAAGGATCACACTGGCCATTTACAATTGGAAGTCCTTGGCACTCCAACACTCTGCAAATAAAACAAAAGCAGAAATGCATCAGCACAAAAGTCTGAATGTTTCTCTAAAAATTTATATCAGGTAACAAAACAAACTCCAAAAGCCAAATTGAGGGCACTTAAAGCCCCATTTACTCAATATTATGACTCATGGTTAACAAAAAAGGGGTCACGACCACAGTCATTTCCACTGAGAATCGGCACCAGATCCCAAACTTCTAAAAAGCTTTTAACTTTTCTCAGAGCTTCCATCAACAATACAGTCTGGCAGAAAATACGAGATGTTCCCGGGAAACAAGAAGATTGCCAAGTCTACGCCAACCGCAGGTTAAAAATGGGATTTTTTTTTTCATGAAAACCCTTCCTTCTGCTATCAGTTTTTGACTATCAAATATACTCATGCTTACGAACTAGAAGGAAATAAAGTTTGAGTACATCTTCAATCAGGGAAAGTTTCCTATTTGATCATTTCAATTAAAAAATATCTGGTTTCATTCTAAATTTAAATGCATTTTTCGTCAAAGTTAAGGAAATATTGCCTGACCTTGCAATCTGCGTAATACCAACTATTGCCATTATGAAGTGCATAAAATAAATAATAAAAACATAATTTTAGATGTGCCTCAGTCATTAAAGCAATAGAATAAAATTACAAGCACAGATTTTTTAAAAACTGTTTCCTACCACATTCAGCTTTAAAAAAGGGGACTTGGCATACCTCCTTACTGAGTGTTACTGTCATGGTATTTTTTCTGACTTGTGGATTGTTTTATTTGTTTTTATGTTTCTGTTGCCCTCTCTGTTTCTAACATTTTTTATAGTCTATCATTCTTTTCTTTCTATGCTCTTAGTTTTTCTTCCTTTTCCTGATCTTCTGTTTTGTATTTAGATCCCTGTCCTTCTAACCCAAAGCTTCCTCTGCTCCCTTCCTGTCCGGCCATATGCTCCACTCCCTTCACCTGTGCTCATTGTCCTCAGCTGCCACCGTTTAGTAATGATCCCTCATCTAGTTTCTCTCTGTTCCTGTTTTCACCACTGGTTCTTTGATCCCCGGTCTCTACAGTCACCTTGAGGTTTAGGTTTTTGTCTTTAATCTTTGTTTTTTTTACTTTTTAGAATCAGGTTTTTCGTCTTGGCCACAGATTCTGATGTTTTCATTGCAAAAATAATGTAGTGTATATTGAGTCCTCCTCCCACATCCCTCTGCCTTGCCTTCATTTGGGTCCTACTCACTTTACTTCACACACACTGTAACAGTTACTTTAAAAACAACCAAAGATGTTTAAGCTCCTCCTTGAAAATGTCTTTGTCCTTCTGATTCCATTTTTTTCATCGATGGGATGGCATGTCATTACAAGCCACAGCCCCCGGTGACTTTTAACAACTGTATGGGGTGGTGTTTGTGGCGGTTGAGGCCTGGTGTAAAGTAACTTGTGCCACACCTTCCACCGAAATACTATTTTCGACTTCACACATTTATTTGGTTTGTACGTGTGGTGAAGAGAGGCTAAATTTCTAGTCTGTTTTAAGCCCATCTGTAACAGCTGATCTGCCGCCCAATGACATCATGCTGTAAAGGGATTAACGTCCAAACAGGGAACCCGGCAGGACGAATCACTTCCTCTGTGTCACGGTGATGCACCACTAGTCACACAACATGATGAATTACACAGCAAATCACAGCGCTGCCCACAGATGAACTGACACATATGCAACCGCTTGCACCACCCCGCTGGCATGCACACACATGCACACACACACACACCACACACACAGAGACACAGGTTCCTAATAAGGAGTAAGGAATGGGCTGGGTTAAGCATCGCTAATGCCAGAGCACTTCCTGTCCAGTAAGCTTGTTTATGTAACCCCTGCTTGGCCTACAATCCAGCCCTCTCTCTATCTGTCATCACTGCTGTGAGCTCTGACATCCCAGACAGTGGCAATGAATCAGACATGTTTGTTTTAGTTGTCATTACTCATATTAGGTTAAAGTGCTTCCGTGACCAGGTTTCCCTTCAAAAAGCCCCCAAAAAAAGAAAAAAAAAATTACATCAGAGCCTCCCTTTCAACCCAAATAACCTGCACATACTTCATGGACGTGATGATGAGTCCCTCTCATTGTGACTGTGCAATTACATTAATTAGAACTGCGATTTTTTCTTTTTTTCTAAATAAAGGGTGCTGACTTTGAGCATTTTACTATATTTCTGCCGGTCATAGTTTTGTTGCGTCAGAAGAAGCGTACAATGTTCCAACTAAATATCGTGACAGGCGGAACACGAGTACAACTCAATATGTGGGTGAAAGCACAATTAACAGTAAGTGATTTTTTTTTTCTCATACGCCAGCTTAGTAATGTTTGTGTAAAGTTGCTAGAGGTGTTATTTGAGTCAGTGACATTTGTGGTTTCAAGTTTGAAAAACGAAAACGAAATCTGAGGGTGTAGCAACAATCTCTTAAAGCCAGAGGCAACAGTGGCTGTCACTTGAAGAGGCTCAAGACAAAGTAAGATTGGGCTAGTTTCAATGTGGATGACACAGGATTCAATTTGACAAGTCAGAGGAATGTGGGGTGTAAAAAGCAGAGCTGGGCCAAAGTTTTTGGCTGATATCTGAACAGTGAGCACTGTTGTTAAGTCATTAGACAAATGCAGATATGAATACTTTCGTTCTCCCTGCAGAAAATAATGCTGGAAAAAAAAAACCCATACTATGCTCTTATAGAAACGTCCAGAGGTTTGATGTTTAAAGGTATTTTAATTGATCACTGTTTGCTCCCCCAAAGTAGGAATTTAAACTCAAAATTACAGTCCTGTCAACCTTAAGATTAAAGAGTTGACTACATTGAAAGTCTTTTTTTTAAAGCCTTCCTGAAGTATCTGGCAAGAAAAGATTACTTTTTTCTGCTTTCTTTTCCTTCTTTTCTATTTTTCTAGTCTTAGATTAGAAACTGAAAGTCCTCAGCTGCAATCAAACATAGCACAGTGACAGCAGAGTTTCCGGACTTGAAAGACAGATAACAACTAGTCACAGAACAAAGGACTGAATCAGAAAAAGAAATGTAATTCACCAACTGCCTAATAACTGTTATGCTCTAAAGCACCAACACATCCACACTCAGACTCAACCCTGTGGGAAGCAGCATCTGATCACTTGGTTTTAAGAATCCCTCACCCTCACAGCATTTCACTCAAATGAGGATTGTGTCTCTACACAAAAACAAATCAGCACAAGCCTGTACAGGGCCATAAGACTAAGATACAACTGAGAAGAGTTATAGTACTGTCTGTATGCAGATGTGGGAACGTTGTCGTCAAGATTAAGTCAGTTAAGAAATACGTGATTTAAGTGCATAATTATGAAAATAAAACTAAACTCAAAGTAGTAAAAATAATTTTAGGTCATTCGATTGATTTTTTATCCAAAGAATGATGCACTGACCACAGTAATCAGCTGTTTTAGCTTAAACTATTGGTTCTTTGCTCCCCACACATCGACTTTCTTCATGTACAATGTATTAAAACATATCCATATGTTCTTTATTTAAAAAAAAAAAAAAACACTGATTGAATATGGAGGCTATATTCTTCCAGAGGGTCTGCACTACTGTATCTTTACCGTAACATTCACTAAAACCAAAATGTTCATCTGAAAGGGGCTCTGCAAATACAGTCAAACTGCAAAAAGGTTTTAAAACTTGGTAAAGTTCCCATTAAACGTTTACCATATGTTAGAAAACAATAAATTCAGCATGAAGCACCACATCTGAGCACTGCTGCCTCACATGAGCGCTGTACAGACGGATACACACAGCCATGCTTTCGTAATCAATCTCGTCAGCCGGCAGGATGCGGCTTGTCCAAGATGATGTTTGGGAACTCGGTTTTTTAACCATTTGCAAAGTTGTGAGCGGAAATCTGCGGCCAGGCAGGCAGAGGAAATGCAGATGAGGACCAATTTGCATCTCCCAAAATAACCCCATGATCCAGTTTTAGTGTATCAAAGGGTTATTTAGATGAGGAGAAAGCTTCTAAAACAGGTAAACAAGGGGTTTAAAAGGTGTTATCAATGTAACTTCAACACTGAGGAATTTTTGAATGATGTCTTCCGTCCGTGGAGCTGAATGCATGCAAATCCCTTTCTCCACCTCTGACCCGCACACGTGTCTTTCGAGAGAAATCTGACTAGATGACCTCCTGCTCTCTTGAGTCTAAGCTCCTTACCACCAGTGGGCTCTGGGAACGGAGCCATGCTGGCTCATCATCAGAATCCACGGATGCATGTTAAAGTAGACGGGATGCCAACAAACACACAAACACAGTAATCCACCTTTGATTATATCATTCATCACCACACAAGCCCACTGATCTCCTGTGCGTACAACCGGGTCTCACAGCACACAGTTATGACGTCTGCGTCCGCAGTGTTTTGATTCACACATTTAAAAAGCGACTCGAGTAAACAAAAAGCTAAAAACTTTAGCCAACTCACTGCCTGGTAACACGATAAGCATCACAGAGGAGCAATGAAGCATTCTGCACTGAAACCACTGTGAAACGTAAAGTTACTTTGTTAAGAATGTCAGACACATAGCAGAGAAAGAGCTGAAAACCTCCCGGCAACATCTGGAGTCAGAACAGCATCAGTGCTGCTTTTGAGTCAGGTTCTACAAACTGGTTTGCCAAATATCCTCTTTTTTTTTTTTTTTTTTTTAAATAAAAAAAAAATAAACCAATTTAATTTATTTTTATTTTTTTTTTTTTTTTTTTTTAATAATTAAAAAGGTTTTTTTTTTTTTTTTTTTTTGTTCTGTTTTCTTGTTCAAAGAAAAAGGAAACCTCCAAACTTCAGGCTTTAACAGCATTGGGTGTGCATCAGTCTCCCAAATGCATATAGACTGTTTAAGAAACAATTATTCTTAGCAAAACATTATTTATTTATGAAAAAAAACTATTATGAACCAAACCTAACCCGTCCACTACATGTAAAAATTCAGAGTATTGTAAAGGTGTGCTTCGTAAGTAAACTACGATATCCCTGTATGATAGCGTGAATAATTAGCTAAATTAAAGTCATATGAGTCCGATGATGAAAGAGAGTCCCATAATGTATGAAATCACTTAAAATGTGAACACAAGGACAAAGAGTGTGTGTATGTCTCACCGTGTGGCCAGTTTGTGGTGGATGACTCCACTATCAGTGATGACTTCACTCAGACGCAGCTCCAGGTGCACTTTTCCCTGCAGGACACACAAACACAATCCGGTTTCCAATTTGACACGAGAGCGCAGTGTATGAAGCCGAGTGGGGTTCTTATGCAACACAGATTTTGTTTTGTTCTGTTTTGCTGAATTCAACTGCAACGTGCAACCTAATCTGACTCACAAACATGTTCTGGGCTTGCAGAGAGATTTCAATCTATCAAACTGCCTGAAAAGAATATGAATCACTTACAGCTGTGCAGATTTCAGTTCATGCGTGTTATCTAAGGCCAAAAGGCCCAATAATCCCTGCTCATAGCCATAATTCACAAACAACTGGCAATCCTCTGCTGTCAGACGCAGAAAATAGCTGGGAAGTTTGGACATCATGGAGGAAATATTTTCCCTCTGAAGTGATTGGATTAATGACATAATGAAAGTGTAGTGGTGCAGCTGTCAAGAAAAGCTTCGTTAATTAACAGCATCAGTATGCAAACTCGCAGGCGTAGCTCATTCTGGTCAATTCAAGCAGAAGGAACAAACACACACACTCTGACACACACATGTGTGCCTAGACCAAACAATGTGTCCTCTATTGAAAAGAGAAGAGAGACACTCTATCTTCCTACTTCATTTGATCCATCTCCTTCGCTTTTCTCTCTGCGCTCTGCCTCTCTCACACATCCTTCCTCTCCCGGCTCCTCGGATGAATGTGTCTCTGTTTCAGATCGCTGCTCCAGGGCTACACACACCCATCTGTCTGCAGATGTTACTGCTCACTGTTCAGTGTCTCTCCCTCTGTGTGTCTGTGTGTGTGGGTGAGTGACAGGACTGAATAGTGAATGGTAGAAAATATTGCACATGTAACAAAAAGCATGTTGGACTTTTGCCAAAAAGACACTCCACACTTGATTACTAGGAATTTAGAAAATTATAAGAAAGTTACTGAGTGAAAAATGAAACAACACTAAATGCTGATTTTTTTCAGCATTTAAAAATTTGTTCCTCATATTGTTAATAGAGATTTGTATAATGCTTCAATCTACAACAATGATTAGCAAATGGTTGGAAGTAGCTATTCAAACTGTAATGCTGGGATTTACATTTGTACTTTAGGTACTTTAAAGCCTTTTATATATCCATTGCGCTTTATAGCTGGATAAAAGACATCCTCCATAACACAACACTGCCCCTCTTTGTAAATCACACATGCAAACAGAGGCTGATCAGCCCCTCTACCGAGTTACAACAGCGTTTTTGGTTAGTGGCATCTCCTGCAATGCCAGCTCGTGTGTGTGTAAGCACACACAAGGCTGGAATGCGCAACAAAGGCATTTCAAACCTGCCTTGAAAAGGCATATGCGAGGGAGAATTTTGACACCTGCTACTGATCTAAACAGTTTTGCAGCCCTCCTCCCGCAGGATGTCAGTTTGAGGTGGTCATCCTGCCTCCCACTTTGAAAGCCTGCCCATAAACCAGCCTTTACGGGATTTGATGGCATGTGTGGGAAGTAAACCCAATCCACAAAGACCCCTCAGCCAACAGGGCCCAAAGCTAAAATCTTTGTACATAAGTAGCACAGATGTCAGCGCTGACAACACTATAAATGAGCTATGCATTCTTCTGCGATGCATATAAACTGGAAAATATTCAGCCCAATTTTATTTAGTCCCAGACAAATTACGTGAAGTTCTTCTTCCGCAAGGATGCCTACGCAGATTTAAGATGTTTTATAAATGTGAGAAAATGTGTACGCTATCAGAACAAGTTTTCCTTCTGATGCTGTCAAAAGTTCAATCATGCATACATGTTCCTCACAAAATCTTGATTCTCCTAACCGGGGGAGAACATAGAAGAGTTCCATGAAAATCAGGGAGTTCTGTTCGCCGATGATCCCCAGCCAGCGTTGCCTTAGAAAAAGGCAAGCCGTGCCAGGCTTGGTCTGTTGTTGGATTATTTCTAATTAAATCAAAGGCTGAACACTAAATCTATTATCTAAATATTTCCCATTTAGATATTTTTGGTCTGTCAATTGATGTTTTTCAAACCATATTAGAGTAAAAAAAAACAACAAAAATGGCCAATGGAAGAACTAAGTTATTGTTCCCCAGCTGATCGTGAACTGTCAGGAAGGTGAATACTTGTTGAAGAAGGCACAGAGTCAGCTGACTTTGACCCTGCAGCCTTAAATGTTTCAGGTGCACACACACTCTGTTTGTTTGGGCTCTGCCCTGATTCCAACTTGAACACGCAGACACAATATCGCACAAATAAATCCATGCATAGCCTGTATGCAGGGTGAGTGACTGGGTGCCACTGAAACAACATTCTTTTGTAGCGAATGCCACCTAACATTTCCTGACATCTGCTACCATTATCCAGTTTTCATTTACTTTATTTGAATTTCCGTTTTCATTCTAATGCATGAAAATGCACCTAAAAAAGAATCAGTCTTTAGACCAAGCATATCAGACAAAAGAAGAAAAAATACATCATTTTGAGGAAACAACCCTTTAAAAGATTGAAACAAACCACAGATCTGGCAGATCTGGGCTGATCCAAAGTCTAAGACCGATGACCTTAAAGGCTCGGTCAACTCTGGATTTAGAGCTGAAACTGGGAACAGATGAGAAGCCTTGATCAGAGAGATTAGAAAAGGGGCAACAACTGGATTGCGGGAACAACAAATCTGTTCGATGAGAATGAAACAGGAGTCGGAAATCGTTGAAAGGAGGAAAGATCTGTGGTGATGGGGCCCTGCACCTGGTTTCTTGCTGCTGTGGCGCGATCCAGCCGAAGAAGGGTTACAATGAACCAAGAGAGGCTCCAAAAGAGAAAGTTTCAGTGTTTTAAAGCAGGAAAGCAGTGCTAGAATTAGCAGGTGGTTGACCGAGAGCAGTGGCTCTTTTAATTCGTGAGGTTCCAAGATTAAAAGCTGGCCAGAGACAACACCAGCCATTTTCTTTTTCAAATATTCACCGTGCGGAACTAAACTATTGAGGAGGGTTGAATGGAGGACGGCGTTGCGTTGCTTTGTTTTGATGAAGTGTGAGTGTGCGCTCTCTCTGTACTGACCTGCACCTCTGAGTCAGCGCTGACAGGTTGCAGCGGGAACCAGGTGTCTTTCCCGTGGTATTTCTGCAGGTCCTCTTTCTTCACCGCGACCTTCCCTGCGCACACAGTCATACAGAAACACAAATGAGCTCAAATCGCAACTAGCTTTTTGTTTCCTGAAAGCCTTCATGTTCAGATGCGAGCTACAGGAACCCGTCAACAGACGCCCATGCACACGCTCACATGTCTGCTCATGTACTGTAAAGCCATCTCTTTTCAATTCACATCGGGACCCAGAGCAAAAACACACGCAAAGTGTGCCATGGTGGCCTGGAGATGAACCCTTAGAGCAAAGCTATTTTTTTTATTGCAACACCTGTAATCCTTCACAAACACACTCGTACACAACAACACACACACGCACACGCGTGTGCGCACGTGAACAGTGTCCCCCGGATGAGATGGGAAGGTTTGTCAGTTTGTGGTTGGTGATCAAACCTACCAATATTGACATTGACACACCCAATAACACTGACAAAAACATCCGCACCACACAAACAACCCACTTCTTCACTTTGTTTTTTATAGGAAACATTAACCGCTAATTTAAGAAGAAGAAAAAATCCGACACAAACATGGTGAGATTTTGTTAATTCCTAAGTGATAAAATGGTAACTACTTAATCAAAAGTAATCAATTTCACAAAGGAGATTTAAGAAAAAAATTGTAATGACTAATTTAAACTCACTACTGTAAAAATATGTTGATTATGTTGAGAGGTAAAGGAATGAAAGTGAGGAACAAATTATAAAGATATTTCTTAGCATACACACAACTAATCCCTCAGCCGTGAAAACACTGGGTTGGAATAGTAAAACGGCCTGTCAAATAATAAGTGCCAAAACCACAATGTCTCTATCTGTTCGTAGCAGCAGCTGCATCCTCTGTTACACTAAGAAACGACATTGACTGATTAGGGTCTGGACACCCTATTACTGTGGCATGGTCATACCCTTCGCTCCTGTGCACAGCTCAGTGAATTAGAAAGGTGAATCAGTACGCATTAATGATTCAAACAGGCCTGATTTTATTCTTACTTCCACATTTAACGGTGTTAGAATGACAAAATTAACTGGACTAAGCATTACTGGCTTAAAAACTCCACTTAATTTGTGTGTTGGCACTGCTATAGCCTCGGGTTGTACTCTTTGCCCATTTCATTGTGCATTTTATACATCTGTTTTTTGTAGAAGTCCCCCTTTTCCTTATTAACTTAATTCGGCATCCTTTTTCTCTCCTCAAACATAAATATCTTCATAAATGCCACACATTTTCTACTTTAGCTGCACCAGTCCAAATGTTTTCCAAAATGCTTTGTTTATGGTGAAGCAGCAATCATTTTGTTTCTCTGTTGATTTTTGATAGAGAAATGGTCGCAAGAGTTATCTTTCTGTAAATTTTCTGAGCATTTCTCAGAATAATTTGTTGTTCTTCCAGACTTCATCATGACATCAGCCATTTACTGTTTACTTACATTCCCTAATTATATCAAATTACTAACTGGAGAAACAGTCACCTGAAATCACTTTGTGATCTTCTAATAGCCCTTTCCTGCTTGATGTGTATCAAGATGAGCACTTGCATGTTTGAGGAGTCTGAGGACTTTGAAAGATCTTAAATTTGCATCACATGGCTTGTCTGAGGAAAGACAGTGAACAAGTAATGGCATTGACAAGCTAATGCAATGGAAAAAGTCCACTGAGAGCTTAGATGTCTGCAAACTGTTCCCTGACTTTTGAATCTTGCTTAAAATCTTTAACGCTGTCTTTATCTGTATGTCCTCTGGAAAAGTTTTACTTTCAACCTAATTATTACGAGTTTTTTTTTAAACAAACCTTCTGTTGATCTATTTCACCTTAATTTTAAGCACATAAATTATAGGGGCAAGGGAAAAGCTAAAAAAAGGAAATGTAGCAGCTTCGTGCTGCTTGCTGAGTCAGCTTTATGTCAAATGAAATTTATAGAAACAAGCACACAAAGAGGTTCTATTTGTAGGATATCTTCAGATGTGCAGAGTAAGAGCAGGGTTTCAAGACTGTAGCTGTAAGCACTAAGAACATTGTTTTACAGTAGAAATAAGTAAGGCAAGTCTCTTATTGTTTGATTATCATAGTTGAGGCCAATCTTTCTCCCAAGTGAACTCCCATGTTGGATTTTTATTTTTAAATACAGGTTGAGTTATCTACAGATCGATTAAACTTACCGATACTCGAGTCCCTCCTGAAAACATCCCTGTCAAAGATGTAGAAGGAGAGGTGCCTGAAGCTGCGTGGTATCTCGCAGTAGAAGTCCTCCCCGTAAAAGGGGCTGTAGGAGAGAGGGCCCAAGAAGAAAACTGGGATTAGAAAGTTGTCCGATGCAGCATGTTTTTACAAGAAATGGGCTCAAAGTGCAGAAGACTTGATGATTAATACAACAGAACCCAATTAAAATGAAAAGATACCTCCTTATCAAGAAACGTAACTGAGAATAAGTCCTAATATTAGTTATAATGGATACCATTACAAGATATTGTTTACCTTGCAGCATAGTACAAATCTGCCTTTTGCAATAAACTCAATAAAAATTTAACAACACTACCAAAAACCAATGGCCATGCGAAAAGCGTACTCCTGTCTGAAGGGCCATGTTAAGGCTGCATGTTTGTTTTGCCCACAAGTAATATGATTGACTAATTCTGTAGGAGCTCTTCGGAAAATCAAAACGCAGCTTGTCAAAATGTCCCGTCGGCGCATGAAATCAAGATATGGCAGTCACAAAGATTACATTACTGACTGATTGATTAATTGGTTAATCTTTAATCTGTCTCAGCCTCTATAACATCTTTCCTTGTTTTCTGACTCGGAATGTCGGCGGTGTACTTTATACTCCGTGTGAACATTTAGAAGGAAGCGTTTCCTCTTCAGATATGATTGATTGGTTTAGTGCATTTATCACCTATGAAAACTAAGCCCTGCTGGTATTTAAATATCGCCATCACTCACATAAAAAGTGACCCTGCTGCTTGCTTGCCCAAAACAAAAGGTCTGTTTGCGACCTCTAGCTGGGGGCTACATCTAATTTCACAGTAGGCCCTACCTCGATGACAAACACAGGAATCACAGCAATGAGTATCTCATGAGCTGAGACCTCAGGGTTTCCGCTAATAATTACTGACTTCTACTGTTACTCAGCAGACCTGACGACCGTGAGAGGGGTGGGTGGATGGATTGAAAGGAGCATGACCACATTTTTACTGCATTCAGCCATTCATTATATTCAATCAACTCTAGGAAACACATTAAGGAACTGCTGTGCAGAAATCTTGTGCACTTTATAAATGCATATATGTATAGATGGATATATACATATACTGCCTTTTTTTTTTTACTACTTATACTCGCTCCGCATTGCATTAAAAGAAAGCAGGGGTGATTTCACCCACCTCTTAAAATCAGGCGGCCGCAGCAGTCAGCTGTTCTGAGCAGCTGCAGCTGGCCCGTAAAGCTTTCAACCATATGATTTAACATATGCACTAACTCCTTTTCCTCATGATGTGACCTTTTAAAACTATTACAGCTAAGATAATGTTCTGGGTTCCCCCCCCCTGGGGTTTATTTAAAATAACCAAACTGGTGAGAAATAAGGAGGTGCATGTAGGCAAAGAAGAGATGAGCCCCTTTAACACACCAAAGGGACTTCTCCACAATCTTGGTCCTGAAAACCTCTTCTTGGTCCAGGTTGACAGTGCAGTAACAGTCCCTCATCCTGTTTGGCCCTGGGTATGGAGGGATGTTTTTAGCTTCTCCTGCACCAGAAAGGAGAGAGAAAAAACACAAGGGAGAAGAAAGTGAGCCGTTTGCTGCAGAATTTAGTCTTCCGAGACAAAAAGCAAGTTAAAAGTTCACACCTGTTTCAGTTCGGAGTGCACGCGTGTGCATGTGTGTGTGTATAAGTGCTGATCTCAGCTCTCTGGCTGTCATCACACCACCAAATGCAACGGCACAAGCGATGAGCTCGAGGCCACAGCTTTTTTATTAGACACACAAACATCAGGCTGTGGCCCTGACACGCATTCACGTTCAACAGCGTGACACATGACAGGTGTTCCTGCGTGCCGCGTTGTGTGTGTGTGTCGTCAGATCGGTGAATGAAAGGCTCTGCGTGGGACATTTCCTGAATTCTGCCGAGGCCCAATCTGTTTATCAAACATGTGTACAGATACAGATAGCACTCCCCTTTCACAAGAATGCGGTCCAGCCACCCGCCGAGACTCGCACACACAAACGCAGCAACAAACGCACGCACACTTAAACAAGGAAAGCGGTGCGCCAGTCCACCGGGAGCAATATTGTCGGCTTTATGAAGCTGTGGATACATGTCAGACATCGATCTGTTCCTCATTCTCTTTGCCCGGGGGGACCACAGGACTCTGAAGTGTACAGTTACACATGTGTTGGCTAACACCGTCAGGATTTTCTCCAGTTAAGGCCACATTGTCGGCACGGGAATCCGATGCTGCCGTCGCTCGTTCTGGTTTTAGATGAGCACCTTGTTCACGGCAAAAAGATGTTATTTTGAGTTTATGCAGTCTAAGCGTGAAAAAAAAGGAAGAAAGCATGTAATAGTTAAAACATCCCCAGGGATTCCAGTCATTAGATCCCTTATGTTGAGCTCTCAGCATTTTATTAACTTGTTAGGGCTACAGGTAGTTCCTTATCCTAAAGCCAACATAAAAGACAGGTGATGCTAATTTTACTGTTTCATAAATCCTTAACGATTGTTTAAAGACTATCGGCAGTCACTGGCTAATTTTAACATCTGCCTACGCGCCTGAAAATAAAACCTAAAGCTAAATACTTAGGAAGAGACTGTGGGATAATGTTAGGACCCTCTCATGCAGCAGTTTCCTCATTTTGAAATGCAAATGGCGAAAAACATGGTTGTCAGCAAAGAAAAGGAAAGTAGTGTTGACCATCAAAATGAGAGACCTGTTTGTGGAAGTGGTGGCAAGGCACATTGAATCTAAGCCTTCTAGCAACCAGTAAAAAGGCTTTCAGGTCAGGCTTGAAAGATTTATAAAGTCTATAAAACACATTTTTCTGGCCACATGAGAAAACCTATATCAGGAGGGAAAAGGGGGGCCGGAATGGGGGATGGGATGGGGGGACATGTATCACCAGTGGGATGGGTGATCCCGTTAGTAACATGGTTTATAACTGAGTAAAACGTTTGATTTACTTAGTGTTACTTCAGTCCTGAAACCTACCAATTAGGACCTCTGCTGAAACATAACTAACCTAAGCTTTTACCAGCTCTCCCCTCTTGTGACCAGCAATGTCTGTGCTTACGATAGGAGACAGACGTAAAACCCCGCTGAGACAAACGGAGGCGTTGAACCGATCTCTGTGGGGTTTGAAATGCAATAGTGTGATGATGCTCCACGGGGAGCTGATTCATGCCCTGGGTGAATCATTACTCAACGACTCACACAAATAACACTCATTCAGAAATGAGGCACACACCTGAGTTGCACAACACCACACACATGAGCCGCGGCTTCGACTTGTAGACTGCAGCTCTTGCGTGTGAGGTGACGTCACCCTCTTATCTGCCTTTATCCTTTTCGCTTGCCTCTGTTGTTAGGCCTCACTCCTCTGCTCATCTTCTCTGTTTCCCTTTCATCCGTTCACCTATTCCCATTTAATCTCCACTCCTAATCCTCCTTATTCATGTTGCACTTCCATATTTGCTCCAATCTCAACCCCACCCCCCACCCCCAACACACGCACACACAATCATTCATGACCTTTTAAGTGCTATGACTGAACTGCACCATCCAGGTCATGCAAAACAACATGGGATTACCACAGCTTTGTCAGCCATATGTGCGTTTAATGACTCAACTTATGTTGTAAAAACAAAACCGCAGCTACGGGAGGGCAGAAAATGTGATTAAAAAAAGGACAGTTTCTACATTGTTTATATCTGACAACATTCAAATACATCCTATTTCAAAGACTGTCTAAAAAGATTAAATGAAGGTTTCATCCCTAAGCACAGCATGACTTTTTTACCCTCAGAGACCCAGACTGTATTTGGTTTGGATAATCCATCACACTAAACATTTGGGTTTCTTGAGTTCCCTTTTATTTTTTAAACAAACAATGTGCACTTATTTACAGATGTGAGTTATGAATCAGCCGTTTATAAACTAATACATCAAATGTGCATTTAAAAATAAAGAATAATTTCAAATAACACGGTTTGTAGAAGAACCTCTTAAAAATGAAGTTTTATGGAACTGTAAAACTTGGAACTGATTTTCAGATTGTGTAAAAAAGGGATGACTGTCGAGAACAAAATCCCCTTCTCCTTTGCTGATGTTATTTCTCTGTTGGACAAATTGTCAGGGAAATTCCTTTACAAGCAAGTTTCAAATGCTTGGGCGATATTCCTTGCAACATTTGTTTTTTTGTTACTATTTACAACTTTATTACAGCTGCTCTTTTTAAAACTCCCCGGCAGATTAAACCTGCAGCCCTCTGCTTGCTGCTTGATGCCTGGCGTTTTGTTGCTTTGCCAAAGACGTTCAATTTTCTAATTTATCATGACAAACATTTCCAATATTTCTATTCACATCTTTCAATGCATCTGAAACTATTAGAAATCCATGGCTGGCATAGAACAGCTTATGTGGCCATAAGAAGTCAAACTAACATTCACACGAGAGCTGGCAGTGTTAGATGGATTATGATTATGTCACTTGCTAGATTTCCAGCTGGAGGAGGGGGAAAAAGCAAGTTTATGCTTTAAGTAGACAAGTGCTCACGTGCGAGTGACACTGATTGATTAAATGCTGTATAACAAACCAGACTGAAAATCTTGTGCCACAACATTCTATTTCTTTCTTTTTTTATTTTGGTCTGGTATCATCTTTGTGTCTTGAAAATTTTGGATACATTGCTGCTTTCATTTTCTATTTCTAAATATCCTTTAACTTGATTTCCCTTTCCTGTTTGGCAAAACACTTCCCTTTTCAATCCCTCTGTAGCCATTTTCTTTCCATTTCTTTAACAAAGAATGTATAGAAACACAAAATAATAAATTTAAAAAAGCGACAATAGTAAGTTGTTGTTTTTTCCATCCAGTCACGGCAGCTACCCTTGAAGAATATCTTGCCCTGGAATCTGAACAAAATAGGCTTGGCGTGCACACGGTCATACCAAGTTCTAGCATGACTGTGTACACGCAAAACATGGGGGCTTTGAGCAGAAATGCAGCGCACATAATGATGACAGGGATAAACCCAAGCAGGCAAAAGGAAAAGGTCAGAAATGGTTGAATCTTCTCTTCAATGCTGCAGTAAAGAAATGAAGAAATGAGGGGGAAAAAAATGGAAAAAATTAGGAAACACGAACGACTGAGGAGACGTAATGGACGTGGTGAATGTGTGGCTTTGTTCCTCTTCCCCCACAGATGACGAGTTTTAGTCGACCACACTTGTGTGTATAGTTACAGACTCGCTGCTGAACTCGTTACTCTAATGTCCTCTGACATGAACACATTCGAGGATACACAGGCGTGAATGCTTTCAGAGGCCGTGCGCTCAACGAGCAGGCCTGGGAAACACAGGCTTTAAGAAAAGGAAAGGAGGGGGTTGTCAGTGAGAAAAAATACAAGCAGTGTAGTCAATTGAGTGAGGGAGAGAGGAGGAAGACTGTGGAGGAAAACGGAGAAAAGTCAGCCAGAGAGAAGACTGGAGAGCGCTTAGCTTTTGAGAAAGCTACAACAGGAAATGAGATGAGGAGAAAGGAATTTCAACTGGATCCAAGACGAAGTTTAAAAGCAGCGAACAACCCAGTTACCCCCGAGAGTGTGCGAGCGTGGAGGAAGACGGGAGACACCGTGAGAATGGAAAGAAGGAGCGAAACTCATTTCTATTATCCCACTGGTAATGCTCACTTCCTTTGATGTTTTTAGGTTGAGACACATAACAAGAACTGAAACCAAACTGGAAGGCTTTACTGTCTTTCTCCATATGACTAAACATAAAACATTACGCCCATACACAACAGACACTGGACTTTCTGTGGATAATCACAGCAGAAGTTTTGAGTCTAAACAGCGGATTCCTTTATGACTGAAATAAGGACTGCAATTTCAATGTCTTTATTTTCTCTTATCGAATGTGTTTTTTTGCTGTAGAAAAAAAAGCCTTAACATTCAAACATTACTCCTAAGTATACTCAAGTATTTCATCACATAAACTTTGTTAGACTCAGCTTGCTGGCAAACACCAACACCTTTCTAAGTCAGATCCGAATGAAAGCAGACATTTAAGATTAGACTGGTCTCAGTTGGAGAATGAGATCTTGTGACATCTGGCAGACCTTAAATGCATGATAGCAAAAGAAAATAATCACAGTTCAACAAAAAGAGAATATCTTGTAGAGCTTTTAGGGCATAAATGCAAAAAGAGCAACCTTCATTCAAGCTCATTTTGATCCATGTCCCTCTAAACACCTCAGTGCTCTGCACACACACTTTTAGACATTAGAATTGAAGACAAAGCCAAGTTATACATTATACTATACTTAACTATACTCCTATTTGCATATACATTTCTGTTTTTTGCAAAATTGCTCAAGTGTCCTTTAGAAGTATGTTCCAAGAGTCAAGTTCGCCTAATGATAAGCATAATTACAGTAAAACGTGAAGAGAGAAAGATAAGAGAAGCCAAACTCAGATTAAATACAACAGTCAAAGCCCCATCATGACCACCACGCAGTCACATTTAACACTCTTATCTTATCCTCAGGCATTAGAGAGCTTTAAA